ATTTCAAAGAACTTTTACAAAAATTATTAAAAATAATTGATTTAAAGAAGAATTTTAGTTCAAAATTCTAGAAATTAATAATTTAATTGAAATGATGAAAATAATTTTGAAAAAGTTACGGTAATTAAATAATTACAGTATTTTAAATTTATTTTATTTTAAAAAGGTTTAAATTTGAATCTTTTGAAGAATTTTAATTCTTTTGGAAAATAATATTGATTAAATATTTATTTAAAAATGAAGTCATTGGTGTTTGTGAATAATTTTACAATTAAGGAAATTCGTAAATAATTTTACGTTAACAATTTCGTAATAATTTTATCTAATAATTTTGATAGTGAATCAGAATATTCCTTAGGGTCAGGGAAAAAAACAAAATCAGTCAGGATAAAGTCTGAAAATCAGGGAAAAATTAAGGAAAAATTTTCTTTTTTCCTTGATTTTTCCCTGATTTTAAAGTAAAGTAAAGTAGAGTAAAGTCGCAAAAGTCGCAATTCTTGAAAATAAATCGAAAAAAAAGTCATAATATCCAAGATCTGTTTAGAGAACCAACTGTGATTCTCGAAGCAAAAAATTATCTTCTAAAAAAATGCCTTTCAAAATAGTCGGGAGAAAAATAAAAAAAATATGAAATTAAACACCGTATATTTTGCAAATTATTTTATAACCCTTTCGGAAAAGGATATTTGCCTACTTTTCAGCGAAATATATTTGCGGCAATAGTCATAAACACGTCGATAATAGTAGGACAGCAAGGTATCTGGCACATAAAGCTGCCAAGCGATGCGCTTGTCACGGGGGATAATGAAAAGGATTTGTAATCGAGTAGCACGAAATTAAATTTTCCGTTTACTTCTCGGAAGTTGGAAGAATGATGGAATGTGGGTGGGAAAAAAAGGAGAGAAAGAGAGAGTGCATGCTCAATGAACAATTTCACGTCAGTATACATACATACATACATATACGATGTGCATATTCAAGTGGCATCGAAGTCACGATGTGATGCTGCTGCTCACTCGATTCAATTATGTGTGAATATTTATTAGCTATATGTATATATTCTGTAACGTGTGTTGCTGCTGCTGCTGCTGCTGCTACTACTGCTGTAAAGCAGAAATTTAATTTTTCCCCTTTTTTTTGTGATTATAATGATTTTATAAATAACACTTTATGCCAATAGGCTGTCCATTGAAAGTCAATAATTGTAGTTATTATTCAAGGCAATATTCTCTCAATGTATTATTATTATTTTTTTAAAAATATTCTTTCAATGTAATTTTAAAATTTATATTCTCTTTTGTAACAGTAGTGTGTTGAATATGATTTGATCTGTGTGGAAAAAAAATTGTTACAATATATAGAAATCAAGTTGACGCTTGTCAATTACAATGTAAAACATTATTGATGTTGGTTTTTTTTGTGCAAGAATATAGAAAACATGAATGAAAAAATAATTGTATATAACTTTGTTTGAAAAAATAGGTATATACTTTCTTTACGTGCATTTAATTGAAAATTGAGAAGAAGAAAAAAATAAAATATTACAGGTTCTATAGTGAAATTCGTTACGCAATGAAAGTTTCGGTTAGATCTTAACTAATAATTATAGGTGCAATTTACACTTTTTATGGTGAATGTAAAATTGATATTGTATACAATATATGTATCTATTTATAGAAAATTTACGTAATCTTTTTTAACTTTAATTTTTATGCATACTTTAGAAAATTGCGAATTGAGGATCAATTAATGATTGATGGAAAGTTATCCTATACAGTGAAGAAATTAAAAAAATTTTCCGTCGTTAGAATTTTATTTCGTGCCTCAAGAACGTACTTTCAAGCTAAAATTCTGCGACGATTTAAATTAATTAATTTATTTCGTCTATAAATAAAATTTTTGTTACAATAAATTAGAGCCAGTTTCAAGAAAAATTTTTTTATTTTTATTCTAATGCAACTTTTGTTTAAATTTAAATTGTTGTAAATTAAATTCTTTAAGAAATAAAAACATGTACGAGTAATAAATTAATTAATTATTTAAAAAAAAATTCAAATAAACTTTTTCAAAAAAATTAATTCTACAAAATTGTTATTTAAAAGTACGGAAAAGTCAAATTTTCCAGTGATTTCAATTTGAAAACCTTTACAAAATTCAATTATTTCTAAAAATTCATGCTACAATGCTTTTAATATTCAATTATTTTCTAAAATTTTAAGTGAAATTCATTTTAAAAGCAATTTTTATTAGAAAATTCTACGAGAATTCAATTATTTAAATACAAAAATACAAAAAATATTGAATAACTAAATGTTTCTTTAAAATTGAATTCTTGTAAAGAATTTTATCAACAAATTTTAAAATAATTGAATTCTCTTGACGAATTTTAATTAAAAAATAGTTAAAAATGAGAAATATTCAGATTTTCAAAGATTTTAATTTGAAACCTTTTTCAAAATTCAATTAAGGGTCACTATCAAAGAACCGGTTATAAGTTTTTGAGACTCAAAATTCTCGACCTCTAAATAAAAAAAGGATTTAAAATTTTAATTTCTTGAAAACATTTTGTATTGGTATAAAGGTTACCAAAATGTTTCTCAAAAATTTAGAATTAAAAACAGTTTAATTTTTTATTTACAGGGCAATGATTTCGAGCTTAAAAAACTTATAACTTTTGACGAATTTTAATAAAATTTTTAAGAATAATTACATTTTTCGAAGAATTTTTTCCTTTTGAATTAGAAAATTTGACCAATAAATTGTTATCTTAAACTAATTTATTAGTAAGATTTACTAATTTAGAAGCAAATATTTACTAATAAATTAGTAGACATTTATTTACTAATTATTTAATTTACTATTTTTTATAGTAAAATTTGATAATTCAAATGCAAGAAACATGTTTTTTTAACATTTTTGAAGTAATGTAAATAACTTAATTCACAATTAAAACTATATTAAACATAATTGAATTATTATAAAATTTTTTTTTTTAAATATTTGAAAATAATTGAATTCTTGCGATGAATATTGTTATTCATGAAAATAATTGAATTTTGGAGAGAATTTTACTAAAATTCCTAAAAATAACTGGATTTCTGCAAATAATTTATTATTTATAAAAATAATTGAATTCTTTTCAGTAATTTAAAATTATATTGAAAATAATTTGAATTATTATGAAAAATTTCATCTAAGTTTTTGAAAATAATTGAATTCCTGCGAAGAATTTTATTTCTTAAGAAAATAATTAAATTCTTGCAAAGAATTTTATTAATATTCAAAAAAATTTTTTATTTCATTAAAAAATTTTTTTTTTATTTTGGACCCAAGGCCACAATCAAAAAACAGTATTCGACAAAAATTATGGTCCTAGAAACATACCAATTATTAATATTTTAAAAAATAATTGAATTTTGGAAAGAATTTAACTAAAATTCCTAAAAATAATTGAATTTCAGTCAAAAACTTCATTATTTTCAGCAGTAATTGAATTATTTCAAAGAATTTAATTAAAATTATATTGTAAATAATTGAATTTTTATAGAGAATTTCATCTAAGTTCTTGAAAATAATTGAATTTCGCGACGAATTTTATTTATTAAGAAAATAATTGAATTCTTGCAAAGAATTTTATTAATATTTTAAAATTTAATTTCAGCGACGAATTTTATTATTCTTGAAAATAATTGAATTCTTTTGACGAATTTTAATAAAATTTTTAAGAATAATTACAATTTTTGAGCAATTTGATAAAAATTTTATCAAAAATATTGGAAATTCTGTGCGATGATTTTTATAATATTTATGAAAATAATTGAATTTTTAAAAAGAATTCTTCTATTTATAAAAGAAAATTGTATCTCGGAAAAAATTTTTATTATTTTTGAAAATAATAATTGAATTTCTTCAATCATTTGTAAATTCTTCAATATTCAATTCTCTCTAGTGTTTTTAACTAAAATTCTTCTATAAATTCTATAAATTTCTAGAAAGTGTTAGGTACAATAATTATTGTCTATTTTCCTCTTATTAACAAATTTTTTTCATTGACAAATGTTGTGGATTTCAACTTCCTAATCGCAATACTTTACGAATCACTTTTTAAAAAAAAACAACAACAATCTTCTAAGTTTCTTGGTCCACCTTCAAACAGGAAATTTAAAGCTTTATTTTATGCAAATTTCAGATTTTTTTCTAGCTTCGGTTTGTCTTCCTGACACACAAGGAGTTGAAAGCATTTTTAAGCATAACTTCTAAGCTTTCTACTAATTTTTAAGAAATTTTACCTTTCGTTGTGGACTTCAGGATCATTATTATTATCCTGAAAGTCTGCAACGTTTTTAAAAATTCACAATTTTCTTGAAAGTATCAAAAATTGTTACCAATGCGGATTAAACCATTATTAGTTGATTCAAATTTTTTGTATCAATTTAAATCGAGATTTGAATCAATTAATGGTTTGATCCACATTTTTGGTATCGATTCATTGCTTTTTGATACTTTCAAGATCATGAACGAAAAATCAAAACAGAATTGTCTTCTCTAATTATTTCATCTCCGATTTTTATGTCAACAAATCCTGAAGAAATTAATTACTTTCTAGGAACAAATACACGAGTCATTCTCTAGTATCTTATTGTCATTCTCTAGTTTCTTATTGTCACTCTTTAGTTTCTAAATAAATAGTCCCTTTATATTAAAAGTGGTCCATTCTTCTCCAGAGCAGACTCCATGTTCCCCATGCCTATTAAATCCCCCGTCTCTGTCTCTCTTTAATAATAATTACTCTCACACAGAAAATGATTATCCATCAAGCAGTTGAACATGAAGTCCGCAACAACATCTTGATAGATAATCATTTTCACAAAAACATTCAGGAAACATCACAAAGTGAGAGAAGAGAGTGACTAAATAACCTGAAGTCGGTCGGAGAAGTCAGTTCCATCTGACAGGCGACGTTTAAAGATTAGAAAGAGAGAAACATTGAAAGAACTTACCGGTGAAGGACAGCCGAGCAAGGAACCCAAGAGTGCACAATTAAAAAAAAAAATCTACTTCTTAATTTTCACTTTGACTTCAAAACTAAATCAAAATTAACAAATTTCTATGATAAATATCAGGTTATGCAACATGCAACTGGTGGCACACGCGAAATTTTAGTAAACCAAAAAAGAAAAAAGAAAACAAAAATGGTTCTTCTTTTGGTTGGAGTTTTTGTATAAATTTGACACTTGGGTGAAAATTGATGATGTTAAATGTCACCTATTCTCCTCGTGTACAATGTTTTTGATTCTCAAACTCACTGTCGCTTAAAATGCACACGGAAATTATAATTTGCCTAACGCCAGTCTACCAACCTCCACTGACAAACGCGTTCTGTTTTCTGTCGACTTGCGGCAGTGCGCGCGCGCAGTTTAGCTTCTTTGTTGTGTGGGTTCTCATTCACGATATTATAAAATTCACCAAGAGAAAACTTCACATGAAAGCAGCAGTGAGCAGCAGCAAGCAGCAGTAGGGCTATACTCAACAACAACTCGTTTCCGCGCGATTCTAATTTTTTTTTTTATTTGTGTGGTTGTCCAAATAGAGGACACATTATATTTACCATCGGGCTAATTATTAATATCTGCAATAACATTGTTTGCAAATTGGAAAAGTATCCTAAAGATACAATTCTATTTTTTCAATCTAATCCACTTTTTCTTTTATGAATAAGTAGTCCTTAAGTTTTGGGGCCCCTTAAGAGCATTAAACCACTCAACCCTTATTATGCGTTTTTTGCAATTTTCAGCAAAGGAACTTAGAAATATATGCGAATATGCGACAATATTTGTGTAAATGTATGCAAAATCTTTTTTTTAAAGAAAATTGACTTTTTTTGTAATATTTAAATGAATAGCTATATGCTCCGAATGGTAGGTGAAGTAATGACTTTTTCTATTAGTCATGTTTGTGTGAATTTTAAATTCAATTTTTGCAAGTTGTATGAAAGTGAAGTATGGTCATCTTAGTGGCATCTTTTGGATGGTGTTGGAAACCAGAAAGAAGGGAATGATACGAGAAGTTGATTCGTTGTTGATAAGGCAGAAAATTCTGCAACTAGATCTTATGCGGACCCATCAGAAAACTATCAGAAAAATTAAGATTTTATTCATTTTATTATTTAAATAAATATTTTTTTTGATAGTTTTCTGACAGTCCATAAGATCAGTTGTATTAACGACGAAACTTTCGTAAAAATGTATTAAATATTTACTTGCAAACTTCGGAGTATTTACTTGCAAAGTTTAGTGACAATTGTGCATAAAGATTTAAATGTCCAACTTCAATAATTGTTTAACGTAAAAATTTCCTGAAAATTTAGCCTCAAACTTTCCTGAAAATCTGAAAATTTATTGAAGTTGGACATTTAAATGTTTTACACAATTTCGACCAAACTTTGCAAAAAAATACTCCGAAGTTAGCATAACTAAATCTTTGGTAAATTTTTACGAAAGTTAGGGTGCTGTATGTGGGTTATAATAATACTACGAATAAAATTTAATATTTTGATATAGAATTTATAGCGTTTTGAACTGTATTTATAAACCATCACTTGAAGCACAATTTGCAGCAGCATTTACAGCTATTAATACACGATTCTATAATTACATATCAGCGCTTTTTGATTATTATAACTTTGTTTAAAAATGAGCGTTGCATGACTGGGGAACATTAGCACTGCGAGTACAAATAAAAATTCAACTCTAGCATTATTATGATCGCGTTTAGAAATATTGACTTCAAGCTTAATAGTCACAAGTATATATGCGCATATATTTCACTCTATCCGTGTATTTGTATGTATATTGATTATGGCAATATTCAGTTTGTCAATATAATGAATTTTGCTATTTCATGCATATTCATAAACTTCGAGGCACTTCATTATATAGAATATTATACTCTTTAAATCCAAAGTAGCAAAATTGTTATTAAATTGATTTAGTTAAGTTCTTCTTAAATTAGTGAAATATTAACTATTAGAAATTTTTATGTACGACGACTTTTCCCTTTTTTTGTAGAATTTGAATAAATGCTGTAGTCATCTATAATTGCACTTAATTCATTATAAATGATTTTTTACCAAGTTTTACGCTCTAAATCCGAATTAATGGTTTTCTACTAATAAAATAAAACATGAAGATATCGATCACTCCGAGTCTTCGACTCGGAGTGATTGCTTTCTTCATGTTTTATAATAATTAAAACTTGCTACTTTGTTACTGTAACTTCTTCAAAAATTATTTTCATCATTACGATTATTCATTTCTAGAATTCTCAACTAAAATTCTTCAATTTTTTTTTATAAATTTTTCAAAATTTTACGAAATTTCGATTATTCTGACATTCTTCAATTAAATATTATGAAATTAAAAACTTCAAATAATTAAAAAAAAATCCATTAAACTTATTGAGAAAAATTAATTCTATAGAATTCTTAATTAAAAGTATGAAAAGTTCAAATTTTCAAAAGACTTTAATTTGAAATTCATTTTTAAATCCATATTTTTCAGAAAATTCTACGAGAATTCAATTATTTAACTATAAAAATAAATATTTTATCAAACAATTGAATGTTTCTTAAAATTGAATTTTCATAAAGAATTTTATCAACAAATTTTTAAATAATTGAATACTCTTGACAAATTTTAATCAAATTTTTAAGAATAATCGCATTTTTCAAGAAATTTGATGAAAATTGTATTAAAAATAATTGAAATTCTTCGATGAAAATAATTGAATTATCAAAAGAAATTTTATTATTTATGAAAATAATTAAATTCTTGAAATGGATTTTAGTAAAAATTATTTAAGTAATTGAATGCGTATCTGAAGAATTTTAGTCAGATTTTTTTAAATACTTTAATTCATACGAAGAATTTGATTAATTATGAAAATAATTGAATGCTTGTAAAGAATTTCTGGAAACAATTTTTTTACTTTTGAAAATAATTAAGTTGTTGTGATGGATATTGGTATTCATAAAAATAATTGAATTTCTGGAAAGAATTTTATTATTTATAAAGATAATTAAATTCTGATTAAAATACTTGAATTATTGTGATAAATATTGTTATTTATGAAAATAATTGAATTTTGCAACAATTTTATGAAAATTCCTAAAAATAATTGAATTTCTGGAAAGAATTTTATTATTTGTGAAATAATTTATTTTCTGTAATGCATTTTAGTCGAATTTTTTTTAAAAATTGAATACTTGCAAAGAATCTTATCAAAATTCCTAAAAATCATTAAATTTCTGTGAAGAGTTTTGTTATATTTATAAAGATAATTGGATTCTTGACGAGATATTCGTTAAAATTCTTAACAATAATTGAATTTTTGAGAAGAATTTTATTACTTTTGAAAATAATTGAATTTTGGACAAAATTTTATTAAAATTCTTAAAAATAATTAAATTTTTAAAGGATTTTATTATTTGTGAAAATAATTGAAATCCTGCATTGAATTTTGGTCAAATTTTTAAGAATAATTGAATTCCTGCAAAGAATTTTATTAAAATTCCTAAAAATAATTGAATTTTTGAGAAGAATTTTGCTATTTCTAAAGATAATTGAATTTTTAACAAGATTTTTGTTAAAATTTTTGAAAATGATTAAATTTCTTCAAATAATTTTATTACTTTTGAAAATAATTGAATTCTTGTGATGAATATTGTTATTTGTAAAAATAATTGAATTCTTAGCGAGATTTGCGATAAAATTTTTATAAATAATTGTATTTCTGCAAATAATTTTTTTACTTCTGAAAATAATTGAATTCCTGTGAAATTTTCATTATTTATGAAAATAATTGAATACTTGTAAATAATGTTATTAAAATTCTTAAAAATAATTGAATTTTTGGAAGAAATTTTATTATTTATGAATATAATTGAATTCTTGACAAAATTTTCGTTAAAATTTTTGAAAATAATTGAATTCTTGTGATGAATATTGTTGTTTATGAAAGTAGTTGAATTGTGCTGAAATTTTATTGAAATTACTAAAATTAAATGAATTTTTGGCGAGATTTTCGTTAAAATTTTTAAAAATAATTGTATTTCTTCAAAGAATTTTTTTTCTTTTGAAAATAATTGAATCCTTGTGATGAATATTGTTATTTGTGAAATTAATTAAATTTTGCAAAGAATTTTATTAAAATTCCTAAAAATAATTGAATTTTTCAAAGAATTTTATTATTTATAAAAATAATTGAAATTTTAAAGAAAATTTAAAAAAAAATTTGAACATACATAATTGAATTTCTGAGAAGAATTTTACTACTTTTGAAAATAATTGAATTTCTGCAATCATTTATGTAATTGCTTCAAAATTCAATTTGTTTTAGTGTTTTTAACTAAAATTCTTCTATAAATCCATTATTTTTAATAATCAATTAAATATATTAAAAAATTTTAACTAATTTCAGAAGAATTTTAGTTTAAAAAATTTTTTTTAAATCCAATTTTTTTTTTATATTTCTAATTAAATTCATTTATAATTGAAATTTTACAAAATTTTAAATCAAAATCTTTTGAAGTTCATCTACTTATATGAAAATTGTAAACGCCATTCTTTTAAAATTGAATTAATTTTGAAATTAGATTTTAATAAACACAATAACTTTAGAAAACAACAATTTTCCAGGATTTCAACCAAAATTCTCTGACTTTTCCAGCGATTTTTTCAAGGTTCATAAAATTCCCTGACATTTCCGGGTTTTCTAGGTTTCTAGGTGTAATTTGAATTTTTAATATAATCCATTATTAAAACCGAAAAGCATCAGGAAAAAATGAAGAAGAAATTAATTTTAAGATAAGAACACAAAAAGGGAAACTCATCCTAAAATCTTATTATACCTAAGATACTATCTTAAAATCTTATAATATCCAAGATATTATCTTAAAATTTTTTACAATAAACCAGAAAATATTGAATGAAACTACGAAAGCAACGTAGTCGACCGCGAAGATAGCAGTCTAGCAGCTCTAGCAGTGTAAAAATAAACAGTTGGTAGTGCCCCATCGATCGATAATGTAGAAAACTATTCGCAAGCACGTTACTTGCCGCGACCCTTCGAGCTTACACAGCTTAAACGTGCTTCGAACTTGAAAGATGGCGAACTGAGAGGGGTAGGGCCGGGCAACACGCTCCGCGAGGAAGGTCCTTGATCATCATTTTAAACTCCAAATATCATTTGGGTGAGTAATTAATTAAACACACCATCATCCTTAACATACGATTTTTGATAAATTTCACACACTGGTGGGGGAGTGCATGACATAAACTTTAAATGAACTCAATCGCGAGACAATAATTTTGTGTAAAGATGTCGAGAGAGCTCGGGAAGTTCAATGCAGACATACGTGTGTCAAGACCGCAGTGAAACGCACGCGCGCGCATTTAATTGTGTGCAGAGCACATTTTCAATACACATGTTGTGTGTGTGTGTGTGTATGTATCACAAGCTAATCTATATGAACGATCGTATATATATGTTATACGACGAATTTGTTCTGCTCTATTCTGTTTAATTCTGGTAGAATAATTTTTTAATTCACAAATTTGAGGAGAAATTTTTTGGGAATATTTTGGGTTTAGGTAGATTTAGAGAATATTGAGATGTTGATAGTTTATTATTTTTATTTTCTTGTATTTTTTTGTGGCCTCATTAGAATGGTAAATGCAAGAGTACAACTACTTCTTCATTTCCGATCGGTGATTAAGACTTGATCGTAATATCAATGTCAAGATAGTACACAAATAGTCATTAGTCAGTAGTTATTTGTGCTTTTGAAAATAAGAACAAACAATTAACAATGGTGAGGAGTTTTTTAGAAGGAATTTTAAATATTTTTTTTGTAGTGCACCAAGAAAACGAAGTATTTAATATATATGTAGATGTTGAAGCTTATTTTTGTTTTGGCAAATGAGGAAAGCTATCCAGATGGTAGAATTTATTATCTTAATATTAGAATTTAATGTCTGCAAATATTAAACATTTTTGCCTACAGTTTTCTCGAAAGTAAATTGATACTAAAAGTGAATTAATTATATTAATGATACTTAAAAGTATCAAACTGCAATAAAATTGATACCAAAAATTTGGATCAAATCAAAAATTGATCTTGATTTTTGGTATCAATCTAAACTTTTGATATCAAAACTTAATATCAAAATATTGCGCTAAGCAACGTTTTTGATTCGTTTTTTGTCTCAATTTAATATGCTTGGAAAAATTATGCCAGAATAAAGTTTTAGTTAATTTAAAGTAATCAGTTTTTTAGACTCCTTTTGTTTCATTAAAAATAAATTTTTTCTTTAAACCAAAAAAGAGGTTTTTAATTCAAAGAAAATTGCTCTAATTTCAACAACTTTTTTTTGATGTAATAAACAAATTTTCGTTTGAATACAAAAAATTTGTTATTTAAATAATTTTTTATTACATTTTTTAAATTTATTTATTTATTTGATACAATCTTCTTTTCTTTTAACATTTACAGGACCGATAAATTTGCACAAATTTTAGTAATTTTTATTTAAAAAAAATTTATAAATAAGAAGTGAATTCAATAAAAAGATTCGTCAAAATGGCCCTCTAAAGATTAATTTAAGAAATTCTAATTTATAAAACAATAAATTTTTCTATATAGAATTCAGTAATTTTTTATTAAAATCTACAAAGAAATATTTTAATTACTATCTCTATGAATTTCAATTAGTTAAAAATACTTTATTTAGTGAAATTCAGTGAAATTTATTCAGTTAAATAAATTTTGCATTCAAAGAAAGAATTTTCTCACTTGAAGCAAATTTTTTAGTTGCACCAAAAAAATGTTTGGTACAGTGATACGATTTATTGGGTTAATTCAATAAAAATTTATTTAAATAAAAATTTTCTCACTTCACTAAAATTTTGATCGCTCAAAGAAAAGGAAAATTTTTTTTTCTGTTAAAATATTTACAAAAATTACTATACTAAATTGAAAAAATAATGTAAATTTAATGTTTGTTTTGTTAAAAATTAATTTTTTTAGTATACAATACTAATTTATTTACAATAATTTTATTAATAAAATACGTTCTAAATTTTAGAGAGTAGGGTAAGTGCGGGTATAGTCGGACAGTACTAGTAGTCGGACACTTTCGTGTTTTTTGGCAAATAAATAATAATGCATTGTGATAATTACTTTAAAAAGTATACTAGACGAATGTGTGAAGTTTATATTTTATTAAAATAGTGTTATTTTCGAAAATAATTAAACAAGAAATATTTTATTTAATGTTTTAAAAATCATAGTGTCCGACTATAGATACAACCATTTTCGAGTAGCGCGATGAGTGGCACAAAGTTTTGTTGATAATTAATCATAAATATTAAAACTTATAGGGTTTAAATATTATATTAATAACTTCTAATATGCTTTAATTCCATTTTCCAGCCGATAGCAATTAAAAAATTATCTTTTTTACTTTATAAATTCAAAATATCTGACAGATGTCCGACTATAGAAACAAGGGGAAAAAGTGTCCGACTACTAAAGCATTCGTAATTTTTTATTAAAATGTTTATATTTTATTAAATACTCAACTATTTGTAACAAATTTATATGATTTTTAATCCTGAAGAACTCCTTTAATTAATAATGTGCTTATAAACACAGTAGATATTTGCTATTTCAAGAAAAAAAGCATAATTTAAGATTGTATCCTTAAGTGTCCGACTACTAGTGCATTTACCCTATTTGATCTATTTTATTAAATCGAATAATATTTTTTTTTTCTTCATTTCTTTATTTGTTTAATTATTTTCTTTTATTAGTTTTAATACTTTTATTAGAAAACATTTATTTACTTTTGAATTTCTAGTTTTTTTGTATTTTAATTTCTACTTTTTTTTGTATTTTAATGAAAATAAAAGAATACATTAATATAATATGCATTTTTGAACATATTTTATGCATTCTATTCTTGTATGTCCCATCTAAAAAGATTCCACCGAATTATTTTTTAGAAATTCTAAGGAATCGCCCCACAAAAAATTCCGTAAGGAAAAAAATATATTTCTTAAAATTATTTTAACGAAATTTCTTTATATTTTCTCTATTTTTTCCATATTTTCCATTTTCACAACAACTATATTTATATCTATGGATGAATTTTTAAAAGTCTAAAACTTAATTTTAAACCATATAATGATCTGAAAGTGATAAATAATTTTAAAAAATATTTTAATTTCATGATTATTAAAAATTTTTACATACAGAGAAAAATTTTATTTAAATTAAATATACTTCATTTGGTTAATACAACAAAAGAAATTATATTTAATTTAAATAGAATTACATTACTATGCACTATGCAGTTAATTAAACATTTCTTTGGTTCTATTTTGCATTTTTTTTTAATTCGCAATTTTAATTTGCATTTTTAATTTGCATTTTTAATTTGCATTTTTAATTTACATTTTCAATTTGCCTGTTTATAATTTGCACCTGAGACGAATTAAAAATCTGCTTCATGTGACCGAATTCTTTCATCGAACGGAAAATTTATTAATAACTGAACTAAATGTTTATTTAAATCATCTGATTATTTATTTACATTAAACAAACTTTGTTGAAACAATTTTTCCCAGAGTGTTATAATTTTTATTATTTTCCATAGAAAAGTTTGCTTTCAATTTACTTACATCCAAAAATGTAAAAAATTACATCCAATTCTAAATAAAACCAGAATAAAATATTGAAACAAATAAAAAGTCTAGTTTGCTCTGAGTCAAATATATTTTCTAGCTCTACAATATCAATAATACAATGCGAAAGTATACGATATTTTTTCCATCGAATTTTCTTAAATTTTAAAATCGATCCTTGGTTTCAATTTTACACAGTAATTGCTACATTTACTCTAATCTAATCAATAAAATTTAGGTTATTTTTAGAAGCTTTATTTTTCCATCTATAGTGTGTAATTTATAAGCAAACAGAAAATTAACGAACATAAAAATAGTTTAAGTACTAGTTTATTGTAGTCTATACACTATACAAACTTTTTGAATATCTATAACCATATAAATTTAAAGTATGTGACTAATTCAAATTATCTCTATAAAACTTCGGACACAAAAAAATGGCTTTGGTATTTCTAATTTCTTTCAGATTATGGTGACGGTCTCTTCTCTATGCTAATCAAGGCCTCCAACACAAAAAAAAGTGCTACTAATTTAATTAATCTTCCAAAAGAGGCTTTACTTTAGAATATAAATATCGTCTCTAAAAATATGTAATCGCTTTATCAAACACTAATAGATATTTATTCAAATCATACATATATGTACATGTATACTTTTACACTCTCGTAAAGTATCTAGTCAAGCTGACACTTGCCTCCATAGAAAATAGAAGTAGAAAAAGAATTAAAAAAGCAATAAACAAGAAAACAAAAGCAACATACAAAGAAGACAAAAAAAACAAACAAAAACCAAACAAAAAACTATATTAAAAAAGCAATGTACAAGAAAAACAACTGCAATAATTGAAAATCACTGTTAAAAAATTAATGCGATAAATTTATCAATTCAGATGTTGTTGTCGATGAGAATGTCTGCAATAGATAAAAAGGAGATTTAAAAATACCAAAGATAAACATTAAATACAAAGCAGTGATTTAATTATATACTATATATATATATTTATTGTGAAACGATTTCTTTTTTAAACAATAATCCCCACACAACCGACGAACATCTGTACTTAATTCAAAAAAGAGAATTACAAGACGGATTTGCGATAGAATTGGAATTTCCTGGCGACATCGATGCCAGATGACTGCGAGAATGGTAGTAGGAACCATTTATTAGTCATTCTCCGGTGATCATTGATTTTTTTTTCCCAAGGATCGTATAAAAAGATATTAGGCCGATCTTTTTCGTGTAGCAAAAGGTTAACGACACTAAGGTCATAGGTCGCTGACGAATGGACGGATGGACAAAACTAAGCTGCGTTAAATAAAAAGAAGAAAAAAGGAGATCGAAAGAGAAAAAAAAGAGCGAGAGAGAAGAAAAAAGCGAGAGGGAGAAAAAAGAGAGAAAGAGAGAAAAAGAGAGCAAGAGAGAAGAAAAAAGAGAGAGGGAGGGAAAAAGAAACGGAGGAAAAGAGAGAAAATGTGAGTGAATGAGAGGGAGAGTAAAGGGTGGGAGACAAAGAGTAAAGAGAGCACACTGGTGCTTCGAGGGCTTTGAAGAAGGGATTCTCTCTCGTTGCATTTGAAAAAGCATAATCGACACACAACTGTTATCGACCCGCAATTGCGCGTGCGTGGAAAAAGCGCGCAATCGCCTCAACTATATTGAAATATATAAACCCGACGAAGACTTCGTCGACGTATCCTCAGTCGATCGAAGTACATTTCAGAGAGTTCAGTTCCCAAAGTCTCGTGGTACTCTGGTACTTCCGGCGACGGGTGATTCCGACGCCTGCACGAGAGCGAAGTCCTCTCTTCCGGTTATCAAAAAAAAAAAACAAACAAACAAACAAACAAAATCCAAAGAAGCTCAAAGTATAGAATATTTTTTAAATTAACAATGCAGGCAGGTCTTTGAAGAAAAACGAGCAATTCTAGAACACTACTGTGACTGATAAGCGACTGCGATAACGACCTCAATTCCACTAGCCGCACGAGTATGAGTGTTACCTATAAACAATGTGGACCCGATAATGAAGATAAAGACGAGAATTCTTTCCAGGTGAGCCGCTCTTCGCCATAGAAGAGTATTTCAAAAATTTTGCTCGAGAAGAAAAATGTTCTCTTTTTGAAATTTTATTTTTGTTGTTGCAATTTTTAGAGACGTTTGTTTATTGGACTGTAGAGACTGTGGTTGTTGCAGTCTCGATTGTGGACACGAAGTGTTGAAGCAGAAATGATGGAGCCTAAGTGTTAGACCTAAATGTTGAACCCAAATGCTGAATCTAAATGCTAAACTGAATGCTGAACCCAAATATTGAATCCTCAATGCTAAACCCAAATATTGAATTTTTTATGTTGAATCCTCGATGCTAAACTCAAATTTTTAATCCTTCATGTTGAATCCTTAATTTCAAACCCAAATATTGAGTATTCCATGTTTAATCCTTAATTTTAAACCCAAATATTGAATCATCTATGTTCAATCCTTAATGCTGTACCCAATTATTTCATCCTCTATCTTGAATCCTTAATTTTAAACCCAAATATTGAATGCTCCTTGTTGAATCCTCAACTCAAAAGCCAAATATTAAATCCTTTATGTTGGATCCTTAATTTTAAACCCAAATATTTAATTCTCCTTATTGAACCTTCAATGCTAAACCCAATTTTTTAGTCCTCCATGTTGAATCCTTAATTTCAAACCCAAATATTTAGTATATCATGTTGAATCCTTAATTTTAAATTAAAATATTGAATCATCTATGTTGAATCCTCAATGATAAACCCCAATTTTTAATTCTCCATATTGAATCCTTAATATTAAACCCAAATATTTAATTCTCCATGTTGAATCCTCAATGCTACACCCAAATATTTGATCCTCCATGTTGAATCCTTAATTTTGAACTTAAATATAGAATTCTTCATGTTGAATCCTCAATGCCAAACCCAAATATTGAATCCTTCATACCAAAGCCTAAATGTTAGACCCAAATGTTAAACCAAAATACTAAATCCAAAGGATAAACCCGAATATTGAATCCTTTGTTAAAAAGTTAAATCCTCAATGCCAAACCCAAATCCTAAATCCTGAACCCCACAGTGCTGAACACTAGATGCAGATTACAATAAATGTTGAACACTACAAATGTCGAGCACAACTCAAGAAAAAGTTAAAGCAATAAACTGTCATTATTACTAATTAACACAACTAGAAAGTCCGATATGCTCGAGGTTGTGCGAGCATGCCCGTCATTCAAATCACTTAGGTCAGAGGCAAAAACTGAGAATTAAATTCACAATGACGAATAGTCGACAAAGTGATGTGGGACATGCTTCTGGACTCGAGCACTCCCAGGAAGAAGTGCAATTAACCGAATTATTGCCAGTGGAACAGTATCGAATACAAGAGTCCTCGGATTTCACAGATTCGGGTGCAACGGATGCACTAAAAGCACTACGAAGTTTCTCTCAAACCAATCAGCAGACGACTTTCGTTTCGGATGAATTTAATTTCTACGATCACTACGATGAAGTGGATCCATTGAGTATTTGTGAGGAGCGAGCACCTGAATGGAACGAGGATGATGATGAAGAAGAAGAAGAGGAGGAGGAAGACTACAAGTTGATCCTAAGTGAGGAATCGACCAAAAGCGAAATTGTCAGTAATGATGATTTTCAAAATGAGTTTGGTAATCAAAGCAATGGTAAAATTAGGGGACGGAGAAAAATTAAGAGGAGCACTACTGTGAATGATGAAAAAGGGGAAGAAATTGTTGAATTGAGTGACGATTCCATGAACGAAGAGACAATTGAGGATGAGATATACGCTTTTCAAGATGAGATGCTTTTTCAGCAGGATGAGGATGAAATGACAGAGGAGGATCCTTTGAAGATTCCGGATAAATCGGATGATTTGAGAGTGAAGATCTCGGCGATAATAAAGGCGAATATTCTTTTGGAGCAGGACAATAATAATGTGGAGGAAGAAGGACTGCAGGATGTGAGGAAAAAAGAGAAAAAAGGATTTTGCAAGACAATTAAAAAAGAAGCGAAAAAGTACATCTGTGTGATTTGTAATTCGGAATTCAAGGGAAGTGGAGGATTGAGGAACCACTACAAAGTGGCGCATGCAACTGGACCAGTTTACAAATGTGATGAGTGTGGTAAGGAATTTCCTTTGAAGGAGAGATTGAAGCTTCATGTTAGGACCCACACTGGCTTTAAACCGTACAAATGTTTGGAGTGCGATAAAAGCTTTGCGAGAGGTGGTCAGTTGGTGCAACATCGGAGAACGCACAGTCAAGTGAAACCGTACCATTGCTCCCTGTGCTCGGGGACGTTCACTTGTGCGGCCAACTTGGCGCTGCACATGAAGAGGCACAACGGGCAGAAGGATCACAAGTGTGAAATTTGTGGCAGGGGGTTTGTGCGCAGGGATGCTTTGAAGAAGCATATGGAGTGTCTGCATCATGACGTGAAATCTTTTCTCTGCGTGATTTGCAACAAGACTCTGAAGGGTCATCTTCCCCAGCACATGAGGACACACGCTCAAGACAGACCACATGGCTGCGCAACTTGTGGGCAGCGATTCGCCCAGAAATCCCAACTCACGGTTCATCAGCGGACGCATTCTGGGCAGAGGCCATTCAGGTGTCTTGTCTGCTGGCAGGCATTCGCTCATTCAACTGCCTTGAAATTGCACACGAGACGACACACTGGTGAGAGACCCTTTAAATGCGAGGAATGTAATGCTGGATTCACGCAGTTGCCACATTGGAAGAAGCACATGAAGTGTATTCATGGGAGGAATGAGCCGTACTGCTGCAGGAGGTGTAAGACTTTCTTTCGAATTAAAAGTGAATTGGAGTGCCATCAGAAGGATTGTAAGAAATCGGAGAAAATGAATTCTGAGGATGATGGGCAGGTTGAGGTGTTTAGTGATCGCATCAAGTACAGAGTGATGCCCATTGAAAAAATGCGATTACTGTTGGCAGTGTTGTTGAAGAGAATTTCAAAGCCGGAGAAATTGGATGAACTTGGATTTGGCAAAAGACTGATTGATGAGGTTCTTCATGATTCGTTGATATCGGCTGGAAAGGTGCCAGTTAAGGGGGACGGCAATTTAACGGAATTCGATTGTCTTAAAAAGAATGTTGAAATATTTCTGGAATGGACAGTGCCAAAGAGTCATTGGGCGAAGTTCAAGAAGATGAAAAAAACTCCTGAAGAAATCCTTGAAACTCTCACTACTTCGTAAGTAAACTACATTTTTAATTACATTGTTAATTACACTGTTAATCACATTTTTAATTCCATTTTTAATTACATTTTTAATTACACTGTTGATCTAATCTTATTTAATTTAAATTATTTTGTAGTTTAAAAATTTAATTCATAATAGATAAATGTAACTATTTAACTTAATTTAATTCAAAACTTTAACAGATTTCTCAATATTTCATGAAAGTTAAATTTTCCCTTTCTTAGCCATTATAGGGCCGGAAAAAATTTGCACAAATTTTAGTAGTTTTTTATTAAGAAAAATTTATAAATAAAAAATCAATTCTATAAAAAAATTCATTAAAATAAATAGTAGCCACTATAGTGGCCACCCTGGCCTTCTAAAGGTTAAATAGTTTCGAACCTTAAAATAAAGGGAAATTCTATTTTCGAAAAAGAAAAATGAAATAAATATTTACTTTTTTATATAAGAATTCGTTTTTCGAAATTGCAAACAATATTTTCTAATTCAAATTTAAAGAAAAAAAACAATGTTCATTTGAACATTCAAAACTTTAAAAGCAAAGATTTTCGAAAAATATTTGTTTTTTTATAATTCAAGAATTTAGGAGCAAAGTATTTTTTTCATTTTACTTTCCACAAAAAAGAAATGAACTAAATCTTGAAGGAACTATTAAGCATTGTTAATATACAGCAATTTGAAATCAATTTGAACTTTTATTACTTCAGCAGTTACTAATCAAATAAGGTCGCTTACACCAGCATCATTTTCACCGTTTACATGTTGCATAACTTAATTTAAAACTTGGATAAAAATATATTTTGCATTCTTGATTCCTTTGAGAATAATAAGAAACAAATTTTATTATAACTTCATTTTAAATGAAATTTATTACATTTGTCAAAAGAATTTTTCTTCAAAATTTTTTTAAAAACATTATTTTTAGCAATAAGACAAAAATTTTGAAGAATTGAGTTTGTAAATTTTATAAAAAAATAGGGAAATATTTTTATTTTTAAATGTCAACTTGAATTTTTGAATAATTTCAAATTCGAAATATAAAAAAATCACTTATTTACAAATTTCTATTCACGAAAATGTAAATACAATAAATTCTTCTTAAAAATTCAATTATTTTCAAAAAATTTAATAAAATTCTTTAAATGATTTGCATTAATATCGTAAATAATAAAATTCTTAACAAGAATTCAATTATTCAAAAAAAATTTTTTAAATTCTTCTCAAAAATTCAATTACCCAGGTGCGAATTTTGGTCGGCCGCCAGAGTTGGAAGGTCGGGCGCAGGTCGGCCCATCTATGGCTGCCAATAGGTCGGCAGCCAAAGTCGGGCCGACTTTGGTTACTGTTTCCACCCAAGTTTGGGCCGACTATGGGTGCCAAAGTTTAGAGAACCTAATTTTAGTTGGTCGGGCCGACTCTGGCCTCAGTCGGGCCGATGGTCGGTAAAACTATGGCAGCCAGAGTTTAGAGAACCTAATTTTAGTTGGTCGGGCCGACTCTGGCCTGAGTCGGGCCGATGGTGGGTTAAACTATGGCAGCCAGAGTGCAAAAAACCTAATTTCACTTGGTCGGGCCGACTCTGGCCTGAGTCGGGCCGATGGTCGGTAAAACTATGGCAGCCAGAGTGAAAAAAACCTAATTTCTGTTGGTCGGGCCGACTCTGGCCTGAGTCGGGCCGATGGTCGGTAAAACTATGGCAGCCAGAGTTTAAAAAACCTAATTTCAATTGGTCGGGCCGACTCTGGCCTGAGTCGGGCCGACGGTCGGTAAAACTATGGCAGCCAGAGTGCAAAAAACCTAATTTCTGTTGGTCGGGCCGACTCTGGCCTGAGTCGGGCCGACGGTCGGTAAAACTATGGCAGCCAGAGTTTAGAGAACCTAATTTTAGTTGGTCGGGCCGACTCTGGCCTGAGTCGGGCCGATGGTCGGCTAAAGTATGGCAGCCAGAGTTTAGAGAACCTAATTTTAGTTCGTCGGGCCGACTCTGGCCTGAGTCGGGCCGATGGTCGGCTAAAGTATGGCAGCCAGAGTTTAAAAAGGTTAATTTCTGTTGGTCGGGCCGACTTTGGCCTGAGTCGGGCCGATGGTCAGTAAAACTATGGCAACCAGAGTTTAGAGAACCTAATTTTAGTTGGTCGGGCCGACTCTGGCCTGAGTCGGGCCGATGGTCGGCTAAAGTATGGCAGCCAGAGTTTAGAGAACCTAATTTTAGTTGGTCGGGCCGACTCTGGCCTGAGTCGGGCCGATGGTCGGCTAAAGTATGGCAGCCAGAGTTTAAAAAGGTTAATTTCTGTTGGTCGGGCCGACTTTGGCCTGAGTCGGGCCGATGGTCAGTAAAACTATGGCAGCCAGAGTTTAAAAAGGTTAATTTCTGTTGGTCGGGCCGACTTTGGCCTGAGTCGGGCCGACGGTCGGTAAAACTATGGCAGCCAGAGTTTAAAAAGGTTAATTTCTGTTGGTCGGGCCGACTTTGGCCTGAGTCGGGCCGACGGTCGGTAAAACTATGGCAGCCAGAGTGCAAAAAACCTAATTTCACTTGGTCGGGCCGACTTTGGCCAGAGTCGGGCCGATGGTCAGTTTGAAGTTGCAGCTTATAAAATCATTTTTGTTCTTAGGCTTTCATGTAAGCGTAGCGTAATGGTTAGCGTGTTAGACTTCGGTGCGTTAGGTTGCGAGTTCGATTCCTGCGAGCGTTAGAAATTTTAATTTGTATTTATGTGTAAGATTGCGTTTAGTGTTAAGATGTATACAATAAACAAATAAATAATGAATAATAATAATTAATAATAATAATAAATAATTAATAATTTTTTGCAATCGGTCGGCCGACTTTTGGCTGCCAAGGTCGGCACGACCAAGGTTGCCAAAGTGAATCCGACCTTCTTTCTCATGGTCGGCAAAGCTTTGGCACCCCTGGTCGGCCCGACTTTGGCAACCATAGTCGGCACGACCATGTCAGCCACTGGACGGCGGGTGTTACAATTCGCTAGTTCGGCCGACCTTTGGCTGCCAAGGTCGGCACGACCATGGTTGCCAAAGTCAAGCCGACATTCTTTCACATGGTTGGCAAAACTTTGGCACCCCTGGTCGGTCCGACTTTGGCAGCCATAGTCGGCCCGACCATGTCAGCCACTGGACGGCGGGTGTTACAATTCGCTAGTTCGGCCGACCTTTGGTTGCCAAGGTCGGCACGACTATCCACTTGGTCGGCGCGACCATGGCCCGACCAACTTTTCGCACCTGGGTATTCTCAAGAATATTAATAAAATTCTACATCAAATTCAATTACTTTCGTAAATAATAAAATACTTCTAAAAAATTCAATTAATTTTTTAAACAATGAAATTTTTCTTAAAAATTCAATTAATTTAAAAATTTTTTAATTATATTCTTCGCATAAATTCAATTATTCAAAAAAAAATTTAATTAAATTCTTCTCAAAAATTCAATTATTTTCGTAAATAATAAAATTCTTCTTAAAAATTCAATTATTTTTGTATATTATAAAGTTTTTTGCATAAATTCAATTATTTTTTTAAACAATAAAATCATTCTAAAAAATTCAATTATTTTCATTAATCATAAAATTCTTTGCAATAATTCAATTATTTTCAAAAGTTTTAGTAAAATTCTTCTCAAAAATTCAATTACTTTCGTAAATAATAAAATACTTCTCAAAAATTTAATTATTTTCAAAAAATTTAATAAAATTCTTGTTGAAATTGAATTACTTTCGTAAATAATGAAAGTCTGAACAAAAATTCAATTATTTTTAAAAAATTTAGTAAAATTCTTCTCAAAAATCCAATTATTCTCTTAAATAATAAATTTTTTTAAAAATTCAAATATTTTTGTAAATAATAAAATTATTCGCATAAATTCAATTATTTAAAAAATTTTAATTAAACTCTTTTCAAAAATTTTATTATTTTCGAAAATTTTAATAAAATTCTTTTTAAAATTCAATTATTTTTGTAGTTAATTAATTTATTCTTAGCATGAATTCAATTATTTTAAAAAATTTGAAATTTGAAATTTTTTTTCTTAGTTCCTTCATAAAGTCTGTATAAAATTACTGAATTGTGTAATAAAAATAATTGCTTATTCATCTGTTTCAGTGCAAATGACTGAAAGCAAGAAAGCAGATGAGGAGGGATAGAAAAAAATATTGTTGCTAGCGAAAATTTGTTTTGAATGCAGTTGATCTCATTTTATTTTTTCTGAGGTCAGTAATCGTATATAATAATATATAGAATCGAATGTTTTCATTAATGTGATGATGTCTCTTGTGCCATGCACCAAACAATATTTGCCATAATCTACCAATATAAGTCATTGTGTATAGCTTATAAAAATTAGAAAGGTGATATCAAATTGCACATATAAATAAAATATGTACTAATTAACACGTGGAGATTTTATACTCGAAAATTTTACTCACATAATATATATTCTTCAATAGAAAATAGCATTTACATCCAAAAATTTTATAAACTATAAAATACCATATTCTATAGAATCAGATAATTTCATCTTCAATGAAATATTTCGATGCAAAAATTTTTACACTCCTTTTATACACTAAATTTAGTAGTTCTAATAATAAATAACGAATATCAAAAAGAAACAATTTTTGCTATAGTTGAATATTAAAAAAAAAGTATTTTTAAATGTGCTTAAAAACTTAAGAAGTGATAGATTTATATAAAGATAGTCATTTTTTGAATATATTTGCAACTATTGATTAACACGAGGCCATAATTTTGATATAAGAATTTTAAAAATTAAATTAATCACAAAATGCAAAAATGATTGAAAAATCTTTCAAATATTGATAAATGAGTGAAAATTCTTCCACGTGTTTACTTTCAGCATGTGCTTCTTTATTATAATGTTGAGTTAAACTCTTTAAACTCTTTACCAAAGCTCGTTCCAAAATATTATTTCTTCACATTATATTATATTCTATTTATAAAAAAATGTATGAATACCCTAGGGGCAATCGACCATTAATCGCCGACTAATATTAAAAAGTTATATTTTGCAAAAATAATTTTTAAAAGTATCAAGATCAGGTAAAAAAGTTATTGAATTTTATTAACAATAACAATTTATTAATAATTTGTTAACAGCTTATAAACAATTTATTAACAATTACTTTTAGGAATTAAAAAGAAAATTCTTTATGAAAATACAATTATTTTCAATGCACTTTTTAAAAAATTATTCAAAAGAATTTTATTATATTTTCAAAAATTTTAATAACATTTTTCCCAAAAATTCAATTATTTTAAATACAATTTCAATAGAATTTCTCCAAAGAATAAAATTATTTTAGTGATATTATTACAATTCTTTATAAGAATTCAATTATTTTCGATGTAAGTTTTTTATCTAGATACAAATTTTGTTCACCAATTCAATTATTTTCAAAGATTTTCATAAAAATATTCTGAAGAATTCAATTATTATAAAAAATTTCAACGAAATTCCTCGCGTGACTTTAATTTCAATTTGAAATAATTATTATTAATAATTTTCAATTATTTTTCAACAATTTTTGAATTTCAATTCACTGAATTTTTTACAATTCAATTATTTTCAATTTCAAAACAATTTTAATAAAATTTTTTTAAGAATTGAATTATTTCCAAAAAATTGTATTCAAATTTCTTAAAAGAATTCAATTATTTCAGGAAATTTTAATCAAATTTCTCAAAAAATTTCAATTATTGTTAAAATTTTTTTTATAATTATTCAAAAGAATTCAATTATTTGCAAAAATTTTTGGTCTTTATTAGAATTCAATTTTTCATCAATTTAATAAAATTCTTCGGAAGAATTCAATTCTTTTTAAATATTTTAATAAAATTCTTCTGTGAAATTCAATTATTATCAAAAATGTTGATAAAATTGTTTATGAGAATTTAATTATTATTATATCAAATACAATTTTAATAAAATTTCACGACAGAATTCAATTATTTTCATTATTTTCCTTGAATTAATTAATTTTTTCAAGGTTTTTAATCAAAATTTTTCTGTGAATTTCAATTAGTGGCGAAAATTTTAATAAAATAAATTCTTCACAATATTTGAATTACTTTCAAAAATTTTAAATAAATTCTTCAAAAGATTTCAATTATTATCAAAATTTCTAATAAAATTCTTCTCAAAATTCAATTACTTTCGTAAATAATAAAGTTCTTAGCAGAAATTCAATTATTTTTAAAAAATTTAATAAAATTCTTCTCAAAAATTCAATTATTTTCAAAAATTTTAATAACATTCTTTTTAAAATTCTTTAAAAATCTTTTTAAAATTATTTACTTTCATAAATAATAAAATTCTTCACATAAATTCAATTATTTTCGTAAGTAATAAAATTCTTCTCAAAAATTCAATTATTTTTGTAAACAATAAAATTCTTCTAAAAAATTCAATTACTTTCGTAAATAATAAAGTTCTGCGCAAAAATTCAACTGTTTCCAAATATTAAAATAAAATTCTTCTTAAAATTGAATTACTTTCGTAAATAATGAAATTCCGAAGAGAAATTCTATTATTTTCAAAAAATTTAGTAAAATTTTTCTAAAAAATTCAATTAATTTTTTAAACAATGAAATTCTTCTAAAAAATTAAATTATTTTTTTAAATAATAAAATTCTTCAAACGAATTCAATTATTATTTTTAAAAAATTTAATAAAATTCTTAATAGGAAATCAATTATTTTCGTAAATAATAAAATTCTTTTCAAAAATTCAATTATTTTTGTACATAATAAAATTCTTCGTAATAATTGAATTATTTTCAAGGTTTTAGTAAAATTCTTCTTAAAATTCAATTACTTTCGTAAATAATAAAATTAATTTTAAATTAATTTTCTAAAAAATTTAATTACTTTTGCAAATAATAAAATTCTTCGCATAAATTCAATTATTTTTAAAAATTTGAATAAAGGTTATTGGGAAAATTCAATTATTGTCAGAAATTTTCATAAAATTCTTTATGGGAATTCAATTATTTTCAATTCAATGTTTATTGAAAATATTTAAATAAAATTCTTCTAAGAAATTCAATCATTGTCAAAAGTTCTAATAAAATTGTTGATATAATTATTTTTTGCAAAATATAATTTTTTAAAATTAGCCGACGACGACTTTAGTCTCGAATAATGGATTGACTCCCTAATTAATTGCGATATTCTTTTAGAAAAAAGAAAAGTTTTCTTAAATATAAATTAGAAAATTGCGCATTATGAGATTTATTATATAAAATGTGTTCAAATTCATTAGACAATGACTTGTTTTTTGCACTGTGTCATTAAGAAAAATATATATAAATATTTGTGCGTAATTAAAAAATGCAAAATACTTTTTGCGTTAAATAGATAGGTTTTAAGTAAATGTGAATCGACAATAATGAAAGATTAACAGAATTAATATTCACATATATTATTCATATATATGTATATTGCTTAGATGTAAATGAAAAAAAGCATATCGTGAATTGGAGTAACTTGTTTTCGATAACTGCCGTTACGTTAATTATTGTATTCTTTTTTCCGCGTATTTATGTTATATAGAAAATATTTTTTTTGTTTTGTTATTCTTAGAAGAGAAAAATTTATTCAAATTTTATTTCATTTCTAATTAAAATTATTAATAATTTTGAAAGAGAGAGAAAAAAAAATTTTTTTTGTGTAAAAATAATTTTTTTTTATTTTTGTTAAAAGTTCGAGTGGAATTGTAAGTTCGAAGTAAAAATTTATATATAGACAGATAAGTGAGAATGTGTGCAAGTTGCTTGTCGTTTTCAAATTTATTCGAATATCTACGCTTCAACTCACAATCGAATGTAAAATAGGGTCGAAAGATCATTGCATATAGATTGAAGTGATCTACACACTTAAACTTGAAACGAAGGAAGCATATTTTTTTTTTTTTTTTTTTTTGACAATCCAAGTTTTGGGTTTATTTTAAGTTACACGCAATACCAAAGCAATCTTTGTTTCTTAAAAACAAAAAGGAAAAAAAAATTGTCGTCGTTGTTATAATTAAATTTTTTTTCTTCAGGAAAAGAAACATTAAATTGTGTTATTTCGTAAACGAAAAGAATTTTTATGTATACGCAATATTTTATAATCTTCCTGAGATTTAAATTTAGAAAATTAGAGAAAAAGAAAATTACGTTCGTTAATATAATTGTTTATCGTTAGTGCCATAATTTTAATTATACAGCAGGACAGTTATTCTGTAAAATCAAAAGATTATTCAAATAAAGAAAATTTCATTCTACATGCCTTCCTATACTTTTTTTAATTAAATGTCAAATTTAAAAAAATTTTAATAATATTCTTTGGAACAATTTATTTATTTATAATTTCAATACAAAATTAATAAAATATCTCAAAAGAATTCAATTATTTTCTGTACAAAAGTAATTAATTTTCTTGAAAAAATTAATAATTTTTAAGATTTTAATAAAAATTCTTTTAAGAAAATCAATCATTGTCGAAAATTTTACTAAAATTCTTCAACAAATCCCAGTTACTTACAAAAAAATGAATAAAATTTTTCTAAGAAATTCAATTATCAAAAATCGTAATAAAATTCTTGGCAAGAATTGAATTATTTTCAAAATATTGTTTAAATTGTTTATCAGAATTCAATTCTTTTTAGTACCTATAATTTAAATAAACTTTCTCAGAGGAATTCAATTATTTTTAAATATTTATAATCAAATTCTTTTTAAAAATTCAATTATTTTCAAAAATTTTAATAAAATTCTTTTCAAAAATTCAATTATTTCCAAAAATTTTAATAAAATTCTTCTTAAAATTGAATTACTTTCGTATAAATAATGAAATTCCGAAGAGAAATTCTATTATTTTCAAAAAATTTAGTAAAATTTTTCTCATAAATTCAATTATTTTAAAAAAATTTTAGTAAAATTCTTCTAAAAAATTCAATTATTTTCGTGAATAATAAAATTCTTTGCAATGATTTAATTATTTTCAAAAGTTTGAGTAAAATTCTACTCAAAAATTCAATTATTTAAAAAAATTTAAATTAAATTCTTCGCATTAAATTCTATTATTTTCAAAAAATTTAGTATAATTCTTCTCAAAAATTCAATTTTTTTATTTTCGTAAATAATAAAATTTTTCGCAATAATTCAAATATTTTTAAACATTTTAATAAAGTTCTTCTCAAAAATTCAATTATTTCCAAAAATTTCCATAAAATTCTTCTTAAAATTAAATTACTTTCGTAAATAATGAAACTCCGAACAGAAATTCTATTATTTTTAAAAAATTTAGTAAAATTTTTCTCAAAAATTTAATTTTTTTCAAAGATGTTTATATAATTCTTCTCAAAAATTCAATACTTTTATTTTCGTAAATAATAGAATTTTTTTTCAAATATTCAATTATTTTTAAAAATTTTAGTTAAATTCTTTTTAAAAATTCAATTATTTTTAAAAATTTTAATAAAGTTATTCTTAAAATTGAATTATTTTCGTAAATAATAAAATTCTTTGCAATAATTCAATTATTTTCAAAAGTATGAGTAAAATTCTACTGAAAAATTCAATTATTTGCGTAAATAATAAAATTCTTCGCATAAATTCAATTATTTAAAAAAATTTTGAGAAAAGTCTTCAAAATAATTCAATATTCTTTTCGAAAACATGATTGAAATTCTTATGAGAAATTCAATTGTCACAAATTTTAATAAATATTATATAAAATAAAATAAATAAAATTAATTTTAATAAAATAATATAAAATTGAATTATTCTGAAGACAATTTTAATAAAAATTTTTCGAGTCATTTGAATTATTTTAAAATATTTTAATAAAGTTTATTGCAAGAATAATTTTTTTTTTGAGTTTTTAAAATTTGAAAATATTTTCAAATTAAAATATTAAATGTCCGGAATTCAAAGATTACTAATATTGAAAAAGATTATTTATTTAAAGAAAATAAATTTTATTTATAAAATATTCAATATTGTATGACATAAATTCGAATCATATATTGTTTTTCAAGAAGCAAATTTTTTAACATGTTTTAATTTTTAATATTATAAATAAATTATCAAATATCTGTCCAGGATAAAATAAATTCTTCTTTGAGATTCCACTGCAAATCTTTGATATATAAATACTGAAAGAAAAGAAATTGTTTATTAATAATTATTAGAAATAATTTGATAATTGCTCTTTTTAATTTTCCTTTTTTTCTTTTTTTTTTGTTTAAAATTAAAATTTTTGATTACTTACACTTTTCGCTTTATTGTAAGAAAATTTATCTTCATCAATTTCTTTATTGTTCATTAAAATACGTTTGACAGTGTTAATATTTATTCCAATTATTTTAATTTCTCCTAATATCATTTTCTCATTATACATGCCGCTGTTAAAAATATTCGAACGGAGGATATTATCCTGCACACTAAATTTCAGCCAATGGTATTTATTTTCTTCAACTGAGTCTATAAATATAATTAGAGGCTTAACAATTTTTTTTTTTTATTTAAACATATCGACAATAGTTTAATTTTTCCACCCAGAGAAAAATTTCATTTGAATTTAAACATAATTTAGGTATTTGAGTTAAATAAAAAAAAAATTGTCTCAGAGCCTAATAAAATATTTTCTTGTTTTAAATACAAATTTTATTCGACACAAATCACTTTTTCTTTGAAGTAAATAAAATTTAATTTCAACCAATTAAAATTTATTTGAAAATTGAAACAAACAAAAAGTCTAGTTGGCTCTGACTCAAATATATCTTTTCTCTGAGTATAAAATTTTTATTTAATATTTTATTGTTTAATATATTTTTGTTTAATATTCCTTTTGTTTAATATTTGTTTTTTTAAATATTTTCTTGTTAATATTTTTTTTTGGTTAATATTTTTTGTTTAATACTTTTTTTTTAATGTAATTTTTGTTTTTGTCTTTTTTCATATTTAAACTAAATAAATATTCTTCTTGTTTGATATTCTTTTTCTTTAATATTTTATTTGTTTAATATTTGGTTTGTTTAATATTTATTTTGTTTAATATTTTTTGGTTAATATTTTTTTGTTTAATATTTTCTTTGTTTAATATTTTCTTTGTTTAATGTTTTTTGTTTAATATTTTTTTTTTAATATTTAAACGAAATAAATATTCTTTTTGTTTGATTTTTTTTGTTTGATATTTTCTTTGTTTAATATTCGTTTTGTTTAATATTTTTTTTTTGAAATTTTTTTTTCTAAAGTTCTTTTTTTATCTTAAAATATAATTTATATTTATACACACCTAGACTTTCTCCATCGTCTAAATACAATTCACCTTCAGCTTTATTTTCATCACTCAATGCAATTAATAATCCAAAATCATTTTTCCTACTAGCTGTGGTGGTCAGCGATGGTTTTTGAAAAGGTAAAATATAACCACCTCTTACCAATAGAGGAATCGTATCCAAAGGTGCGTTAAGAGTAAAATTTTTTCCATTCGAATCTATTTTTTTGTATGTGTAATAATTATACCATATACCATGAGGAATGTAACTTTCAACTTTTTCCTTCTTATCAGAAATCTATTAAAAAGTTAGGTATTAAAAAGATTAAATAGGTTAACAAAAATAAAAAAAAGATTAAAAGACATAAAAAATGTAAACATTTTTCATGTCTTTTAATCTTTTTTTATTTTATTTTTTATTTTTTATTATTAAGAAAAGATCAAAAGACAAAAAATGTAAATATTTTTTATGTCTTTTAAATAATCTTTTTTTATTTTTGTTAATCTTTTTAATCTTTTAATGTTTACATTATTCGTATATTATTCTATTTTTAAAAATTGTTCCTTCACCTCGTCTAATACGGGAACAATCATTAAGGAACTGCCCCACAAAAATTGTGAATCGATATTATAAGTCTCGGAATCCTCGATAAATCTGTTGTTCGTTATTATAAATAAATAATATTATTATTTCCTTGTTATAAAATTATAAAAATTATTATTTATTAATTATTATTATATAATATTATTATTATTATTATTTATTGTACAAAATTATATTCAGTTATTATTTTCTATTAGTAAAATTATTAAATTGATATTATCTATTACACTGAAAAAAAAATATTTAATTCAAATTTGATTCAAAACAAATAATCGATTATTTATTTAAAAAATTACTTGAATCAAATATTTTTTTTCAGTGATTGACAAAAAAATATTTAATTCAAATTTGATTCAAAACAAATAATCGATTATTTATTTAAAAAATTACTTGAATCAAATATTTTTTTTCAGTGATTGACAAAAAAAATATTTAATTCAAATTTGATTCAAAACAAATAATCGATGATTTATTTAAAATTATTTATTTGAAAAATTACTTGAATGAAATAATTTTTTTTTCAGTGTGGTAAAATTATCTATACTAAAAGAGTGTAAAATTTATGTCGTGGGAGTAAAATGTATTTATACATACTCGAAAAATAGTGGTCGTGCTACTGTTTCGCCAAATTTATGAGCACGAAAGAAGAGAGTGTACAAATAGGGCAGTAATTCATATCGTGTCATCAATGACTTCCTAGTCGAATTTACCACTAATTCCCCCATTGAAACAGGATCTTGTTCCTTTTTTGTAAATCGAACAAAAAATTATATTCTCTAATTAAATTTTTTATCAAGATTATTTTTTTGTTATTAAAAAAATTATTTTTAATGTGGACAAATTTTTAATTCAAATTTTAATTGCAAAGAATATAAATTTTTAATTTTTAATTGAAATATTTTAATTGCAAAGAATAAAAATTGTAATTGAAATTTTATTTCAATTGCAAAGAATAAAAATTTAAATTGAAATTTTATTTGCAAAAAAAATTGTAATTGAAATTTTAATTGTCAAAAGAATTTTTTTTAATTGAAATTGCAGAAAAATGACAATTTTATTTAATTAAAAAAGAATTTTTTTCGAATCTAAAAATTAAGGAGATAATTAAAAAAATATTTTTTACAATAGTATCATCAGAGTTGTGATTTCGAGCAAATGGATAAAAAGCACCGACTTGCACCCATCGATTACATAAAGCCTCGGTGGTATCACCATCGAAACCGCAAATGTCAACACCCACCATTGGAATTTGGTAAAAAGTGTAAGCCAAAATTTCCGGTATACTCATTCGTAAACTGTGCCTAGAAAAAATTTTTTTAATTCTTTTATTAAATACATCGAAAAAAATATTCTGATAACAAAATACATTTTGTTTACTTCAAAATAATCACCACAAATATCACTGGAAAAAAATTGTCAAATAAAAAAAAGGAGGTGTAATTTAGAACCCATTTTTTGAGTACTAGCTTTTTTTTAATTGTTTAAAGCATTTTTGGTTCGAAACCTTCTTGTTCTAATTTCAGAATTTTTTTTTCTGTGTAATTTTGGCCTTAAATAAAAATTAAAATTATTACCCTCCCATTTTTTTTCTTTTTCCCTCTTTTTATTTCCTTAAATTAATAAAATTCTCTAAATCACCTAAAATAATACGTTTTCTCCTTTTTTTTACTTTTTTTCAAGAAAAATCTACAAAATGTCATTTTTTTAAAAGTTTTTTGTGCAAAACTTGAAAAAATTTGTAACCTTTTGAAACTTGAATATCTTTTTTATATTATTTTCTCAAAGAATATTTTTAAAATTTTTCTGAACATTAAAATGAACGAAATATTTTTTTACTATAAATATTATCAAAAACTACTGTCTACATTATAAAAATAAAAATCGTAAATCAAACATTTTTAAACTTGATAAATTAAATTTTCATATGTGATGCAACAATATTGTAATAAAATTTTAATTTGAAGAGAAAATAAATAAATTTCGTCCATTTGAGCGTTTAGAAATTTAAGGACATCTTTTGTATTTAATTTCCTATTTGAAAAAGTAATTTAAACATTTTTTTATCGTTACCATGATGAATAGGCATCTCCCGTCCATGCTCCTGCATAAAATCCGATACCAATCCAAGTTGATCGTGTTATAATGAAAGGCCTCTTTCGTCTTATTGTACTCAATGCGCTTTAAATTCAAAAATTCTTTTTTTGAAAAAAACAATTCTTTTTTTTCAAAATTTTATTTTTTATATTATTCTTTTAAGAATTTTTACTTTTACCACAAAATTTTAATTCTCAAATATTTCAGTACTTATTAAAGACGAACTGAAATTAATTTTTTATCTCAGCAAATATTTATGAAAATAATGCTTTGTTGAAATTCACAACTATCATCAACGATTTATCAAAAAAAAAATATTTTTCTAAGCAAATTTTCATAAATGTTTGTTATAAAAAAACATTTTACAAAATTTCTCGATTTCCTACTTTAAAATTTTTTTTATTTTTTAATAAAGAGGATTAATTATCAATAAATGTTGATATAAAAAATTTCTTAGAAATTTACCATTTTCTTTCTGAAATATTTTTTTTAATCGTTGATCATATAAACATTGCAAATTTCAACGATGTAAAATAACGAAATGAAATAAAAAATTATTACAGGACAAAAAACCAAATCTAAAAAATCCAGACCGAAAAATCCAAGAAAAAAAGTCCAAAGTAGAAAAAAATACGAAATAAAAATATCCAAAGTCAAAAAATTCAAAATAAATCAAAACGTTTGAAGAAGCCGCAGTTTTTACTTTTTACGCTATAAAATCGGAACTTAAAATATTAATGTTAAAATCGAAAGATTTCAATTATTTACATAAATAATAAAATTCTTCACAAAAATTCAACTATTTACATAAATAATAAAATTCTTCAGAAAAATTCAATTATTTTCATAAATAAAAAAATCTTCACAAAAATTCAATTATTTTTAAAAATAAAAAAATTTCTAGAAAAATTTCAATTATTCTATAAAATTTTTAAAACAATTATTCCAAGAAATACAATTATTTTCAACAATTTTGATAAAATTCTTTACAAAAATTCAATTATTTAAAAAATTTTTAATAAAAATCTTCTTAAAGTTCAATTACTTTCGTAAATAATAAAATTCTTCGCAGAAATTCAATTATTTTCAAAAAATTAAATAAAATTCTGCTCAAAAATTCAATTATTTTCGTAACTAATAAAATGTTTCTAAAAAATTCAATTATTTTCAAAAGTAAAAAAAATCTTCACAAAAATTCAATTATTTTTATAAATAAAAAAATTTCTAGAAAAATTTCAATTATTCTATAAAATTTTTAAAACAATTATTCCGAAGAAATACAATTATCATCAACAATTTTGATAAAATTCTTTACAAAAAATTAATTATTTTCCAAAATTTTTAATAAGAATCTTCTTAAAATTCAATTACTTTCGTAAATAATAAAATTCTTCGCAGGAATTCCATTATTTTCAAAAAATTAAGTAAAATTCTGCTGAAAAATTTAATTATTTTCGTAAGTAATAAAAGTTTTGTAAAAAATTCAATTATTTTTGTAAGTAATAAAATTCTTCTAAAAAAATCAATTATTTTCATAAATAAAAAAAATTTCAATTATTCTATAAAATTTTTAAAACAATTATTCCAAGAAATACAATTATTTTTAACAATTTTGATAAAATTCTTTACAAAAATTCAATTACTTTATTCAATATAATTCCAATTTAATTGCTCGATTAATTCAATTATTTTCAGAAATTTAAAATGTTAAGTTTATCTACTTTTGATTCACGCAGTCATCGAAATGAGCAACTCAAAAAAAAAATAATTTCATTCAAGGCAACTATTCAAATTTTTATATCTCAATTTCTTTCATTGGCTTTTTAATTTTTTTGGACTTTTTGACCAGGACAAAAAATCCAAAAAATAAGTCCAAAGTGAAATTACTTTTTTTTACTTTTTTGGATTTCATTTACTTTGGATTTTTTGTTTTGGACTTATTGTCCGGATACCATAAAAAATAAAGTGAAAAATAATTTCTTTGAAGATAAAAATAAACTTGAGGGTAAAATGTCTTCAAATTAAAAATTTTCTTCTTTAATTTTGGAAAAAGTTTCATATAGTTCAACCTACTAATTTGTAGCTGCAGCTTGACCGAAGCCATAAGTGTTATGAAGATCATAATGATATCCCAAAAATTGATTTGCATTCATGCATAAAGTTTTTCTTGAAAGTTGCCTGCCAGCAACGTGCGGCACAAATTGTGGATTATCCAAATCATTTTGGGGACATCCATCGAAATGTCCATTTATAAAACTCGAGGGCTCATTCATATCCTACAGAATAGTAATATAATTTTTATCATCCATTTTATTTTTATAAATTCATCAATTCATCATTATTCTTAAATCTTATATTTTCATCATAATTCTTCCATTTATTTTTCTATTTCTTTTTTTTTTACTTTTTCTTGTTTTTGAATTTACTGAAAAAAAATTTATTTGATTCAAATAACCGATTAATCGACTATTATCAATTAAATATTTACTTGAATAAAATAATATTTATTGGAGTAAATAAATGGTAAATGGTATTTGAACCAATAATTTCAGTATTTAAAGCAAATATGAATTGAAACATTTAATTGACTCTAATAAATATTATTTGATTCAATCAAATATTTACTCCAATAAATATTATTTGATTCAATTAAATATTGACACCAATAAATATTATTTGATTTATTTAAATATTGACTCCAATAAAATATTATTTAGTTCAATTAAATATTGACTCCAATAACTATTATTTGATTCAATTAAATATTTAATTGATAATAGTCAATTAATCGGTTATTTGAATCGAATAAATTTTTTTTTCAGTGCAAAAAACTGTGGTTTTTGTTATTAAGAAAAATTTTCTTTTTCCCTCTATACGTACAATCCATGCGCCATCGAATTGAAAATTTCCATGCGCTATTTCCATCATGTCTTTATAATATTCCTGAGTTTGGGGATTCGTAAAATCAGGCCACACTGTCGTTAGGGGATTCCACACTTTTCCATAAAATGGCAAATCAGTGCCATTTTCTTTTATAAAAATACCGCGACGAAGTCCTTCGTCTAATGGTGGATACGAACCATGTTTTTCTGTTCCGGAAATTCCAGCATCAATTAGAGGAATATAGTGCATTCCTTGCTAAAATATTTTTCAAAATTGAAAAAGAAATTCTAATTTAAAAAAGAATTCATTTCTTATGTAAGAAAATTAATTTCTTGAAAAAATTATAGATTTCTTAAAAATTAAGGAGGGTTTATTGGTATTTTCAACTATATCAGGAAGATAATTTAAATATTGCACAAAATTTGTTTTACTGTGATTTTTTTAGAGTAATTCATGAAATAAATAATGTGTCATAATATTATTATCTTGTACAAAATAATCTGACGTAAAATAAAATCTGTCATAAATTTGCCAAAAAGTCAATCAAATAGTTTTTTATTCTGTTAATTAATTTAATTTATTTTTTTTTATTAATTTTAATTAATTTAATTGTTAATTTAATTTAATTGTTTTAATTTAATTGTCAATTTTTTTTATTCTTAATCTGTTAAAAATCATAAAATATATATTTGTACCCACAAAAGAATTGCCGAATGAAAAAATTGATTTTTACTATTTTTTAAGCATTTTTTTTTTTAAAGAAATTTATTTTTAGTCTGAGAAATCTAAAAAATACCATTATTAATTAATTTTTATTTGAAAATTCATTTTTTTTTTGTATTTTCTAACTAAATTCAGATCATCATTTTTCCTAAAAATTTGTTGATTTTGAAATCCATGCATAATTTTGTAGAAAATATATTTTTGTACCCACAAAAAAATTGCCGAATGAAAAATTGATTTTTACTATATTTTAAACATTTTTTGGAAAAAAATTTGTTTTTAAGCTGAGAAATCTAAAAAATATCATTATTAATAAATTTTTTTATTTGAAAATACATTTTTTTTTAATTTTCTAACTAATTTCAGATCATAATTTTTTTTATATACCTAAAAAAATAAAAAGAACACAAGAAAATTATATGATAAAATTATAATCTGAAATTTAGTTAGAAAAAAACAAATTATTTTTTAAATAAAAAAATTAAATAATAACAAACCTTTTAGAATTTTCAGCCAAAAAAAACAAATTTTTTAAAAAAAAAAAAATGCTGAAAAAATAGTGAAAATCAATTTTTTCATACGGCAATTTCTTTGTGGAAACAAAAATTATATTTTCTACAAAATGAAGCATAAATTTCAAAATCTACGAATTTTTTAGGAAAAATAGAAATATTTCAAAATCAACGGATTTTTTAGGAAAAATAGAAATATTTTATTTTATGACCTTTGAATTTCTCCTTAAAAAAATTACTATATAAAAATAATTTTATGGAATATTAAAATTATTGTTTTATTATAGTTAAAAAAAAATCGATGCTAAAATTTATAATTTAAAAAAAATAGTATTTAAAAAAGTATAACAATAATTAAATAAAATAAAGAATTCACTGAAATTATTTACGTCATGAAGTTCGTTTATAAATTCAGGAAGACCTTCAAATCTCTTTTTATCATAAGTAAAATCATTTCTTCGTTCCATATAGTCCAAATCATTCCACTGTGTATCCTGGAAAAAATTTATTTTAATTTTCATTTATTTTTTTAACTTTTTAATAATATTTTCTTTTATCTCAGGGAAAATTATTGTTCACTGTTTACAAAAGGAATTTGAGCCATTTTTGTTCTATTCCACACTTCTTTTGTTCCTTGCAAGGTGTGATATCCAAGTCTAAAAAGAAAAATATTATCTTCGATTTTCTTCATTTTCTCTCAAATTATTTTTTTTATCTCGAATAATTTTTTTTTTATTTTATATTTTTTATAATTATTTGTTCCAAGTGATGAAAAATTTTTTTGTCTTCAGTTTCTCAAATTTTTACTCTTCTTGTTCAAATGAACAAATGAGAGGTAAAAATTTAATGTTAAAATTTGATTTTCCGAATTTATTTATTTATTTTTTATTTTTTTTATTAATATTTTATTTAAATTATAGGTATTTATTTTATTTTAATTTATAATATAATTTCTGAATTAAAGATCTATTAATTATGATTATATAAATTCACTTCCTTTAATTAATGATAAATAAATAAATACCTATAATTAATTATTTATGTTTATCGATTTATTATTTATTATAATTATGAATTAATGAGTTTGATTTTGTGAATTACTTGCTGAGATGGAAACCAAGTGACCAATATGGTGGTAAAAATGGATTTCCTATGAAATTTGCATATTGTTTCAAAACATCTTCTGGAGTTGGTCCCATAAAAAAATAAATATCGAAAATACCACCAATTGTCCTAAAGGTTATTGCCGGAGTTGGTTGTAAAATTACATCTAAACGTAGAACAAATAATTTTTTACTCTTTGTCAATTATTAATAAAATTAAAATAAAATAAAAAAAAATTAATATTATGAATTATTTTTTTTATTTAGATTTTATCAATAATTTTCTGTACCCATTGCATTGCTATTAAGAAAAAGAACGCCATGACAATCGCCAGATTCTTCTATTACAAAATAAAATGGTTGTGATCCATAGAGATTTGCCTTGAAATTAAAAATAATTAATAAGTATTTAAAAACATTTTTTATAAATATAAATTAAAAAATATTAAAAAATAATTTTAAAATATAAATTAAAAAATAATTTTAAAATATAAATTAAAAAATATTAAAAAATAATTTCAAATTAAAAAAAGTAGAAAAAAATTGTTTAAAAATTAAACGAAAAAAAATTTTTTATCTATACATTTTCCGTAACTGGCTGATCAGCACTAAAAAATGTCAAGAGCTGCCAATTTGTTGATAATTTTAAATGTGTTCTGTGCTGGCCAAGACCGTAAATATTGTGAGAGGGTAATATTGAACTTATTTGTAGAAATTGATTCGCAAATATAAAGCCACCAATTCCGTTCGAATCGAATCTATAAAAATAGAAATATTTCGCAAAAATAATTATTTTTTATTCTGGAAAAGTATTAATTAATTCAATGAAAAATTGTGTATGGTAACTTACAATTTAATTCTACTCGATTTTCTATGAACTGAAAAACCTGGAGCTGATTGATTAATTTTTAATTGATACGATGTAATTCCATCAAATGGTTCCAATTTAGACCTAATTGGCCAAGGTGGTTCGTATCTTTTTTTCGACGGATCGAATAACTATAATTTATATTATTTTAATTTTAATATTAGTCACTTAATTTTATTATTATTTTAATTTTATTATTATTCACTGAATTTTATTATTATTCACTTAATTTACTTTAATCATAAATTAATTTAATTATTTAATTGAATTTCCAATTATTAATTAATTTTCATTCAATTATACAAGGAAAAAATTTTTTACATAAATTAAATTAACAAAAACGAAAATTAATTAAACAAAATTTTGTTTAATTAATTTTCGTTATTGTTAATTTAATTTTCTTTTTGTTCATTTATTTAGTTATAAATTTTTTTGAAAAAATTATTTATTGTACCTTAACTTTCAGAGTGAAAGCATCGACGCTGGTAAATTCAGCTTTTACTAATTTCAAATCATTTTTATACGTCGAACGTCCATTCAATTTTAAATAAGCAGAAAAATGCTTTTCATTATTTTCTCGACCCTCTATTTTCTCGTAATCATAAATTTTCCAATTTTTCCTATAATAGCAAGATGGAATATTGATATTATCGGAAAATTTCCAACAACAATTTCTCGAACCACAAGCAAGTTCTGAAGCTCCGTCTTCTGGATGACAATCGAATCTTTCATTCACCGAAATAAGCGAACATTCTCCATCTTCAATATTTTTGCTCTCAATATTCTTTAATATTAACATCAGAGCCAAGAATAATGTCATCCATTTATTTCTAATCATTTTTTCAAACTGAACAAAAAAGGTAAAAAAAACTATTTTTACAGAAATATTTTTTTTTTAATTACAATTTTTTAGTCAAACTTTCAAGTTTTTCCGTAAAGACAATCATTATTTTTTTGTAAATCGATTATTTTAAATCATTCGGAAAAATCTACGTTTTATCTTTTATAAGCACAATCTTATCGTCCGATAATTTTTTTTTTGGTAAAAAAATGAACAATTTTCTAGAAAAAAATTATAAATTGAAAAGTCTTTATTTCATCACGATTATAAAATACAAGTTTTTGTTCTCTTACAAATATAGTTTAACATTTTTAAAATTTCTTTTAAAAAAAATGTATGTACGCTTAGAAAAATATCCATTGCATCACATGGCTTATTATATAAAATTCTTAAAAATTTATATTATACATTATAATTATTTTTGTATATAAACAATTATTATTTTTGTAAATTACTCTTTAAGCTTAAATCTACTCTTTGAAGATTAATTGGTTTTTAAAAATGGCACGAATATTATATTATAAAAATTTTTCTTTGAGAAAAATATAAATTCTTAAAAAATATTATTAAATTATTTAAAGTACAATTCTTACCAATGAGCGATTACTCAACAACACTGATACAATAAAAAGTAAAAATTTATTGTAACTCGTAAATGTAACTGCAGCCGAATAAACTTGATATCTTTCTGTTTTAGAGTCAGTAATTTCCTTCTCTTTTTCCGTCCAAGATAAAGTCAACGTATCTTTCATTTCAAGATTTAAATTTTTCACATAAAGATACTGGGAAAAGAGAGAGAAAAATAATTAATTAAAAAAACAATCCGTACAACTAATTTGAAAATATAATAAATTTATTTTATTTCAAAAGAAAATTCAATTAAAATTTATTTCACAAAATTGAAAATAGTTTGTGAAATTGTAACTAAATTGGAAAATTAAGAAAAGTAGTTGAAAATTGAAAAAAGTATTTAAAAGATATTGAAAGTATTGGAAAAATTAGTAATTGTAAAAAAAATGAAAATTGTAATTACTCACAGAAATATTTTTTTTAAAGAAGAAATTATCACTGTCAATATCCGTATTGTTAACGATTACTCGTCTCACTTGTTCCAATTCCAATCCCAAAACATAAATTTCTTCTATAATAATTTTTTCGGAGAAAGAATGCTTGGTGGTTTGAATAGTTAGGGTATTGTTTGAAACTGTAAAATTTAGCCTTTGGTACTGTTGCTTTTCGAAGGAATCTGTAGAGATAAGAAAAACATTAATGCGATATAAAAGAATCTTTGATATAAAAAAATTTGAATAAAAACTAACACAATGTAAAAAAATAATAGTAAAAATAATAATGTTCTGTTACATTTTATTTACGAATTTCTTCAATTATTGTAAAAATAATCGAAAACTTCAGTAACTTCTAACTTCAAATAAATATTCAATTATTACTTTTTCACAGGAATTAAAATTCTTCGAAACATTCAAATTTAAACCTTTTTGAAATTCAACAACTTTTAAGAATCTTCGACTCTGAATGCTTGATTTCTTCATGTTTTATAATAATTAAAGATGACCGTGTTAAAATATATTATTTTTTAATATAAGAATATTGTTACCGCAACTTTTCACCAAAATTATTTTCATCATATTAAATTATTATTTTATAGTATTTTTGAGAATTTCTTCTCAAATTAATTATTTTTAATAATTTTTGAAGTTTTTTGAGAATTTTCAAATCCACTTGTTTACAATATTCACTTTTACGAAATTTCATCGATTACTCGAAAATTCTTCGTTCTGTATTAGAAAATAAAAACTTCAAATAATTTTTAAAAAAAATTCAATTAAACTTTTTCAAAAATAAATCCAATTAAATTTTTTCAGAAAAAATTAATTCTACAGAAATATTATTTACAAGTACGGAAAAATCAAATTTTCAGAGAATTTAATTTGAAACCTTTACAAAATTCAATTATTTCTTAAAAGTCATGAAATTTTAATATTCAATTATTATCAAAAATTTTAACTGAAATTAATTTTAAAATCAATTTTTATTAGAAAATTCTACGAGAATTCAAATTGTATTAAAAATAATTGAAAATCTGCAATGATTTCTATTATTTATGAAAATAATTGAATTCTTGCGAAGAATTTTATTAAACTTTTCGAAAATAATTAAAATCCTGTTAAAAATTTACAGAAATTCAATTATTTTCAAAAAATTTAATAAAAATCTTGGCCTATATTAAAAATAACAAACTTCTTAGCAGAAAAGAATAATTTTCATAATTATTATCATAATTGAATTTCTGCGGAGAATTTAATTAAAAAATTTTTTATATTATTGAATTCTTCAGAAAAGTGTTGAAAAATTTTTGAAAATAATTGAATTTTGTAGAAGAATTTTATTATTTTTAATGATAATTGAAATTTTGACGCGAGTCTGTAACAACATTGATAAAGTAATAAAACTTTCAAATAAAGTAAAGTAATTAAATTAAACGGAAAATTGGCAAAAAAACAGGAAAAAAATCATTTATACACAAATTAATTAATTAAATACCTAGACTGTCACCATCATCCCAGTATAACTCTCCTGTGGCAAATTGCTGCTTATCCAAGGCAATTAATAAGCCAAATTTATTCTTCCGACTCTCTGTAGTAGTTCCAGAATTGTTTTGCACAGGCAGAATTGACCCACCTCGAACCAGTAAAGGAATTGTATCCAGAGGAGCATCGAGAGTTAGATTCTGGCCAGTTGATAATAGGCCTTCATTTGTATATAAATTGTACCATTTGCCTGCAGGTATATAGGCATCGACTTTTTCCTTTTTATCGGAAATCTAAAAAAAAAAAAAAAATAGTTTTAAAACACAATTTTCAGTAAAATACTATAAATAGAATTTCAAGTAAATTTTAATTAAAATTGTAAAAATAAAATCTCAAATAAATTTTCAATAATAAAATTACAATTAAAATTGTAAAAATTAAATTTTAATTAAATTTCCAATAATAAAATTTTAATTAAATTTCCAATAATTAAATTTCAATTAAAATTGTAAAAATTAAATTTCAAGTGAATTTTCAATAATTAGCTTTCAATTAAAATTGTAAAAATAAATTTTTTAAAAATTCCACAAATAAATATTCTCACCTCATCCAGTACGGGAACAATCATTAAAGAACTTCCCCAGAGAAACTGTGTATCGACATTGTACGTATTAGGATCATTCAAAAATCTGTAATAAAATTCTTAATTAAAAAAGTTCATTCTACCAACGAAAATAAAAAAATGAAAATTATTGAAAAATTTTTAAATAAACAAGATTAATTTAATTTTTTAAACTCACTCGAAGAACAAGGGACGTGCAACAGTCTCGCCGAATTGATTAGCACGGAAGAAGAGAGTGTATAAATAGGGCAAAAGCTTATATCGAATCGTGAGAGCTTTTCTTGAGGACCTGACTACCAATTCTCCCATCGCAACAGGATCTTGCTCCTGTAAATGAAACATAAAATTGTAAATTACAAATTCTCAATTATTTTTCAGGTAAAATTTCAAAATAATAGTTTTGAATATTACAGGCCTCGGGTGGACTTGATAACGCAAAAAAGTCATTTTTTAATCGATTAAAAATACAAAAAAATCGAGTAAGTCAATAAAAATAAAAGACATTTCAAGAATTAAAGATTTTTGGAGTAAAAAATAATTCGAATAAAATTAAATAACATTTAAAGAACTAAAGATCTTTGATTTGAAGTAAAAAAAAAATTCGAACAAGTTCAGATATTATTTCACTTTTCTGGTATAAATTCGTAACAGAATTTTTGATAATTAATTAAAAATAAATCGATAAATTCCATGGAATGAAAACTGTAAGTTTATAATAAAAGTTCACTTACAACAGTGTCATCGGAATTGTGGTTTCGTGAGAAAGGATAAAAAGCTCCAACTTGCATCCATCGATTGCAGAGAGAAACTGTTGTATTTCCATTAAAGCCACAAATATCTGCGCCAATCATTGGAATTTGAAAGAAACTAAATTGCAAAATTTCTGGAATACTCATTCTTAGATCGTACCTAGATAAGAAAATTATATTATTTTAATTCAACAATTTCATTCAACTATTTCCATTATTCCATTTTTAATTTTTTTTTAATTACCAAGATGAATAAATGTCTCCTGTCCAGTGCCCTGCATAAGATCCATGACCAACCCAAGTAGAACGGGAAATAATGAAAGGCCTCTTATTTCTTATTTGTTTCAATGCACTTTAAACAAAAGAAATTAATTAATTTAAATTATGTCCTTAAAGTATTTTATTCTCCAACGTAATTAAAAATTAAATTCTAAAAAAAATTTAATTTTCAAAGAAACAGTTACAATTCAGAAAATTTCAAAGTTATTCAAAAATTAAAATACCTACAATTTTTTCCAACTGTTGAATATTTTTATATGTTTTATTTGATGTAATTTTTTTCTTCATTATGAATAATAATTTAAATATTTTACCTAATTTGACTGAATATTTCTTATTTCTAAATACATAAAAAAATACGAAAAATATTAATAATAATGAATATAATAATAATAAATTTTTGATTGCGCTAAAAAATGAATTTCAAGGATTTCATAAAAAGGACTTAAAAATGAACTCACTTATTTGTTGAAATTGCTTGGCTGGTACCATATGTATTGTGAAGATCATAATGAGCTCCTAAATAGTGCTGTGAATTCATACACAGCGTTTTCCTTGCAAGTATACCTCCATTAACTTGAGGTAAATATTCCGGGTTATCTAAATCGTTCGGCGGACAGCCATTAGAAAGACCATTGTAAAAGTTAGATGGCTCGTTCATGTCCTACAATTAAAAAAAATAATTAAATACATTAATTACTAATAATAATAATATTAAGTCTTGAATATTTGTTTATTATTTTTCTGTTTTTTTTTATTGAACGTGGAATTCAATGAATTGTTTTTTCAATGATTGTCACTTACTCACTTAATTAGCAAAAAAAAAAAGAAACAACAAAAAAATATTTTCTTTATTTTCAAATATTACCTTCAAATTTTTCAACAATATTTTAGAATAAAATTTTTTTAAAATTCGCTTATTAGCTAATTAATTATTACTTATTGTTTTCAACAATTTTAATAAAATTTCTCTTGAAAGAATTCAATTATTTTCATAAAAAATTAAAATCTTCGACAATATTTAATTATTTTCAAAATATTTAATAAAATGAAATAATAAATAAATATTATAATTTACAATATTTACAATAATAAATTAAATGAAATAAAAATAAAATCTTATAGCAAAAATTCGATTATTTTCAAAATTTGTATGACAATTCTTCGCAAGAATTCCATTATTTTCATGAGTATAATAAAATTCTTCGTAGGATTTCAATTACATTCAATAAAGTTTTAATACATTTTTTCAAAAGGGTTAAATTATTTTTTTTAATTTTGATAGAATCTTTACAAAGAATACCATTTTTATTAATACAATTTTAATTAAATTCCTCGACAAAATTCAATTATTTAATTACAAAAATAAATAATTTATTAAATAATTGAATATTTCTTAAAATAAACTTCTTATAAAGAGTTTGATCAAAAATTTTTTCAAATAATTGAATTACTACGAAAAATTTAATTAAAACTTTTGAAAATAATTTTTAAATTCAAATCAACAAATTATATCAAATCTTTTGAAATAATTGAATTCTTTCGAAGAATTTTAATAAAATTTAAAAGAATAATTTCATTATTCGAGTAATTTATTTAAAATTGTATTAAAAATAATTGAAATCATGCGATGAGTTTTACTATTTATGAAAATAATTGAATTTATAAAAAGAATTTCATTATTTATGAAAATAATTGAATCTCCGAAAAAAATTTTTTTATTTATTCTTAAAGAAGTTTATTAAAATTTCTAAATATAATTGAATTCCTGGAAAAAATTTAATTCATCTTTATAAAAATAATTAAATTTCTATGAAAAATTTTATGAAAATTGTGTTTTAATGTTGTAAATAATCAAATTCTTGTGAAAATTTTTATTATTTATGAAAAAAATTGAATTCTTGCAACAAAATTTATTGAAATTTTAAAAATTAATTGAATTTGTGTAAAAAATTTTATTATTTTTAAAAATATTTAAATTCCTGACAAGAATTTTATTCTTTATAAAAATAATCAAATTCCTGTGAAACATTTTATTAGTTATAAAAATAATTGAATTCTTCCAACGAATTTATTAAAATTTCTAAAAATAATTGATAATTCTTGCAACGATATTTATTAATATTTCTAAAAATAATTGAATTGCTGAAAAGAATTTTATTATTTTAAAAAATAATTAAATTTATCGCAAGAATTTTATTACTTATAAAAATAATTGAATTCGTGGCAAGGATTTTATTATTTTTAAAAATAAATAACTTTCTGTAAAACAAATTCCTGTGAAACATTTTTTTATTTCTAAAAATAATTGAATTCTTGCAACGAAATTTATTAATATTTCTAAAAATAATTGAATTCCTGGAAAGAATTTTATTCTTTATAAAAATAATTGAATTCTTGTAACAAAATTTATTGAAATTTCTAAAAATAATTCAATTTTTGTGAAGAATTTTATTAAAATCTTTTTAAATAATTGATTTTTTTCTGAAAATTGTGCTTCAATATGTTAAATAATCAAATTGCTAAAAATTAAAAAAAAAATATTTGAAAATAATTTTTTTACTTTAATTTTATTTAAAATTAAATAAAGTATTTAAAATTTTAAAGTAGTGTAAATGTTTTCTAATAATATTCTTCTAAGTCGTTGAATTTCAAAAAAGTTTGAATTTGAAATTTTTGATATTGAAAATAATTGAATTTCGAATAATTTTTGAAAATAAATAAATAATTGAATCGTTTCTAAGAATTAAATTGAAATTTATGAAAATAATTATTTTATTTTAAGTTTCAGCAAATTTAAAGTGGTGCAAATTTTCAAAAAGTCAAAGAAAAAATTATTTTTTAATGTCACAATTACTTAAAAAAAAATTATGCAAATTGTAGCAAATTGGAAAAAAAGTTGTAAATAGTTGGTTTTACTAGATAAGTACAAAGCCTGTTAAAAATAAAATGCAATAAAATAAATATAATGATAGGCAATAATTAAAAATAAAATGTAATAAAATAAATTTAATGATAATAATTAAAAATAAAATGTATTAAAATAAATATAATGATAATAATTAAAAATAAAATGTAATGAAATAAATATAATAATAATAAAATTAAAAATAATAGTCTACAAAATGAATCAAATACTTACAATCCAAGCGCCATCGAATTCGAAATCCTTATGAGTTTCATTCATCATTTTCAAATAATAATCCTGTGTTTTTGGATTCGTAAAGTCAGGCCAAACAGTTGATTTAAAATTCCAAACTTTTCCCTGAAACGGCGAACCACTACTGTCCTTGACAAAAATTCCTTCTCGCACACCTTCATCATAAGGTACATAAGATCCCTTAGGTTCCGTTCCCGAAACTCCTGCATCGATTAACGGAATATAATGCATTCCTTCCCGATGCAATTCCTCGACGAATTCCGGAAGTCCCTTAAATTTCTCCTTATCATAAGTGAAGTCATTATGTTTATCCATATAATCCAAATCATTCCACTGCGAATCAAAAGGAATACCCGCCATTCTCGTTCTATTCCAAGTTTCTCTCGTCTTCTCCAAACTCCCATAGCCAAATCGACACAAATGAAAACCCAACGACCAGTAAGGTGGCATAAAAGGTCTGCCCACAATTTCCGAATACTGCTTCAAAACATCCTCCGGCGTTGGTCCCATGAAGAAATAAATATCAAAAATACCACCAATTGTCCGGAATGTTATTGCCGGCGCAGGTTGTAAAATAACATCCATCGCGTTGCTATTCAAGAAAAGAACTCCATGACAATCGCCCGACTCCTCGATTACCATGTAAAAAGGATGCGAACCATAGAGATTCGCCTTCTCAACTGGCGGCTGATCCGCATTGAATAGTGTCAATAATTGCCAATTTGTGGACAATTTCAAACGATTTCGATGCTCTCCCAAACCGTAAATATTGCTCGACGGTAGTAGAGAGCTCATTTGGAGAAATTGATTGGCGAATAAAAAACCACCAACTCCATTTGAATTGAATATTGTTTCTCCATTCGATGTTCTGTGCACGGAAAAACCTGGCGTTGATTTATCAATTTTTATCCCATACGAAGTGGAGCCGGGAAAAGATTTCATCTCCCTTCTCAATGGCCAGGGGGGTTCGTACCTTTTTTGCAAAGGATCGTAAAGTTTCACCCGAAGAATCGAACTATCAACACTTGTCGATTCGATTTTCACCAAAGACAAATCATTTTTATACGGCGATTTATTTTCTAATCTCAAAAAACCTGAGATTTCATTTTCCTTTTCGGTCACATTTTCGTATTTGTATATTTGCCAATTCATACCGTAGAAACAATAGGGTATATCTACAGAACCTTCTTTTTCTTTTTTTTGCATTTTTGTTTTATGTAGAGAAATCCAGCAACAATTCCTCTTCGTGCAGGCTTCTTCCGATGCTCCTGGTTCTGGATGACAATCGAATCTTTTACTCTCGGGAATTAGGGAACAAGTCGCAGAATTCAATTTTTGATGAGTTTCATTCAATTTTAAATTATTCTGCTCTAACTTGGAGTGAATTAACGAAATCTCTTTTTCTAGAATCATTATTTTCTCGACAGTCGCCTGGTCGGATTTACTGATACTTTCTTTGTCAATTGAATTAAAAAGTTGTTGAAATTCGTTCGAATATTGAAAAAATAATTCCGTTTGTTTGTTGAAGAATTTTTTTAAAGTCGATATCTTCTCGTCTGTCTCTTTGAAGGCTGGTAAAATGATGGTGAAATGATACATGATGAGAAAGACGAGTGTTAGCAAACATAGAATTTTGAAATAATGCTTTTTCTTCTTTTTCCTCATGACGTCCTCGCAAATCATTTGTTCCATTTTCATCATTTTTGTTCCTTAAATTTTTTAATTTTCCTGAAAAATAATAAATATTCAGATCAGAAATAATAAATAAATAGTAGAGGAAATATTCAGTTATAAAAATTATAAAATTAAATTAAATAAAAAATCTAAAATTAAATTAATATTAAAATTAAAATTAAAAAACAATAAAGTGAATAAAAAAAAATTAAATAAAAAATTAACTAACTGTACACAGTTAAACTATACAATGTTAAATTATCTCAACAATAATGACAACAACAATGACAAAAATAACGATAACAAACGTTATCGATTGTTACTATATATATTTACTTATATTTTTAAACTTTTGGAGCGGCTAGAAAATGAATTCGATTTTTAAAGTAAATAAATTAATATAAATTTAAATTAATCTAAATTTTGATAGACAAGTACCTAATCGATTATTTTAATCAAATAAATTTTTTTTTCCAATGTAGATGGAAAAAAAATTTCTAAGAATTACTTTTTTCCAAAAGTATAATTTTAATATAATTTTTAAAAGATAATTTTCATTAATTTTCTTTTTTTCAACTTTACACTTGAAGATTTTTCATTAAAGTTTTAAAGAATTCAATTATTTTCAAAACTTGCAATAAAATATTCTACAAAAGTGACTTTCAAATATAAATTTTACAAAAATTTTAATTATTCAAAATCTTCTGAATTATATATTTCGAAAATTTAATTAGAAAAATTATTCAAAATTATTCAAAATAATTTTTTTTACACGGTTAATTTCCATTTTTTTAACTTTACACTTGAAGATTTTTCATTAAATTTCTTTGAGAATATTCAATTATTTTCAAAAATTCGCAATGAAAATTCTACAAAAGTGACTTTTAGTTAAATTTTACAAAAATTTCAATTATTCAAAATCTTTTGAATTGTATATTTCGAAAATTTAATTAGAAAAATTATTCAAAATTATTCAAAAAAAATTTTTTCCTGGTTACAAAAAAATTAGATTGAAAAAATATTTTCACCACTGTTCAAATTCTATTTTTTTCGATAAAAATGAAAATATTCCAAAAACCATCGGTAATTTATTGGAAAATTTATTTTTGTATTTATTAAAAAATTTGATAGATCAAAATTGAATTAAATTAAATTTAATTAATTTAAAATCTTTCTATTTTTAAAGCATTTTTTATTTTCGATTAAGAAATCACTCTTTTTTCGATTAAAAAAAATAGTTTTACTTAAAAAAGGTTAATTTTAAAACAATTATCAAGAATTAAAAGAGAAATGAAATTATTTCGAATTTTCTCACGTTTTTTCATTTTTTCAAAGCAGCACTTGATAATATTTATTCTTATCTTTACTTGATATGAAAAAGCACATTTTGCATATTAGAATTAAAAGAATAATTTGCATAGAAGAATTTTAAATATAAAAACATATTCTATTTTATTTTTTGTTACATCATCCATTGTTACTTTTGCTTTTAATTCCTTACGTTCAACGTTAAAAAAAAATTATTATTTAAATGTAATTTTATCCTTTTAATTTTTATTAATTTTATTAATAAATTAATTTATTAATTAATTAACTAATTTTATTCATCAAAATTGCTTTTTGAGTTTTTAAAACATGTTTTAAAGTTACAAATTATTTTTTTCATTTTTATTTTTTAAAAATTATGTTCAAAATAACGTGTTTACGAAAAAAATTTAATTTTCCAATAAAAATGCTATAATTGCTAAAAGTTAAAAAAAAATTGTAAAATAAAAAATTTTTAACTGTTAAATTTGTATTGAATATAAAAATACATTCTCTAAGAAATTTCGGACGCGAGTTTTGAGATATTTAATTTTTATCAAAAAGTAAAATTTTAAATGTGGTTTTTTTTATTTTATTAATTTTTTTTTTAATTTTAGACCCAATTTGTTTCATGATCATTGAATTAATCGCAAAAAATTTACTATAAAAATGATTTTGCCAAAGATTTATGACTTCATATAGCTAGTAATTTCATCTCAGTCTCCTCTTAATAATTTTGTTATGGTTTTTTATTACAAATTTGATATTTGATTACGAAACTGATTATTTATCTCAGCATTCATACCGGTAACCTCTCCTAAGACTTTTATTTACATTTTAAAATAAGTTGTAAAATAATTTCTTTTTTAATAAAAAAAAAAAATTCAATTTTTAGTTAAAATAAAGTAAATAAATGTTCAAAAAGATAAAAAATTTAAAAATATATAATGAAATTAAATACCTTTTTTTTATGTTGAAAAACTTTGTTCTCCTCTCATAATATTTTTTAGTTTACTTATTTGAATTTGCAGTCTTGAAATTATAATTATTTTCCAGTAGAAATACTATCTACGACACAAACAACACTATTTTATAAAATTGATATTTTTCTCAGAACACAGAATAATCACTGTGTAGGAATCGAGAATCATCTAGAAAGTGCGAGAAATCCCAGAATAAGACTGGAATACCCAAAATTGTAAAAATATAAACAGAAAGCTTGTCGAAAACTTTTTTCACGTCCTGTACTTTAATCTTCTTTTAGATCCGACTGCAATCCACCGGCACTATAAGTCTGTGTAGCTTTCAATTCGTCGACAAAAAATGCTCCGGAAAAGTAGTTTTCACACTGATTATTTAAATTTAAGTTAAAAATCGATTTTGTTAATTAGGGAAAAATTTATTGAAATTTAAATTTTAAAGAATTATTTTTAAATTTATTTTACTTTATTTTATTTTACTCTATAATTAGTTCGTAAATCTTTGGAGGACTAATTAAAAATACCAAATTAAATTTACTTTGAAAGCTTTGAAAAATATTTTACAGAAATTCAAAAAATGGAATGTTTTATTGTTATTTATTTTCTACATTTAGAAATGTATTAAATTTAGAGATGAATTAAACGAAATATGATAAACAAAATTAAAAAGTCTATCAAAAGACAAGTGAGAAAATAATTTACTTAAATTTATAAAAAAATAAATAATAAATAACAAAAGAATTTATTTAAATTTAAGAAAATCTAATTTCAATAACAAATAGTACGGACTTTTGCATTTCGGTGTTTAAGAAAATATTCCAAACTATCAAAATAGTAAACTTTTATCATGTATTTCAACAAATAATCACATTGCAAGTTTAAAAAATTAAAAAACTCTTTAAAATTAGTGTAAAACTTTGTTTCCTCTAATTCATGTGCTCTTTTCTTCTGCAGCTTCGCATTTTTTTACAATTTCTAAAAAGAAACGTGAATTATAGATTTCAAATTTTATGAATACTTAATAATTGTAGATTTTTTTTTTTAATAATTTGGTAAATTTTAGTAACAAAATACTTACTTTGTACTATTGATTTCAAAACAGGTATCACTGGAGAATTCGGAACTTCGGTTAGAAAATTTTTTCCCTCATCGCAACATCTCGCTAAAAGTGGATCTAAAGGTAGTGAACCTAAAAATTCGATATTGAATTCTTCCGACAATTTTTTCCCACCGCCAGTCAGTGCGGGAAATATTTCTGAAGGCGTCTATAAAAAGAAAAAGTTTTTTTTTTTGAAAAGATTTTATTTCCCCTTTTCGTCAAATATTTTATTAAAACTTTTGAAAAGAATTGAAACTTAATCTTAATTCCTCTGAAGAATTCTATTATTTATGAAATTAATTGAATTTATTAAAATTTAACAAAAATTGAATTCTTTCATAAACATAATTAATAATAATAAATAATAGAATTAAATTAAATTAATAAATTAAATAATTAATTAATTTAATTAAATTGTTAATTAAATAATCAATAGAAAAGATTTACCTCGCATTTAGGACAGACGAAGATACTCATATTTTCCACGACTCCTAAAATGGGGATGCTAACTTTTTCGCAAAAATTAATTTCCTTCCTGACATCCAATAAGGCGACTTCCTGCGGAGTTGTAACTATAATAGCTCCGGTTATTCCCACTTCTTTCAAATATGTCGAAACAGATAAATGCTCATCGGATGTTCCGGGTGGTGTGTCCAGAATCAAATAGTCCAAATCTCCCCAATCGACTTCTGAGAGAAATTGTCTTATCATACCTAACAGAAATAAAATTTACCAGAAATTATTTTCTTGGTAAAAAATGAGAGGTCTAGAAAAAAATTGAAAATTTTCCGTGCTTATTAAGTTCTTATTTCGAAATATCCTTACCATTTTTCTTCGGTCCCCGCCAAATAACCGCGTCGGCTGTATTTTGAAGTATGAATCCAATGGACATCACTGACAAATTCTCTTCTACAAACTATAAAAATTATCATAATAATTAACAAAAATTTCTACAAAAATTAAAAAAATTATAATAATTTAAAAAAATTACTACTATTATTAAAATATTACAACAATAATTTTAAAAAATTACTACAATAACAGGATTGCCACAAAAATTTAATTTTGTTTCCCTGATTTTCAAAAGTTTCAAATTAAAACCGTTTTGAAATTCAACAACTTATAACAATATTATTATAAACCATAATTATTTATTATTAGAATATTTTTACTGTAATTTTTTCAAAATTATTTTCTATGAGTTTCGACAGAATTCAATTATTTAAATAAAAAAATAAAATAATTGAAATTTTATGAGTTTCGCAAGAATTCAATTATTTAAATAAAAAAATAAAATAATTGAAATTTTATAAGTTTCGCAAGAATTCAATTATTTAAATAAAAAACAAAATAATTGAAATTCTATGAGTTTCGCAAGAATTCAATTATTTTAATAAATAATAAAATTCTTTCGAAGAATTTTATTAAAAGTTTATTAAATTAAACTAATTAATAATTAAATTTCGCAGAAATATAATTATTTTCAACAATTTTTTAATAAAATTCATGGCATAAATTAAAAATAACAAAATTCTTTGCAGATCTTCAATTACTTTTAGAAATTTTAATCAAATTTTTCGCAAAAATTTTATTTTTTTCATTAAATGATAAAAATATTTGTAAAAAATCTTAAAATTCTTTGCAAGAATTTAATTATTATCACAAATATGAACATTTTCGCAGAAATTCAAATATTCTCAAAAGTTTTGATAAAATTTATTCGTACAAATTTTATTATTTTTAATATAATTTTTAAACAAATTTTCAATAAGATTCAATTATTTTATAACTTTTAATGAAATTCTTCGACAGAATTCAATTATTCTTAAGAATTTTAACATAATTTTTTATAAGAATTAAATTATTTTCCATACCATTTTAATTGAATTCTATGAAAGTATTTAAAATTTTTGAAAATAATTGAAATTTTGCAATGAATTTTATTATTTGCGAATATAATTGAATTTTCGAGAGGAATTTTATAAAAATGTTTTTAAATAATTGAATTCTGGCGAAAAATTATATTATTTTTAAAAATAATTATATTCTTGCAAAAAAATAATGAAATTCTTGGGAAGAATTTTAAATATTGTTCAAAATTTTACATAATTTATGATAATAATTAAAGTATTTCGAGGAATATTGAAAATAATTGAATTTTTATAATGAATTTTATTTAAACTTTTGAAAGTAATTGAAATCTTTAAAGAAGTTTTTATTAAAATTGTATTCAAAATAATTACAGTTCTTCGAAGAATTTTATTATTTATGAAAATAATTGAATCCCTTTAAAAATGTTATATTCAATTATTTATGAAAATAATTAAATTCCTGTGGAATTTTTATTATCTATGAAAATAATTAAGTATTTGCGTAGAATTTTATTAAAGTTTTTGAATTCTTTCGGAAAATTTTATTAAAATAGTAGATTTTAAAAATCATGAAATTGAGGAAAATTTTTTAAAATAATTGAAATTTTTCCAAGAATTTTATAATAATTTTCGAAAATAATTGAATTTTAGAAAAGAATTTCATTATTATTAAAGATAATTGACATTTTTAGAATTTTTTTTAATTTTTTAACATAATTGATTTTCCGCGAAAAGTTTACTTTTGAAAATAATTGAATTTCTGCAGTGATTTGTAACTTCCCCAAAATTCAATTGTTTTTAGTGTTTTTAACTAAAATTCTTCTATAAATCCATTTTTTCAAATATATAATTAAATATATAACTAACCTAATTTTTAATTTTTGAAATATAAATTAATTAGTTTTCTATAGGTGATTAAATTGGTTACTAACAACAGGCGACCATCCTGATCCACTTTGATGTACTTGTTCTCCAATAACGCCCAAAACTCTCGGTTGTGAAGGTCCACAGATATCTATATCCAACACTGCGACCTAAATTTCGTAAGAAAATACATTCATTAAAAGTAAATCAATAAAAGTATAAACTATGACAAGTTTTTGCAAAACTGCGACAATTTTGTTTTCTAATCGTTGCAGAGTTTGTACGGGGACTTGAGAATCAATAAGCTGGTACAAGTTGTCACGACCTATATAGATATATTACAGCCAATGTTTTCACAAGAATCGCTAAAATCTATCTCTTGGTATTATTTCTGATGGGACGTTTTTATTAAAACAAAAGTATGTATGTCGAAAATCATTTGGACGTTGTCGGTCAGGGTAAGAGAGTAAGTACAATATTAAAAAAGTTATTCATTAAAAAGTAAAATGTAATGTAAAAGTAGTAAAATGTAAAATAAATAATTAAAAGAAAATAAGTAGTAAAATCAGCAAATACTTTTGCTCTCTGTAGAAAGGGAAATATTGTTTTTTTTAATGAAATATTGAATATTAAAAATATTGAATGAAATATTCTTACATTTCTGTTGATGTTGTCATCAGCCAAACCTCGAGATATAAGAGAGGTGATTGTACTTTTTCCAACTCCGCCTTTACCCGAGAGAATAAGAATTTTATTTTTCACTGAAGATAATCTTTCTTTGACAAGAGCTTTTCCAGGGTCTTCTTGCTTTGTTGCACCCGATGCACATATACTTTGATTCGGGCAACCAGCACATGCCGAACCTTTACCAGCACTTTCGCTTTCAGTTCCGGGACAATCTAAAAAAGTACCTCAATTGCATATTTAAACAAATAACTTTTCAGCATGTGTTTCGCTTCAAATAAATTTTTCAAGAATTTCCAATTTTCTACCGACTACGACAATTAACAAAACAGATCCGTTAATAGAAAGTACTTGAAATTTCAGTAATGATTTTAATGTTTTTACTAATTAAACTTTTTCGCGGTATTAAAGTAAAATTTAAGTTGAATTAATCAATAATACAATTCGGCAATAATAACTCACAATATTACAGTATAATTATTAAAAATAAATGTTTAGAGAAAACAAATTCTTTGGAAATTTCACAACAATGGGTAAGACACGTAAGACAGAAGAGCAGGTAGTTTTTATTGAACAGAAATTCTTATTACAAAAAAATATTAAAAACAAGTTAATAATTTAAAAGATTAGGATAATTATTCATTCACTGCCTTCTCATAGAGAAAGTAGTTAACATATTTAAACAAATATTTATGACAATGATTTTAATGTAAGAATTTGTTTTCTCCAACATAACCTCAAATTGAGACCATGTTTATATTATCGGCACTAACGAAAAGATGTCATGACATTTAATAATTAAACAAATAGGAGAAAATTAATAATACACTTGACATTCTAAAATTACGTTTACAATTTTTAATAAAGCTGGGAAATTAAAATAAATACTCACGTTCTGGGGCTTCTGCAGGCACGTCAGACATGTTGAATCAAATGTCATGTGCCCAACAGCTGATCGAAGCGCGCGAAATTCCAGCTTTGACAGTTGTGTTCAAAAATTTGAAATTGTAGTATTTATTTCAAGAAAATTGTTATAAAGTCATTTAAATTATTGTTTATTATTATATTGTTAAATTATTATAGTAAATTCTTTCATTCTTAAATTTTAGTCAATTTTAAAAGTTCAATTAGACTAATTTTTATGATATTTATTTGTATGTAACAAGGGTAGAGGGTTCACAGGGGCCGACAATCTGACAATTTGACAATAAACAACACCCGCTATTAAAAACAACGAAAACAACAATAAGGATAGAAAAACGTTATTAAAACATATTTCAAGATAATAATATTTAAAAATAAAATATTTGTAAGCTATTAAAGTAGTTACCTTATAGTGGCAGTTTTATTTGAACGTATATTTAATATTTTCGATAACATCTTAATTCGTGGGAACATAACCTCAAAAATTTGACAGTTTAGCAAAGAAATTTTCTAAAATTGAGGAAATCAACGAAAAATTACATGTCAAGTTAAATTTTTTTCTGTATTTTAAGTGTGATTCATGAGGTTTATGATAATATAATAATAAACAAAAATTATTTGAGAATCGGAATTTTTGAAGCATTTTGAAGTCCTTGAATTTCAAGATTAAAATCACTGGTTTAAATAACTATAAAATTAAAAAATTTGAATACAAACATTAATTATTAATCATTTGAAAATATATAAAAAATCTTTATTAATAATCGTTGTATTCCGGTAATCTGTTCGCAGTTTGTTGTTGTTTGCTTTTGTTTTATTTTGTTTCCTAACTTTTTTAATAATTTCCATTTTTAAAATTAATTTATTGAAAATCATCGAATTGTTGCAAAAAATTTTATCAGAAAATTTGAAAATAATAGAATTTTATGATTTACGAAAATTATTGAATTCTCGAGAAGAAATATGTTAAAATTTTTTATAATTCTAATTAAACTCTTTTTGAAGAATTTCTTTGCATTTTTTTTTAAATAATGCAGTTTCTTTAAAAATTTTAATTAAAAATCTTAAAAATAATTTAATTTTATGAACAATTTCTTTCAAGTTTTTAAAATAATCGTGTTTTGTTAATACTTGAAAATAAACATTTAATTATTAAATTCTATTAAAATTTTTTAAAATTCTTTTGAAAAATTTTATAACGAATTGAGAAAAAAATTGAATTCTTTAGTGACATTTTTTTGAAAGTAATTGAATTTTTGCAAAGATTTTTATTATATTTATAAATATAATTGAATTGTTTCAAAGGATTTATTAAAAGTTTAAAAAATAATTGAATTTTTTTGAAAAAAATATTATTAAAAATAAAAAAAGAAATTCTATTCTTTTATGAAATGTTTTTAAAATTGTATTATTAATAATTGAATTTTTGCATAGAATTTAACTATTTATAAATAAAATTGAATTATTTTGAACGATTTATAAAAATTTTAGAAAATAATTGAATTCTTTTGAAATATTTTATATCGAATGAAGAAAAAAATGGAATTCTTTCGTTAAATTTTTTTTTGAAAATAATTGAATTTTTGCATAGAATTTAACTATTTATAAATAAAATTGAATTGTTTTAAACAATTTATAAAAATTTTAGAAAATAATTGAATTGCTTTGAATTACCTATTTGCTATCGAATAAAGAAAAACATTGAATTCTTTCGTGAAATTTTTTTGAAAACTATTTTATTATTATATTTTTTTGAAAATAATTGAATTTTTGCAAATATTTTATATCGAATAAAGAAAAAATTGAATTTTTTTGAAAATAATTGAATTTATGCAAAAAATGTTACTATCTATAAAAATAATTGAATTTTTACGAAGAATGTTATTAAAAATTTTCAAATTACTAAACAAGAAAAATTAATTAGTAAATTAGTTAATAATTCAATTTTTTTAAAGTTTGAGTTTGAAATTATTCAAAAATTCATATTTGAAAATAAAAAGTGTTGTAATTTGCATAATATTAAAAAAAAAAATTAATACCACGTTGCGTAACATTTTCCAGTATATTTAATTAAAATAAATTAAATTAAATTTAAATAAGAAATATATTTCGATATTATTTAGTAAATAAATGATTTTTTCTTCAGCAAATCGAACCATGGAGCACAACAACTGGATCAATGACCTACGTCGAACCTTCAATTCCATTTCGTGCCAACGAATTTTCACGTGTTCATCATCTCGTGCCATGGCGTCCAAATGTTGGATATGAAAATATCGAAGTACTTCCATTGTGAGTAGTATTTACTGGAAACCACTGTTATCGATTTAACAAACTAGAATTTCCAGCATTGGAATTCCGTTAGTCTCTAATATTGTTTATTACTAAAATGTTATGCAGTCTTTAAATGAAAATTTAGTTTAAAATCAAGTACGTATCTTACATTCAGCGCAAATTTATTCCAAATTACGAATTTAACTGTGAAAATATTTTCCGCTAATAGAGAATTTTATTTTTGATTTTTATAAATAAATTTGCAATTGTAGAAAATTTTAATTAATTGTGAAACATTTGTAAATTAATTGTGGAAATTTGTAATTAATTGTGGAAATTTGTAATTAATTGTAGAAATTTGCAATTAATTGTAGAAATTTTTAATTAACTGTAGAAATTTGCAATTCATTATATAAACTTTTAATTAAATATAGAAATTCTAAATTCTAATAATTTTAATTTAAAATTAAATTTAATTTGTGAAATGTGTTTAATTTTGGAAATAGATCAACGAAGACAATAAGTAATTACGCCGTCGATCCACTCGTCAATATGTCCACGAAACCTCTGAAATTTCCAAATTTAGTGACGGGTTTTCAAAGAAATCCCGTTCACGCCTCTCAAGCAGCGCTTTACACCAGATACACTCCAAATGAATGGTTTCAAAAGCAAGTTATGTTCTACAATGAAGCTGACTCAAATCGACACTACTCGGAGAGAATCAGAAACGATGCTGTCAAACTTATGAGGTACTGTCAATCAAACTAAAGTGGTGAAAAAAAATAATTACCCCTTTCAATCTTTAAATAATGTAATTTTTTCGAGCCCCGAAAGAGTTAATTCCCCAGTTTTTCAAAGTTTAAATTTATTTTCAATTTTTATTTACTAAATATTAAATATTTAATTAATAAAATATTTTGTGATTCATTTTTAAATTAATTTAAATTGTGATTAATTTTTAAAGTAATTTAAATTGTGATTAATTTTTAAACTAATTTAAATTATGATTAATCTTTAAATTAATTTAAATTGTACTTAATTTTGAAACTAATTTGAATTGTGATTTTTGCAGAGAAGCAGAAGAGAAGATACAAAATAATCAGTACGATACTGGAAGAAGACTTGGAGAAAGAATAACAGACGTGACATTCTGGCGAAATGAAGTTTCATCGGAATTGGAGAGAATGATTCAGGAAATCGAGAGACTGCAGGATTGTCGCATTGTCCTTGAGAAGGCGATTCAAGATATTGAAAATCCACTGCACATTGCGGAGGAATGTTTGTATCATCGAGAAGCTAGAAAAGGTACAGATATTAATCAAAAAAAAAATTTCTTTTCCCTTTCGTTAATTTTTAATGAAAGACATTTTTGTTTTTTCCAAATAGGAACAGAACTCGTTCACGATAATACGGAAAAATCCCTTTTACGAGAAGTTCACAATTTGCAAATTGGTCAAAAGAAACTCGAAATGTGTCTCGACAAGTGCAAAGATCAAGTAATTACACGACTATCGTTAAAATTAGTCTCTCTAATAAAATACGAAAAAGAAAATGAAATTAGAAATTAAATAGAAATACGAAATAGGAAATGAAATTAGAAATTAAATAGAAATACGAAATAGGAAATGAACTTAGAAATTAAATAGAAATACGAAATAGAAAAAATTAGAAATTAAATAGAAAATACAAAATAGAAAAAATAAGTCTTCCTAATAATAAAATCAGTCTCTCTAGGAATAAATTCAAATCTATTTTTCCAGCTCCGAAGTTGTAGATCCTCGCAAAATCAATTGGAGCTTGATTTAAAGAACAAACAAAGTGCACTCGGTATTGATGTCCTTTGCCATCAATTGAACAACCGAAGTCACGGTTTGCAGTATTTTTCCGGAATTGAGAAATCTGATCCATGGTAAGTCATCGGTGGAAAATATTTCCCTTTTTTTAAAAAAAGAAAATTTTCAATTTCAGTATTTCTGAGCAAGAAACATGGTCAGAGGCAGCCAACAGGATCATTCAGAGATCTCAATCGGAGAGGACAAAATCTTGTCAATTGCGAACAGACGCAGAGACTCTTGTCAATCGTGTGGCTCAAGAAATGTGGGATTCCTGGTCGAATACAAACAGTGCACTTGCCAATAGAAGTTCTGAAATGCTCGAAGCAAAAAATAAATTACACCAGCATATTAATAAGGAAAGTTTTATGTAATTTGACTCAGGGCTCGAATCAATGAAATTATTTAAAAATACGGACTTTACAAGAATCAAGAATTATACATAATGAATTTATAGAAGAAATTTAGTTAAAAACACTAAAAAAATTTAATTTTGAAGAAGTTACCAATTATTGCAGAAATTTAATAATTTTCAAGAGTAAAAAAATTCTTCTTAAGAGGATTCAAATATTCTTACTAATAATAATACTCAGCGTAGAATTTCAATTATTTTTTGTACAATTTTAATTGAATTCCTTGAAACAAATAAAACAAATTTCGAGGAATTCGATTAAAATTGCATTAAAACTAATTGAAATCCTGCTGTGAGTTTTATTATTAATGAAAATAATTGAATTCTTACGAAGAATTTGATTGAAATTATCAAAAATAATTAAATTCCTGTGAAAAATTCTCAGAAATTCAATTATTTTTCAAAATTTTTATAAAACTTTTGGCATAAATTAAAAATAACAAAATTTTTTGCAGATCTTGAATTACATTTAGAAAGTTTATTAGAATTTTTCTCAACAATTTGAATATTTTCGTTAAATAATAAAAATCTTTGGAGAAATTCAATTATTTTCGAAAATCTTAATAAAATTCTTTGCAAGAATTCAATTATTTTCACAAATATGAAAATTTAAGCAGGAATTTAAATATTTTCAAAAAATTTGATAAAATATGTTTCTACGAATTCAGTTATTTTTAATACAATTTTTTAAAAAATATTCAATAAAATTCAATTATATTTAAGCTTTTAATGAAATTCTTCGAAAGAATTCTTTTTTTTTAAATTTTCAGACAATTTTTTACGAAGAATTAAATTATTTTCCATAAAATTTTATTTGAATTCTAAAAAAGTATTTAAAATTTTTGAAAATAATTGAATTTTTAGGGGAGAATTTTATAAAAATATTTTTCAATAATTGAATTCTAGTGAAAAATTATTTTATTTATGAAAATAATTAAATTCTTGCAAAAAATTGTAAATATTTCTCAAAATTTTACATAATTTATGATAATAATTAAAGTATTTCATGGAATATTCAAAATAATTGAATTTTTATAATGAATTTTATTTAAACTTTTGAAAGTAATTGAATTCTTTAGAGAAGTTTTATTAAAATTGTATTCAAAGCAATTACATTTTTGCGAAGAATTTTATTATTTATGAAACTAATTGAATCCCTTCAAAAAAATTTTATTATTTATGAAAATAATTGAATTATTGCGAAGAAGTTTATAAAAAATTTGTAAATATTTGAATTCCCGTGAAATTTTTATTATTTATGCAGATAATTAAATGTTTGCCTAGAATTTTATGAACATTTTTCTTAAATAATTGAATTTTGCAGAAGAATTTTAATAATTTCGTTAAATAGTAAAAATCTTTGGAGAAATTCAATTATTTTCAAAAATCTTAATAAAATTCTTTGCAAGAATTCAATTATTTACACAAATATTTATAAAGATAATTAAAATTGTGACGAGAATTTTTTAAATTTTTGAACATAATTGAATTTCTGCGAAGAATTTTATTACATTCAAAAATATTTGAATTTTGGAGAAGAATTATATTATTATTATATTATTATGTTTTATTATTTATAAAGATAATTGAAATTCTGTCGTGAATTCTGAAAAATTTTTTGAACATAATTGAATTTCTGCGAAGAATTTTATTATGTACTTTGAAAATAATTGACGAACTTTTTGTCCTTTTTCAATCAAATTACGGACCTTTTTTTTTAAAAAAAAAACTGACTTTTATGGACTTGAAGCAAATTTGCGGACATTTATGGAATTTACGGACTTAGTTCGAGCCCTGCAATTTGTACTTAATGTTTTTTTATCTACTTCTTTAATATTTTTAATATCTTCAATATCTATTTTCAATTTTCTAATTTCTTTTTCTAATTAAAAAAATTAAGAGTCAATTTTACGTTTAGGTTCAACAAGAAATCTTCGACGTGGAGAAGAATTTAGAACTCATGCGAAAGGCGATTGCTGATAAAAGTTATGCTATTAAAGTTGCTCATACGAGATTGGAAGCTAGACGACATCGTCCTGAGATAGAATTGTGTCGAGATTTCGCTCATGTCAGGTGAATATTTCACTGATATTTTGCGATATTTTTCTAAAAACTCCAAAAAACTTCTAATAAATATCGAATATTAGAAAAAATTTGAAACAAAAATAGTTTAATCGAAAAATTTAAACTATCCAAGCTAAGTTAATAAGCGATGAACTATTTCACTAAAAAAAATTTTTTTTTTTTTGCAGTCTGCAGAAAGAAATCGAAGGAATTAACAAACAAGTGGAACGAATGTACAAAGCTCTGAAAGAAATAGAAAATCAACATCAAAGATTACTACGAACTCGCAGTGCCTTGGAACACGATCTCGCACTCAAGATAGACGCAATGTACATCGACAAGGAAAAAGTGACCGGCCTGAGACGAGCGTATCCAGTGAATGCACTTTTCAGATTTTAAATCACGTTAAATTGTTGTTAAATTTTCTAAATACGAAAAATAAGCAATTTTCAAATGCAACTGTTAAATTTTTTTATAGTTCTATTTAAACTTAAATACGAATAACAATTATTATTAAATATATTTACAATTTCACGATTCTAACAATTTACCTCCAGTTAAATTATTATCAAGATGCTTCTTTACATAACTTGGAATTGGAAGTTTAAGACCTTCTTTTGCTTCGAAGAATGTGTACGATAGAACTATATCATGAACATGCTCCATTCTGGGATCGTCAGCGAATTCTGGATCCACGTAGAAAAATACTGGCATATCAACCTGTTTGTTGTAGAATGAGAATGTAAAAAAATAATTCAAATTGGAAAATCAATAAAAAAAACAATGAGAAAAATATAAAAAACTGTTTTTAGATTCAAAGAAATAATTTTTTTTCCAAGGCAAAGAAATAATTCTTTTTTTCAAATTCAAAGAAATGACTCACTTGCTCGTGTGGATTTAACTGTTGTTCTTCAAAGCAGAAACATTGAATTTTATTGAAATATTGACCAGCCTCGAATGGGATGACATTGTATGTGGAAACGCCTGTAACTGGTTGATCAGTTGGATTTGTGGCTGTGTAAAATGCTAAAACTGTCTCTCCTGGTATTACTTTTAGGCTACTTTGTTGGGGTTTGAAATTCCAACGCATTGTTGCCGCAGTATCGGCATTAAAACGAATCGTTAATAGTCTATCTTTGAGTGGCTTCAATGTCTCTATTTTTGTTGTATCATGACCCACGACTCCAACTGTTCCACCATAACTGTAGGCCTGTGATTTAATTTCATTTGTATAAATTTTCGATAATTTTCATAGATTTCTCTTTAAGTGATAAAGTAATTAGAACAAAAACAAATTTCTTCTTTACAATGTAAATTAGATGTTATTTAACTTAACATCTTTAATTTATTTATTGCTTCCTCATGGAACAGGGTTGCTACAAAAATTTAATTTTGATTTTGAAATTCAACAACTTATAAGAAGAATGCTACAAAAATTTAATTTTGCTTTTGAAATTCAATAACTTATAATAAATAAAGATGACCGAGTGATAAAATCATTCATTTGTAATGTAAAAATATTGTTACTGTAATTTTTCAAAATTATTTTCATCATTTCAATTCAATTATTATTTTCTAGAATTTGTCACTAAAATTCTTCCTTAAATAAATTATTTTTAATAAATTTCGAAAAAGTTCATTGAGAATTTTTAAATCTATTTGATTACAACTCAATTTTACGAAATCTCGATTATTCAAAAATTCTTTAATTGAATATTAGAAAATAAAAATTCAAAAAAATTCTATTAAACTTTTTTAAAAAAAATTATTCTACAGAATTGTTATAGTTAAAAATATGAAATATTCTGATTTTCAACGATTTTAAGTTGAAACCTTTTCAACATTCAATTATTTCTAAAAAAAATTCAAGCTATAATGCTTTTAATATTCAATTATTATCTAAAATTTTTAACTAAAATTCAATTTTAAATCAATTTTTATTAAAAAATTCGACGAGAATTCAATTATTTGCATATAAAAATAATATATTTATTGAATAATTGAATGTTTATTAAAATTCAATTCTCGTGAAGAATTTGATCAACAATTTTTTAAATAATTGAATTCTTTTGACGAATTTTAATAAAATTTTTAAGAATAATTACATTTTTCGAGGAATTTGATTAAAATTGTATTAAAAATAATTGAAATCCGGCTATGAGTTTTATTATTTATAAAAATAATTGAATACTTGCGGAAAATTCTGTTAAAATTTTCAAAAATAATTAATTTCCGGTGAAAAATTGGCAGAAATTCAATTATTTTTAAAAGTTATGATAAAATTGTTTCGTAGGAATTCAATTATTTTAAATGCAATTTTTAAAAAATTTATCAATATAAGATTCAATTATTTTTAAAATTATAATGGAACTCTTCGAAAGATTTCAATAATTCTTAAGCATTTCGATACAATTTTTTAAAAGAATTAAATTATTTTCCATACAATTTTAATTGAATACAATGAAAGAATTTAAAATTTTTGAAAGTAATTGAAATTTTTCAGTGAATTTTATTATTCGCGAAAATAATTCAATTTTCGTGGAGAATTTTATAAAAATGTTTTTAAATAATTGAATTCTGGTGAAAAATTATATTATTTGTGAAAATAATTGAATTCTTGCGAAAAAATTCTATTAAAATTTTCAAAAATAATTAAATTCCTGTAAAAAATTAGCAGAAATTCAATTATTTTAAAAAATTTTAATAGAATTCTTGGCATAAATTAAAAATATCAAAATTCTTTGTAGATCTTCAATTACTTTCAATAATTTTAATAACATTTTTGGCAAGAATCTCAATATTTTTGTTTAATAATAAAAATCTTTGCACAAATTCAATTATTTTCGAAAATCTTTATAAAATTCTTCGCCAGAATTCAATTATTTTCATAAATATCAAAATTTTCGCAAAAATTCAAATATTTTTAAAAGTTATGATAAAATTGTTTTGTAGATTTTCAATTATTTTTAATACAATTTTATAAAAATTTATTATTATAAGATTCAATTATTTTTAAAATTTTAATGAAATTCTTGAAAAAAATTCAATTATTTCTAAGAATTTTGATACAAATTCTTTATAAGAATTAAATTATTTTTCATACAATTTTATTATTTTAATAAAAGATGTTTTTATTAATATAATTTTATGGCTTTCAAAAATATTGAATTAATTTTATTATTTGTAAATATAATTTAATTTTCGAGAAGAGTACCTATTTTAAAAAGGTTTTTAATAATTGAATTCTGGTGAAAATTTATTATTTATGAAAATTATGTAATTATGCGAAGAAATTTATGAAAAATTTGTGAATAATTAAATTCCTGTGAAAATAATTAAATTTTATTTATGAAATTCATAATTTTTATTTATGAAAATAATTAAGTGTTTGCGTAGAATTTTAAAAAATTTTCTTTAAGTAAATGAATTATTCTGGAAAATTTTATTAAAATAGTATATAGATACTGAAAATCATTGAATTGAGGAAAATTTTTGAAAATAATTCAATTTTGAAGAAGAATTTTATTATTTATATAAAAATAATTGAAATTATGACGAGAATTTTTAAAAAAAATTTGAACATAATTGGATTTTGGAGAAGAATTTTATTATTTATGAAGATAATTGAAATTTGAACGAGAATTTTTTTTTAATTTTTGAAAATAATTGAATTTTTGCGAAGAATTTTATTACTTCTAAAAATAATTTAATTTCTGCAATCAGTCAAAAATTTAAGTTTTTTAAAATTTCTTATTAAATTCATTTAAACTTAAAATTTTCTAAAATTTAAAATTAAAACCTGACCTGTGGCAACCCTGTAGAAGCATTGTTTTTCCAAACATTGAAGCGAGAAAATTATAATAGAACAATGAAGTTAAACAAAAATTTCATAAAACAATCGAGAAAATAAAAATTTTTAATATTACCTGACAGAAAATTCTATACAAAGGAACTGCAGCATAGGATAAACCAATAAAAGTAATTCCAATTGATGCCATATAATATGCGGTGGTCCTCATGTTTTTCCTTCGCAAGTCATTCTCATTTGGTATTTTTGAAAAATTCCTCATAAGGTTATTTCTCATTGTCGTCTCATATCCTCTCGTTATTGAACGACAAGTACTTAAAATCATTTTTGTGATTTTTCTATTACAGCAATTATGTCAAAATGTGCGGAAAATGTTACTCCTAACCTAACTTTATTTCAGAGTAAATCATTTCGAACGTAAACATGCGAGAGTAATATTGTTTTCCACTTCGACTAGAAAGATCTTTTCGACTATTTAGATATATTATTAACAAAATTTACCTATCTTTTACTTATTTACATTGAAATTACTTTATTTTAAAACTTTACTTTATACTTATTTAAAGAGAAATATCAACATTTTAACAACACTATTTTCTATTTCTGAACTGATCTGAACGTTGCCGCTTAAGCTCTCTTTAAATCGAAACGAAACCAAAACAATTGAATAATCGAAACTTGAAATTTCAAAAAGAAAAATTTTGAAGAAATGCAGGGTAAAAAAAAGAGGTTTGGTTCGATTACAAATTTTATTTACTAAACCATTTTTTATTTTACATATTGTGAATTACAAACTAAATTTGAATCAACGACGAAGATATTATCATTAAATGAACGTAAATTTACAAAGTTGTATTTTAATTTTTTAATACAAAAGTCCGTGATTTTTAAATTTAGATTTCAATTCGTAGACATTTTTTTCTACTAAATAAAAATTAAACATTAATAGGTACATTTATTCTATTTATGTAAATATTGAAAGTTATTGTTAAATTTTGTCATTCATTTCATTCATTTACACAAAAGTTTCACTAAAACAAGTTAAGAAAAATATTTTTTTTCAGAAAAAACAATGAAATAAGTGCGCATTACAGTGATCATTTTTCAACATTATAACATAAATTCAAATACAAGAAGAAATATGACTGGCGATATAATTATTTTCTTATTAATTATTAATATAGTACTTTAATTAGATGCAATTATACAAACACCGATTATTTAGGAAATTATTTATGTCCCTAAAGTTTCAAACGTTCAAATGAACAAAAATATTTTTTCTACTTTTAATTTAAATTGTATTGGAATATCATTGCGTAAAATATTAAAAAAAATTTCTTTTACTAAATAAGTGTAATTTTTATTTTTTTAATTATTTTTAGGAATTTTTTTTTTATTATTTTTTATTATTTTTTATTATTTCTTTGAAATTTGTTTTTGAAATATTAAAACACTTTTGTGTTTTCCTTTTCACTTTCTTCATTTGAACGTTGAAAATTTTTACATTCAAATATTTTTTTCCATAATATTAAGATTATAATAAAGTCAAAAAAACATCGTAATATTTTTTGTGAAAGAAATTATGTCTTGAGACTCAAGGCTCGAATTTCCTGGCCCGGATGTTTCTTTCGAATGTGTTCATAAATCGATGAAGTTTGCTTTTTTCGAAAATCAACGCAATACGGACACTGATACATTGGCGGCAATCCACATTCATATTTTGCGTGACGATTCCTAGTCCGCTGAAGAGCAAATCCCTTTCCACATTTTCCACAATTGAACGGTTTGTTTAATTTGCTGTTGAAAATCTTGATCTGTTTGTTAAAAATGTCCAGCGATGAGGCGAAACTGTCAGTCACCGATGTATTCGCATTGAAGAATGTCGTGAATCCTGGAAAAATAATTAAAAATCAATAATGAATTTAAAATGTTTTCTTTTTCAAAATGTGATTAAAATTTTAATCACATTATTATTATTATTAATACTATTATTATTATCATCATTATTATTATTTTTATTATTATTATTATATCTTATTACTATTATTATTATATTTTATTTTTATTATTATACGAAAATGACAGTTTTGAGAATTTGTAAATTTGGAAATATTTTTATTGTGCTGTTGAAAAAAAAAGTTTTGATACACTTTTTTTATTTTTTTTACACTTTTCACCCGTTAGTCTCGTCAAGATGAGGAGTGTTTCATTAAAACATGATTTTTCCACAAATAACGCCTGTAAAATGTTTTATTGCATAAATTGCAAAAATATTTTGGCGATTTTTGACATTCGTGACGTTGATGACGTCGTAAATTGTGCATCCACTTGTAGCCCTTTCCACACTCGCCACACATGTAATGTTGATCTTCAATCGGCGTTATTTGTCCCCGTTGGGCTGGATATCGTAAATTTGTCGGCATTCTTACGTCCTGCATTGAAAATTCCCCACCTCCGGTAATTCGATCTGAAATAATTGGAAAAAAACGTCTGTTAATTTTATTTCAATATTTACATTTCTTTCTCGCACCAATAAAAATAGTTCTAAATCGAAATATTCTACTCAAATTTTTTTAATCGTAGAAAAATCGTAGATGGATTTTTTTTAATACTTTAAAGTAAATTTAAATTAAAAATAGATTTAAATTTGAATTTAAATCTACATTTAAATCTATTTTTAATTTAAATTTAGATTTAAATTTAAATCTATACTTAAAATCTACTCTTTCGAAATTAAAGGACTTGGTGTATAAGAATACGAAAAAGAATATTAGAAAACACAAACATTTACAATTCGAGTCAATCCAGTAATTACACATAACATTATTTTTTGAATTTACAACCCAGGATCACGTGTTTTCGCCACTGTTCTTTGTAATTAAATCGTTCACCACAAGTTGAGCAGCTGAATTTTTGTGTTTTGTCACATTCGATTCGTTGATGTTTGTATATTTCCTTTGGCCTGAATTGTTGACCGCAATGACAGGAGATCAATTTGTTCTCCTCCCCTGGCTTTCGGATGATACGTTTTTTCCTTTGAACGATGATAAATTTTTGTACTGGAAAAAAAGGAAAGAATTTTATTAGAAAAATTAGACAGCCCGATACTTTCAATAAATTTAGGGTTCTGTCTACAAAAAATTTTCCGAACTACTACACGTTTACAATATTCTTTTTTTTAAAATTAGTCTAGATACAAAAATAATAACTAAAAAAAATTGTAAACTAAAAACAATTTTGTTTAAATATAATTTATTACATTCTCATTAAAAAAATGAATTGAAGTTTCGTTTAAATATTCACTCCATGAATGTTAAGACAATGCTGCTGAAAATGTGTTTTTCGTTTGAAACGCTTGTAGCAGAAATTGCAAACAAATTGCGGCAATTGTCCGCATTCGTATTGAAGATGTCGACGTAGGGTGAATTTTTTTCCATAAGTTCTTCCACATCGATTACAAGGATATCGTTCCTGATTTAATTTCATTCCCATATCGTAAAAATGTTGATCGATTTCTGAAAAAGAAAGAATAATTTCGATTTAATTCGATTTTTTTACACAGAAAAATTCCATTTGGGAAATAATTCTTTTTTTGACACTTAAACACTTGAAAACAAAAATAATTATTGTAAAACATGAAGATAAGGATCTTTTCGAGTCGAAGACTCGGAATGATCCTTATCTTCATGTTTTACAATAATTAAAAATGACCGAGTGATAATATAACAAATAGTTAAATTATAAATTAAATATTTATTATCTACTTTACACAAATTTGTTATATTTTCTAGAATAAGGCGAATAAAACGAAAACATTCGGACAATGAATAAAAATATTTATTTACGCCAAGTCGCCAACTCTTCGGAATCTAAATGATTTCCTTGATATTTTCGTTTTATTTTCCTTATTTTAGAAAAAATCTCGGACGTTAAAGATAATTTAACTGATTATATTTTCTTTTATGCAGCACTTGCGTAAAATTTACAATACTTTTTAGACTCGCACTCCGTGAATTTGAAAACAGTGTTTTTGATAAGGAGTTTTTCGTTTAAAACGTTTATAGCAGAAATTGCAGACGAATTTCGGTGATTGTCCACATTCGTACTGAAGATGACGACGTAGAGTGAAATTTTTTCCATACGTTCTTCCGCAGCGATAACAAGGATAACGCTGATTAGTTGCCAGATTAAAATGGACATCATTTTCTGAAAAAAGAATATATATTAAAATCGAGCTATTATCATTAGCTTCCTACGTTAATTTGAAAAAGTAATTTTCAAAACTTATTTTTAACACAATTTTATAGCATACATACTAAAATTATTTTTTTAACAAATAGAATAATTAACATATTATTTAATTAATTAGTGAAAAATTCATTTTAAAATTTAAAACTGAAAAATAGGGTTCGAAACCCAGGACCTATCAATTAATATTTAATATTATTAATTAATTAATTTTATAAAAAATTAATTTTTTAAGAGGCCTTGTAGATTAATTTAATATTATTGTTAATTATTAATTTATGATTAGAATTTATTGTCATTTTCGGATGAACGAAACAGTGAAAAGTGAACAAATAAATGTTTTGAAAGCTTAGAGCTTGATGGATAATTATTCGTATGAACGGAAAGGAAAAAAAAGTATGATTCGAAATGACACAAGTTCAATAGCATATATTTATATACCATATTACGTTCATACATTAAGTTTTTAAGTTAAACAATATACGATACAATTGTTTAGAAATGACAATAAGAGACGTGATAAATATTAATTTATCACACCGTGATAATAATTATATTATTTATATTTATATATAGGGGGATAGTAAAAAAATTGTTAGGATATTATGTCATTAGTCCATATGCGGTTCTTCTAGTTTAATGAATATGCGATTTATTCCTTTCTCAGCGGCTCTTCTTGCACTCTCGCTGTAAATAGAAATATCGAATTAATTCAATAAGAAAGAAGAAATAGGAATAATTATTGTAAAAAATCAAAATTGATGGATATTATTACTTTTTTCTTTGACGTCGATTTTTACATTGGATCAACCAGGTCTTTATGTATTCCTCTACAGTGGATCTCGTTGCAGTTGGGTAAAGTTTTTGCGCGGCACCTGAAATTGAATTTTAATTTATGATTTACTATGATTGAGGAGCAAGTTATTAAATTAAATTTAAAATAACGTAAAGAGAATATTAACTCATTCACAATATTATTTTACGCTTTTTTTAACTCTATATAGATTTTATTTAGATTTAGATTCTAGTTAGATTGACAATCATTAATAAAAAAATCATAAATAGAAATATTAAAATAATAGCAATAAATAAAGAAATTATTAAAATTATAAACAGAAAATAATATAGTTGTTGCAATTGAACCGTCATTTAATTGTTTAATTATTTAAGACAGAAAATAATAGAATTAATTTTATTTTATTTCTATAACGATAGAAAATTAAATTTTTCTAATTTTATTAATTTATATATTTTTTTAATTTCTACAATTGAAATCATTTAAATTTCATTTTCACCCCTTTTTGAAATTAAATTAAACTAAATTGAAAATAAAAGTTTAAGGAGCAAAAAAATCGAAAAAGTCGTTTATTTTATTCACTGATACTCACAAAAATTTTATTCTCTATTTCCTTGACCTTTCACTAATTTCTAAATTCAATAATTAAAAACTCTAATGTAATAATTTTGTTATATAAATAGGTACTTAAATATATTTATTTATTTTTCATTTTCCGAAAGTTCTGAACGATCAAATGAACAAATATTTTTTTTTCTAATTAAATGTAATTTAATTAATTTAATTTCTAATTCCAAAAATTACTTGAAGAAAATTAAAAATAAATTATTCTTGACTGATTTTCTAAATTAACAAAATATAATTTTCTCTGCCAAAATTCAAATTTTAACAGAATATTAAAATATATCTTTCATTTGAATGTTCTAATCTTTAGGAAATATTACTTTTTAACAAGAATCAAAATAATTTACTTCTCATTCTCACACATTTTGAAATTAAATTAAAGTAAATTAAATTGTAAATAAAATTAAAAATGCAACTATTCCAAAATTTAATTATTTTACAGAATTTTTAAGTGAACTTTTTCTCTAAATCTAAATCTAATTTCTCTGAATTTTAAATAATTTTCCGAAAATTCTTCAACAAAATTCCAAAATCTAATTATTTTACAAAATTTTTAAGTGAACTTTTTCTCTAAATCTAAATTCTCCGAATTTTTAATAATTTTCCAAAAATTCTTCAACAATACACTTAATTAAACACAAATATTCAATTTTTTAATAATAATAATTGTAAGTGTAACTCTTTCTAAATTATATAATAAAGAATTGAAAAATTTCCAAATAATTGAAATTTAGTAAAAAGTAATAAAAATAAATGAATTTATAAACAATTTTTCGAAAATAATTGAATTTATTCAAAAGAATATTTGGAAAATAAACATCATTTAAATTTTCAGAAATTAGTAATTGAAAATATTGAAAATTAAAAAGTTAAGATGGAAAAAATTTTAACAATTATTCTTTTTTTTAAATATTTTAATATAGTTTTTAATTTAATCGTTTTCAAGGTTTTTCTTTAAAATTTTGAGAATTTAAATATTTTCAAAATTTGCTATTAAAATAGTTCGAAATTTATGAGATCCTTAAATTATTTAAATTTATATTTATCTGCATTTTTTTAAAAAATAGATTTATCTGCTTTTGAAAATTTACTTCGCATTTAATAATTAATTTTGCTAAAAGAAGAATAAAATTATATAAATTACTTAAAAATACTTACAGCATACGACGGAGCACAAATTTGTAGTTTTAAAAGCGGGTTTTTTTCCTGATCTTCCAAGGAATGAAAATCTCTCTCCTGCTTCAAATTTCAGCAGCTGATTTAGTAGATTTGTGACAGTCAAGCTGAGATTTGTGTGTTTTCCAAGTCTACTTAAAGCGTACGCCTAAAAATTTTCAAAATCATGTAATTGTTATAAAAAGATAATTTTTTTTTTAATTTTAGGGTTAATTTATTATTTTATTTTTTATTATTACTTATTTATTTATTATATCATCTGATAGAGAAAGTTTTATAAATTATGAAAATTTTAAAATCTTAATTTTATAATTTTAAAAGCTATTAAAATTTTTGACATTATAAAATTTAATTAATTTAATTAATTTGATTTTACATTATAAATTTTTAAAAATGTCATAGTTTCTGACAAGTTTTGTTCTAAATTTGTTTGTAAATTTATTCAGAACACGTTTCGTATAATGAACATTTATTTTATGCTCACAGAATATGAATCTAAAGTCCGTAGTTTTAAAAAACAAAAAATAAGAACAGAATTTTTTTTAAAGAAAATTTATCTTGAATTTTGATATGCGTAAATTATTGATATAATTAATTATTCTAAAGACAATTGTTCAAAAATAACAATCGTCGCACTATTTTTTAGTTTTTAAAAAAATTGCGGACCTCAAATTCATCAGAACTATAATTAATTTAGTAGTTAAGTCATTTTTTTATTCTCTACTTTAATTTTTCTAATTTTGTTTGAATACAAATTAAAAAATGTGCGATATCTTACCACTTTTCCAAAGAATCGAGTGTCTACTAGTTTTTGTTCTATCAACTGAACTTCCAATTCGCCGCTTGCAGGGAAAATACTTAATTCATCATCCTTGTTATGAAACGTCCCGAACAAGTCTTCAGTTAAAGGCGATGGATCAATCATGTTCAAAGTATCTGATTGCTGATTCTGGCAAAGAGTCTCAAGCATCATTCCTATTGCATTTAATTTCTTCAATATCAAAATGTCCTTCTTATCCACTGTAACATAAAGCCATATTGAATAATTTTAGTCTATTTAAATGTCGACCTTTTATAAAAAATTATTTTACACATTTTCTTACATGTTTTCATAAACCTATTTTGTTTGATGTTAAAAAAAATCAATTCTATTGCGAAACAAAATATTAAAATAGTTGTTAGCTTACAATTAAGTTCCGCCAGGTCTTCCGGTGAATCGTAAAAAACAGAAACATCCTGACTTTTTCCCTTGCCATCGCTCATACCGCTTAAACTGTCCTCAGCTTTTCTTGAAGAGAAAGCAGAATCTTCGACAACACAGAATTCCGGTGGGCAAACTGAAAAAAAAATAGAAAATTTATATTATTTACTGCATTGTACAAATGCATCATTAGTTTGTTATTGAACATTTTTGACGATGACAACTTGTTAATCAATTTGCAGGGTGTAAGCAAAATTTGTATTATTTACAAAAATTAATAAACTCCAAGAATTAATGAAACATAAATAAATTATAGAAAAAAGTAAAATACTCTCACAGTTCGACATTTTGTCCCGATTATATATTCTTTGTTTTACATGTATGTAATGTGTAAATTTCTGCCGATTCTGCGATTTTCATTGATTTTAAGGTTATGCTAGCGCGGCGTCGTCAGCTAATGTCAACACATGTCGGAATTTCTTTCTTTATCTCTCGACAATTCACAATTGGTCCGTTCAAAAATTACCGCTATTAATATCAACATAATCACGTGACTAAAAATTCAAAGATGGAGTCAGGTTTAGTTAGGTTAGTTCATTCAGGGTTAGGTTAGAGTTTAATTGTTAGGAAAATTGTGATGTGATGATCAAAAAATTTGTTTTCTACGCATTCATGCCAGTATTTTCTTTTTTTTGCTCAAATGTTTTTTTATAAACAAAAAGTGATTAATATTTTTTAAACTGTCAAAGGAGAAACTAAAGTATTTTCAAATTCTGTGCAGAGGAAAATAATGTAAATTGTTTTGAAAAAAAATTAGGGTTGGTTAAAAATGGAAAATTCTAAACGAAAACGTGAGGATGAGACGGAAATTCCGGAAGAGAGACTTCTTAAAAAATTCGAGGTTCTGGAATCTCGATTGATGCAATTATGGGAAACTGATTCGAATAGAGAGTCTATTGAGTCTATAAATGCTACTGGTTCAGGTTATTGTTTTTCTTTGTATTTTTTCTTTTCTGGAAAATGTATAATAGTTTGTTTATGGTCATAACAATAGACAAAGGAAAATTTGTTCTTTTCGCAGAGAATTGCTTATACATTTCGTTAAGTTTTTTTTTGATTGAATATTTTATTAAAGAAGAATCCGAAAAACAATCGGAACAAAAGTTAGTCCAATCTCATAATTTCGTATTTTAAAAGAAAAGGTCACATTAAATTATAAATTCGTTTTGGTAGAAGCTTAAGGAATTTAATTTTCTACATTTTTCATAATTTAAAGTTATATTTGAATACAAGTTATACTTTTTTGGCAATAATAAATGATTTAAGTAACATAACCTAAAATTTAACAAATGTTTATTATTGACTGAAAATTGTAATTTTTATTCAAATGCAGGGTTGCTATGCAACCTGGAAAACCTGGAAATCTCAGGGAATTTTATAAACCTTAAAAAACCTGGAAAATTCAAAGAATTTTGATCGAAATCCGGGAAAATTGTTTTCTAAAGTTATTGTGTTTATTCTTGAAATCTAATTTCACTTAAATATTTCAAAATTATGTAATTCAATTTTAAAAGTATTGCGTTTACAATTTTCGTAAGTAGATGAACTTCAAAAGATTTTGATTTAACATTTTGTAAAATTTCAATTATAAATGAATTTAATTAGAAATATAAAAAAACTTAGATTTAAAAAAAAATTTTAACTAAAATTCTTCTGAAATCAGTTAAATTTGTTTAAATAATTGATTATTAAAAAAATGGATTTATAGAAGAAATTTAGTTCAAAACACTAAAACAAATTGAATTTTGAAGCAATTATAAAATGATTGAAGAAATTCAATTATTTTCAAAAGTAGTAAAATTCTTCTCAGAAATTCAATTATTTTCAAAAAATTTAATAAAATTCTTGGCAAAATTTTAATTATTTTTAAAAACTTTCCTCAATTCAATGATTTTTAATATCTACTACTTTAATAAAAACTCCTAAAAGAATTCAATTAATTAAAAAAGAATTTTAATAAAATTCTACGCAAACATTTAATTATTTTCATAAATAATGAAAAGTTCACAGGAATTCAATTATTTACAAAGTATTTTTATATATTATTCAATTATTTTCATAAATAATAACTTTTTTTTAGAGGGATTCAATTATTTTCATAAATAATAAAACGCAATGCTGAATTTCAATTATTTTTAATACAATTATAATGGAATTGCTCGAAAAAAGTTATTATTCTTAAAAATTTTATTGAAATTTATCAAAGAAATTTAATTATTTTAATAACCTTTGCTACAATTTATTTATTAGAATTTAACTTTTATTTTCAATACATTTTTAATTAAATTTCTTTAAAGAATAAAATTATTTTCAAAAATTTTAATGAAATTCTTTGCGTAACAATTCAATTTTTTTCAAAATAATTTTAATAAAATTCTTCGCAGAAATCCAATCATGTTTAAAAATTTACAAAAATTCTTGTCAAAATTTCAATTGTCTTTATAAATTGCAAAATTCTTCTCAGAAATTTAATTATTTTAAGGAATTTTAATAAAATTCTTTGCAAAATTCAATTATTTTCATAAATAATAATATTCATCACAAAAATTTAATTATTTTCAAGAATTTTAACGAAAATCTTGTCAACAATTCAATTATCTTTATAAATAATAAAATTCTTAAGAGAAATGCAATTATTTTTATAAATAACAATATTTATCAGAAGGATTCAATTATTTTGAAAAGTAATAAAATTCTTCGCATAAATTCAATTATTTTAAGGAATTTTAATAAAATTCTTTGCAAAATTCAATTATTTTCAAAAATATTAATAAAATTCTTCCCAAGAATTCAATTATTTTCATAAATTTCAAAATTTTCCCAGAAATACAATTATTTTTAGGAATTTTAAAAAAATTCTTTGCAAAATTCAATTATTTTCACACATAATAAAATTCTTTACAAGCATTAAATTATTTTCATAATCAATAAAATTCTTCCTAGGAATTAAATTATTTAAAAAAATTTGACTTAAATTCTTCACAGGAATCCAATTACTGAAATAATTTTTACTAAAATTCATTTCAAGAATTTAATTATTTTCATAAATAATCAAATTTCTTTTGAGGATTCAATTATTTTCATCGAAGAATTCCAATTATTTTTTTATACAATTTTCATCAAATTTCTCGAAACATGCAATTATTCTTCAAAATTTATTAAATTTTGTCAAGAGAATTCGATCATTTAAAAATTTGTTGGTAAAATTCTTTATAAAAATTCAATTTTAAGAAACATTCAATTGTTTAATAAAATATTTATTTTTATAGTTCAATAATTGAATTCTCGTAGAATTTTCTAATAAATATTGATTTAAAAATGAATTTTTAATTAAAATCTTTGAAAATTTGAACTTTTATACTTTTAATTAAGAATTCTATAGAATTAGTTTTTCTCAATAAGTTTAATGGAATTATTTATAATTATTTGAAGTTTTTAATTTCATAATATTTAATTGAAGAATGTCAAAATAATCGAAATTTCGTAAAATTAAATTGTAAACAAAAGAATTTGAAAATTCACAATGAATTTTTTAAAAAATTTATAAAATAAATTGAAGAATTTTAGTTTAAAATTCTAGAAATGAATAATCGTAATGATGAAAATATGTTTTGAAGAAGTTACAGTAACAAAGTAGCAAGTTGTAATTATTATAAAACATGAAGAGAGCAATTGCTCCGAGTCGAAGACTCGGAGTAATCGCTCTCTTCGTGTTTTATAATAATATTCTTGTTATTGAATTTAGAATTTTTGAATATCTTAATTTCTATATAAAAAAATAATGATTAAATATTTATTTAAAAATGAAGTTATTGATGTTTGCGAATAATTTTTGTTTTAAAATCTGTAAAAATTCCGTTTTTTAACCTGGAAATCCCGGAAAAGTCAAGGAATTTGAAAAGAGCAAAAGCGTTGCAACTTTCAATCGTGTTAAATGTTTAAAATTAAATTCTTCGCCTTTTCACCAAAACGAATTTAAAATTTAATTTGTCTTCTTTTAAATTACGAAATTATGATCTTTTGTTCCGATCAGAACTTCTTTATAAGAATCTTTATTTATAAGAATCTGAAGAATTCAGATTCTTCCTTTAAATTAATAATAATTAAAAACAAATATTTTATTACAGATGTTATTTCTTTTGGAGACGAGCAACTAGAGCAAGAGTTGGACGACGATGAAGAACAGTATAACAATAACCAGGACAGTATTATCGAGGAAATTCCCCGAGAAATTATACCTGTTGAAGAAATAGATATTTCGGATGATGAACTCTCGAAAATTTGGGAAGACGCGAAGGATAATTCCATAGACGAGGATGTTGTGTTTCTCAAAGAAGATACAATAAAGGAAAATGGTATTTCCATCCCTTGTTCGTCTTTTCATCCCGATATCAGAGAGACTTGGACCGTTTGGACAAGGGCTGGAATCCCGTGTAAGGATCAGGAGGAATTGCAAAAAAAATACATGCCACCGAAATTTTTGCAAACACCGTTAGTGAATCCAGAAATTCTCGAGACTCTCCACAGGAGACCAATTGAAAAAGATGAATTCGTTCGTTCCTCGCAGGAAATGGTTGGTTCGGCTCTAACAGCATTAGGCACTGTTATGACTTCTCTTTTGTCCGAGGGTGAATACGATAAGTTAAAAGTGTTGAACAGTTTAAATGACACGGCGAAGATTCTCACTAGTTTATTTCACCTGGACACGGACAAACGGAGATCGAACATCATCTCCTGGAAACCGACGCCAGTGCAGAAAATTTTGGTTTCCACGAAACCAGACGAGTTTCTATTCGGTAAGAATCTCAGTGGTAGAATAAAAGCTGCGGAAGATTCGGGAAAAATTCACAAATTAAGACCCTATGTCTTCAAACGAAATAACGATCGTCCTTATAGGTACTTTCCAAGTCCTTATCATTGGTTCGGAAGTAATGACAATGAAAAAAATGACATTGACTATGTTATGAATCCATTGAAAAAAGAAAAGAAATGTAAAGTGGAAAAAGTTGATAAATCCATGAAATTGGAAGTTTGACTGAGTTTACTATATATTATGTTCGAGAGTTATTTTTCTTTACGATAAAAAGTTTTTTTTTTTTTGTTTTATTTACTTAGAGATGTATTTGTTTTCGTATGTACATATGTATAGAAAGGGGATCGAGAAAATCGAAAGTTGAGAGGAACAACGTCTTTGAAAGACTCGAAAAGTTTCCTGTCAACTTATAATAATAAAAAACACACTTTAGTTTAATACATAAAAATTATTGATTTTCTTAATTACATTTTACTTTTGATACATTGTTATTCTTAAATACTAAATATATGTAGCAGATTTTGTAAAACTATTTTTTCAAAAACAATACACAGATGTATTATAAAAAAAGTCGTAAGGTATTCTAATTCTTAATTATTCGTTTCTTATTAAGAAAATATTTTTGTAATATTTTTGTAATATTTTATTTTGTAATGTTTTGCAATTCTCATAATTTTCAGGAGAATTTGGTTTTTCTCCCCCGTAAGCCTGGTGGTCGGTAAATGTTATGATTTCTCATCAAATGTCGTCGGAGACTAACATTTTGTGTGAAGGCTCTTTGACAAATGTCACATGAGAATTTTCTCTGACCACCGCAAACATTATTTAAATGAGTGAGCAAACTGTGTTTGAATTTATACGCTCTACCACAACGAGGACAATTTAAGTGAACTCCTTCATCGTTCATTTGTGATTTGTGTTGAGGCGACGTTAAGTAAGTTGTTGAATCTGAAAGAAATATTAACTGTTAGCAAAGAAAATAGTGATAGCTTTTTCAAAGCTCTTTGTAATTTTATTTTCGAAAAAAAAAAATAAAAAGTTAATCATACTTTCAAATAATCTGACATGCATGTAAAAGAAATTATTCCAAAAAATCGTAAGTAGAAGCAGGGTAAAGTAAAACATTGTCAACACCTAGAATAATGGATTTTATTATTTACTTTTTTTTTACTTATATAAAATTTAACAAAATTTTTAATTTTTAAAACTAGTTTTTAAAAGTAATAAATACATACATGATTCTTTTTTTCAATCAGGCCTCGGATATTAGGACTTTTTTTTACTTTTTTCCGTACTATTTTCCGAAAATGCGACTTTTTTCGATTTATTTTCAAAAATTGAGACTTTTTCTCGACTTTGCTTCCAAATATTGCAACAAAATAACATATTTTTAGTATAAATTGCTAATTATTTTGATATTTCTAGTGTGAAAAATAACTATAGACAAATCTTTTAAAAATTATTTTTGTATAAATTTTCTAATTAAATTTTCGAAATATACAATTAAAAAGATTTGGAATAATTGAAATTTTGTAAAATTTAATTGAAAATAATTGATTTTTTTCAAAATTTTTACAAAATTGTAGTAATATTAATTACTACAATTTTTGAAAATCAAATTTAATAGCAAATTTTGTGAAAATAATTGAATTTTCAAAAAAATTTAATGAAAAATTTTGTAAAAATAATTGAATTTTCAAAAAAATTTAATGAAAAATTTTGTAAAAATAATTTAATTTTCAAAAAAATTTAATTGCAAATTTTGTGAAAATAATTGAATTTTCAAAAAAATTTAATGAAAAATTTTCATGTGTAAATTTACGAAAATGAAAACTAATAAAAACTAGCTTCTAAAAAATAATATTTAAATTTTTTTTTAAAAAAGTATTTCTTAGAATTTTTTTCATTATAAATTTCTAAAATTCAATTATTTTCAATATTTTCAAAAATATAATTTCGAAAATTCAAATTATAGATACAAAAAATAATACAATCATTAACATTTTTTAGAATTTAACATTTTGGAAAAAACTATCGTTGTGAAAATTTTTAATTAAACTTCTTCAAAAAATTACATAATTTTTTTTAAATTATATAAAAATTCTTTTAAAAAATTCAATTATTTTCGAAAAATTACATTAGAATATTTTTAAAAAATTAATTCTCAGAATTGTTTTATCATTAATTTATTTAAATTTACTTCTTCAGATTCTTATTAAAATTTCGGAAAAATCATGTTTAATTTTATAATTAAAATTCTTCCAAAATTTGATTATTTATTTTATTTTTCAAAAGTTCAATTATTTTTGAAAGATTTTGTCAAATTTCAATTATTTTTAAACGATTTTACCAAAATTCAATTGATTTAAAAAGATTTTATCAAATTTAAATTATTTTTAAACGATTTTACCAAAATTAAATTATTTTTTAAAGATTTGGTCAAATTTATATTATTTTTAAACGAATTTACCAAAATTAAATTGTTTTAAAAAGATTTTATTTAATTTTTAATTATTTTTAAAGGATTTGACAAAAATTTAATTATTTTTAATAGATTTTGTCCAATTTCAATTATCTTTAAACGATTTTACCAAAATTCAATTATTTTCAACAGATTTGACGAAAAATCAATTACTTTTTAAAAGATTTTATAAAATTTCAATTATTTCGAAAAGATTTTACCAAAATTCAATGATTTGAAAAAAATTTTGTCAAATTTCAATTATTTTTAAACGATTTTACCAAAATTTCAATTGATTTAAAAAGATTGTATCAAATGTTTGAATTATTTTGAAAAGATTTTGTCAATTTTCAATTATTTTTAAACGATTTTACCAAAATTCAATTATTTTCAAAAGATTTGACCAAAAATCAATTATTTTTAAAAGATTTTATAAAATTTCAATTATTTCGAAAAGATTTGACCAAAATTCAATTATTTTTAAAAGATTTTGTCAAATTTCAATTATTTTTCAACAATTCTACCAAAATTCAATTTCTTTAAAAAAGATTTTATCAAATTTCAATTATTTTAAAAATATTTTACCAAAATTCAATTGTTTGGTAATTTTTTAATTGTACATGTAATTGAAAAAAATCTTAAAAATTATTTAGAAATATTTTTAAAATATTAATTTTAAGAGTTTCTTCATTATAATTTTTTAAAAATATTTTACCTTAATAACTTTAAAAAAAAACAATAATTACTGTTACAAGATAAAATTTTTGTTGCAACATTGAATTAAATAGACGACTTTTTCGACTTTTTTTGTGTCTTAAAGTCGATCCGAGGCCTGTTGAATTAATTTACGATTGGTAAATCAGAAATTTTTTTCTCCAGTTTGAAATGAAAATTTTTAATTTCTATTTAATATAAATTTTTTTCTAGGTTCTACAAATATGTTGTGATTATTTTGCAGATGACGACGCAAACTTCCATTTTGGGTAAAGGCAGTGTTGCAAAAATTACAAGAATATTTCTTTTTTCCTCCACATTCGTAGCGAATATGTTTAATTAAACTGTTTGCTAAAATATAAGTTCTACCACAAACAGCACAGCTAAATTTTCCTTCAGGTACTTTTTCACTTTCCTTTGTATTTCTATATTTTCTCGCTCGATTTTCTCCGAAATTGAGATTATTTTCTGAAATTGAAAAAAAAATTCATTAGTTTATTTAAAGCGGTAACTAAATTAATTAAATTAATTAAAATTAAGCACAAAAATATTATCAAAAGAAAATAATTATACAATTTATTTACATAAAATGTTATAATAACAGTGAAGATAAAAATAAGAAATACGAATTTATTTTTTTAAAAATTATATACACCTGATTGATTACATTCTTTTTTTACATTTTTAGTGATAAAATTTTTTTTTAAAACGGACGAAACAAATTTTTAGTTTAAAAAATTAGTTACATGTATTTTTTTTAAGTTTTTCAAGACGAAAATTCGAATGAATATTATAAGGAATTTGAGTGCCAGCTTATATAATTAATTATTTCTAAAATTTCCAAAACCAGGAATTGCTCCAGTTCGATGTTTCTCAATGTGTTTATCTAAATAAAATTTGTACGTCGATTTATATGGACAATAAATGCATTGGAGAAATGGTTTTTTACCGCATTCGTGCGATAAATGTCGTCTGAGATTTTTGGCATCATAATAACGTCTACCACAATTTTGACAAAAATGTCGTCCCAGACCACGAGATCTTCTCGGTTTGTATCCTAGAAACATAATAATATTTTTTAAGTAGAAAATTATTTTTCATTTTTTTTTTAAATTAATAAAATTTTTGTCATAAATATTGAAAAAGTGTCTATATAGAAATGTACAAATTGAAAAAGAAGGAATTAAAACTAAAACAGCAAAAGTATATATGTATATAAATTACTATTGTAAATAATTAATTTATTTATTACTATTACTAGCAAAAGATACGCGCGAAACGCGATATTCCATTTATTATTATTTAAATAATAATTCCATTTATTATTTTGTAAATAAAAATGTTTATATTTTAAAATGTAAGCATAAATTATTTTGAACAGTTTTTATAAATTCTTAAGAAAAATTAATTATTTTTATACGTTCTATTAACATTTTTCGATTCAATTCAATTATTTGCAAAATTTTTAATAAAATTTTTTCAAAACATTCAATTATTTTCTGAAATTTTTCAAAACAATTCAATTATTCTCATAAAGAATAACATTCTTTGGAATAATTCATTTATTTTTATAAAACGTAAAATTCCCCGAAGGAATTCATTTATTTTCAATACAATTTTTAATAAAATTTCTATAAAAAGAAAAATATTTTTAAAAATATTAATTTGAATTTCATTATTTTCAAAATTATTCATAAAACTCTTTCAAAAAATTTAATTATTTTCAAAAATTCTGATAAAATTCTTTGGAGGAATTCATAAATATTTTCAAAAATAATAAAATTCTTAGCAAGAATTAAATTATTTTTAATTACAACTTTTAATAAAATTTCTCAAAAGAGTGTAATTATTTTTTAAAATATTACAATTATTTTCAAGTTTTTATAAAATTCTTAAGAAAAATTAATTATTTGTTTTATTGACATTTTTCAATTGAATTCAATTATTTTCAAAATTTTTAATAAAATTCTTTCAAAACATTGAATTATTTTCCAAAATTCTGTTAAAATTCTTCGAAACAATTGAATTATTTTTATAAATTGTAATAAAATTTTTCTAAAAAATTCAATTATTCCTCAAAAGTTTTTATATAAAATTCTTTGTAAATTTCAATTATTTTTCAAAACTTTCAGTAAACATTATTTTTAAAAATTACATTTTTTTACGAAATTTAAAGAAATTCTTCAAAAATTTTTAATTATTTACCACGAAAACGAATAGAATTTTTTAAAAGAATTTAATTTTCTGTCAATAATTTAATAACATTTAATAATAAACACGATTATTTTAGAAACAAAAAGAATTCTTCATAAAATTCAATTACTTTCAAAATTTTCAATAAAAATGATTAAAAAAACATTATTTAAAAAAAATTCAAATAAATTCTTCAAAACAATATAATTATTTTCAAAAATTTTAATGAAATTCTTGCCAAGAATTAAATTATTATTTTCATTACAATTTTAATAAAATTCTTTGTAAGAATTCGATTATTTTCATAAATAATAAATTTCTTTCCTGAAATTCAATTATTTCCAATACAATTTTAATGAAATTTTTCGATTGAATTCAATTATTTTCAAAATTTTTAATAAAATTCTTTCAAATATTTAATATTTTCAAAAATTCTGATAAAATTCTTCGAAACAATTGAATTATTTTTATAAATTGTAAAATTCTTCCAAAAATTCAATTATTATTATAAATTGTAATAAAATTTTTCTAAAAAATTCAATTATTCAAAAAAAGTTTTTATATAAAATTCTTTGTAAATTAAAATTTTTTTTTAACTTTCAGAGAAATTTTTTTTGAAAATTTACATTGTTTTTACGAAATTTGAAGAAATTCTTCAAAAAATATTTAATTATTTTACAAAAACAAATAAAATTCTTTAAAAGAATTTAATTTTCTGTCAATAATTTTAATAAAAATTAATAATAAACACGATTATTTTAGAAACATAAAAAGAATTCTTCATAAAATTCAATTACATTCCAAATTTTCAATAAAAATAATTAAAAAAAACATTATTTAAAAAAATTTCAAATAAATTCTTCAAAACAATTTAATTATTTTCAAAAATTTTAATAAATTTCTTACCAAGAATTAAATTATTTTCATTACAATTTTAATAACATTCTTTAGATGAATTCGATTTTTTTTAAAAATAATAAAACTCTTTACTGAAATTCAATTATTTATTATATTAATTCAATATACCTATTATATATTCAATTATTTATTATAAAATTTTATTTAATTTTAATTAAATTTATGGAAAGAATTCATTCTCTCGATAAATTTAATTAAAATTGTATTGAAAATGATTAATTTTTTAAAATTAATTTAAAAATTGAAAACATTTAAAAAGAAAAATTAGAAAAGTTAAGAAAAAAAGAAGAAAACAAAAACTAACTTCAAATTATGCGAACAGATTACCGGAATACAACGATTATGAATATTGATTATTAAAATTAATTAACTTATAACTAATATTATTTATTAATTAATTTATTACTATTATTTAGCAATTAATTTATTACTAATATTATTAATTAATTAATTACTAATATTGATTATTAAATACCATTTTTTTTGTAGTGGGAAGTAATGTAGTATCGAGTATTGTAAAAAACGATTTTTATTTACATTTGTATAAAGACATAACGGAATAATTGTAATACAGAATTTTCGAATCTACATGAAATTTTCTATCTAATTGAAGGCATATCGGGATGAATTAATTTTACATGTTTTAAAATGCTCGCTTTATATTTGGAATAATGAGGGCAAAACGGACATTTTTGAGACGGTTCTCGACCACATTCGACTTTTAAATGTCTGCGTAATGATTGCTTTATTTTATAACTCCTTCCGCACCGGGGACATGAATACATTTTCTGTTGATGATAGCTGTATTGTCTCCAATCTGAAAAAAATATTTTTCGTCATAAAATTGCATTTGAAATTGTTCTCGAATTTTAGAAATAAAGGCTTTAATCTAGAATTTAGTGTGAAGCGATAATATTTCAAATATGGAATTAAAATTATTTTCTAAACACTAGCACAAAATAACAGTTTTCGCAGCTAATTTATTAACAAAGAAAAATATATAATATTTTATAAAATAATTTTTATAGTGGAAAATAGTGCAAATATATTGAGAAAATACTGTTAAAAATCTTCGTTAAAAAAATATGCAGTACATTTATTTACATATGAAATAAATTAATTATACAACAGAGTATGTGATCACAAAATAATATTTGTAATTAAAAGTTATTTTTTTTTTTGTATCTTAAAATTAAAAATTGCGACTTTAATTTGAGAGCGAATTTTTGTTTCATGAACCAGAGAATGCATCGATACAATAAATATTTTGTCCCGGATGACTCGAACGTATGTGTTGATATAAATTTCCTCTTTGCTTCGTACAGTGTGTGCAATAGGGACAACGAAATCGGGCAGTTTTTCCACACTCATGTTTTAAATGACGGGAAAGTGTTCGTTGATGTTGATAACTTTTATTACACTGATTGCATCTGTAAAAAAATTGCCGATCTGGTTTTTCAGACGTGTGACTTTGTTTCTTCAGTGAGTCGTTCCTCGGAGAACTCGTCCAATCTACAACAAAAAAATTACACTTTTTTTTAATAATAAACATTTTTTTTTACAAAAATAAAACTAATTTTCAAGAAGTTAATTAAATAATATTTAAAGCTAAAAAATATATAGTCGACCTTTTGGTTAAAATATAAATGAAATTGTATTACAAATGTACAAATATTTTCTTAAAAGAAAGAATTATTATTTATTATTCTTTATTAAACACTAGCAAATGATACGCGGTATTCCATTTCTCATTATTTTGTAATTTGTAAATTAAAAAATTTTATATTTTCAAGAATAAACATCAATTTTTAAATTACAGATTTAAAATTTAAAGAATTCACTTATTAAAAATTTTAATAAAATTTGTCACAAGAATTTCATTATTCCCATAAATAAGAAAATTCTTCGCAAGAATTAAAATATTTCCATAAATAATAAAACTCTGCAAAGAAATTCAATCATTTTTATAAATAATAAAATGTTTCGGGGGAATTCAATTATCTTCAGAACAATTTTAATAAAATTTTTTGGAAGAATACAATTATTTTTAAAAATTTTAATTAAATTCAATTATTTTCAAGAATTTTCATCTAAATTCAATTACATATTTTCAACAATTTTGATGAAATTCTTTTGAAAAAAATCATTATTTTCAAAATTTTTAATAAAATTCTTATTCGAAAAATTCAATGATTTTCAATACAATTTTAACGAAATTTCTCGAAACAAATCAATTATTTTCATAAATAATAAAATGTTTCGAAGAAATTCAATTATTTTTAATACGATTTTAATAAAATTCAATAAAATTCAAGATGATTTTAAAAAAATTTCTCTGGCAGGTTAGATTATTTTTAAAAATTGTAATATTTTTCTAAACAATTCAATTGTTCTCAAAAGTTTTTAATATAATTCTTAAAAAAAAATGTAATTATTTATAAATACACTAATAAAATTGTTTAAAAGAATTTAATTTTCTATGAATAATTGCAATATAATTTAATATGAAAATCGTTAATTACAATTAATATAATAAACACAATTATTTTATAAACTTAAAAGAAATTCTTCTTAAAATTCAATTATTTTCAAAATTTTCAGCAAAAATTATTTTTAAAAAACTCCTTTATTTCCATGAAAATTGAAATAAATTCTTCAAAACAATCCAATTATTTTAAAGAATTATAATACAAATTTTGCCAAGAATTAAATTATTTTTAAATTATTTCAATACAATATTTTAATTACATTTTCTCGAAAGAATTTAAATTATTGAAAAAATGTTAATAAAATTCTTGAAATTGAATTCAATTATTTTCAAATCTTTTTTACAAATATTTTACAATGATTCAATGATTTTCCGTACATATTGATAATAATTTAATTATTTCTGAAAATAATTGAATTCTTGAATAGAATTTTATTAAAACTTTTTTAAATAAAATTGAATCGCTGCGAAAAAATTTATTATTTTTACAAATAATTGAATTTTTGCAAAATTCAAAAAAAAAATTGAATTTTTGCAAAATTTAAAAAAATAATTGATTTTTTGAAAAATATAAAAAAATAATTTAACTTTTGCAAAATTTAAAAAAATAAATGAATTTTTTAGAATAATTTTATTAAAATTGTATATTTAAAAGAATTGAATTCCTGTGAAATATTGACTATTTATTAATATTATAGAATTCTTTCGATGAATTTAAAAAAAATATTAAAAAATAATTAAATTTTTCCTGTAATTCAATTAAAATTGTATTTAAATTTTAAAATAATTGAATTCCAGCGAAAATTTCATTAATTTTAAAAATAATTGAATTCTTGAATTGGATTTTATTAAAAGTTTTTTAAATAATTGAACTCCTGTGAAAAATTCAATTATTTTTTAAGATTTTTAAAAATAATTGAAATTTTCGAAGAAAATAATTAAAATTGTATTGAAAATAAAAGTAAAATCCTGTTAAGAATTTTATTATTTATATTAAAATAATTTAATTTTTTTCGAAGATTTCTATTAATTATAAATTGATTAAAGAATTTTTAATACAATTATTGAAAATAATTAAATTATTTTGAAAAATTTAATTGATTTTTTTAAAAATAATGTCGTTTTTTTAATCATCTTATTAAAAATTTTGAAAGTAATTGAATTTTATGGAGAATTCTGTTAAGTTTCTAAAATAATCGTGTTTATTATTAATTGTAATTAATAATTTTATTATTAGTTGTTATTAAAATTATTGACAGAAAATTAAATTCTTTTAAAGAATTTTATTGATTTTCGTGGTAAATAATTAAAATTTTTTGAAGAATTTATTTTTAATTTCGTAAAAACAATGTAATTTTTTAAAAAAATAATTTTCAATAAAATTTTTGAAAAATAACTGAAATTTACAAAGAATTTTATATAAAAACTTTTGAGGAATAACTGAATTTTTTTAGAAAAATTTTATTACAATTTATAAAAATAATTCAATTTTTTGAAAGAATTTTACAATTTATAAAAATAATTGAATTTTTTCGAAGAATTTTATAAGAATTTTTGAAAATAATTCAATGTTTTGAAAGAATTTCATTAAAAATTTTGAAAATAATTGAATTCAATCGAAAAATGTTAATGAAACAAATAATTAATTTTTCTTAAGAATTTTATAAAAACTGTTGAACATAATTGTAATATATAAAAAAAATGTATTAAAAGTTTTATTAAAAATAATTTAATTCCTGCGAAGAATTTTATTATTTATGAAAATAATTGAATTCCTCCAAAGAATTTTATCAGAATTTTTGAAACTATAATTAAATTTTTTAAAAGAATTTTATAAATAATTTTGAAAATAATTGAATTCAATCGAATAATTCTTTATAAAATTCAATTTTTTTTAATAAATACTTTACAAGAATTCAATGAGTTTCAGTACATTAATTTTTTAATTTTAAACATTTAAAAAGAAAAATTATTTAAAAAGTCTGGAAATAAAAAAGCAAAAAGCAACTAACTTCAAACTGCGAACATTTTACCGGAATACAGCTATTATATATTCGTTGTATTCCGGTAATTATAATTAATAATTATTAATATAAATTAATAAAAACGTTTATAGATACTAAATTATAATTTTCAATAAACAAAATTAGTCAGGTAAATTAATAATAATTATTTAAATATGTACAAAGAATGCGACATGTATTTTCAATACAAGATTAATTCGTAATTAATTTATTACTGAAATATATTACAATTATCACTAATTAATTTATTATTAATTAAAAATTAGTACAATCACTAAATAAATTATTTAATAATTTATTAAATATTTAATTTCCTGAATGAGGAAATTTGCATTTCGAAAACTGACATCAGGGAATCTTTGTCTGAATGTCTTTGTTTTGTTTCTGTGTTATTAAATTATTTTAATTGCTCAAAATGTACAATATTTTCAGGATGTACAGTTCTTACGTGAACAGTAAGCAACCATCTGTAGATTGCTTTTTGCGGACAAAAGGGACATTGAAATTGTGGTAATTTACCACCGCAAACATATTTTTGATGTCTTCGTAAATCCCTATCGTTCACGTAAGCCTTATTACATTCGGCGCAAACATATTTTTTTTTTCTATTGCTTCTTATCATGAAGTAATCTGAAATGGGAAAATTATAATTATTTAGTAAAACAATTTTTTTATTTTTAATAGTTGAAATAAAAATTTAGTGATTTCCTGTAGCAATACATCAATTTATACTTTGTGCAATATATTTTAGGCAAGAAAAAAATAATCAATCGTGGCTCTCGAGGTGGTAGACAAAAATTTCCTTTTTTTACAGAAAAAATAATTTTTTTTTTATTTGAAAATATTTTTCATACAATTTTATTATTCATTATTATTTAATTTTATTATTTAAAATTTTTATTAAAACTCATTCCGAACTTGGAACTTTCAAGTCAATCACATAAATAGTGTTTCCCTTGTGTTTTCTTCGGATATGTTTGTAAACGTTCGATCTCTGCTTCATGCAAACATTACAATAAGGACACTGAAAACGTGGTGGTCGATTGCAAAAAACGGCCAAATGTTCTTTCAAACTTCGCTTCCCTGGATACTGAACATTACACTTTAGGCACCAATATTCTCCGTCTCTGGAATCTAAAAAGAAGATAGTTTTAATATATTTTCATAATTCAAAATTGAAATTCAATTATTGTGACAAAAATTCAACATTATTTCAAAGAAAAAAAGTGTAAATAAAAGAAAAATGTCTGTATAATTTATGAATTTTATTTTCATATCATTACATTCAGTTTTAAAAAATATGCTTCAGCAGTTTTTCTTTTCTATATATGGAAATTTAAAAATACAATGTCAAGTTATTTCCACGTCAATTTTTCTTTTTCTTGCAAGATTATTATTTCAAAAATCGAAAAAAAATTGACTAGTTCAGACAAAAAGCAGTCTTTCGAAAATCGAGATTTTTCTTGAATGAAATTTATAAATTATAAATTATAAATTATAAATATCGTGCACGTAGACTCTGAAACCCTCATGTTTTCGTCGAATATGCTGCTGTACGTTTGATGTTTTCTTACTGATAAATTGACAATATGGACATTTGAATCGTGGTGGTTGTTGACACTCGTAACGCAAATGAGTCATGAGACTGTTCTTGTGACGAAAAACACTCGTGCACGATCCACAGGGATATTTTTTAGCGTCGATTGCGTTAATATAACGCGTACGTTGATCCATATACTTTAGTAGTTTCGTCCGTGAAAAGTTTTGTCCGAAACCTGAAAAAAAGAAAAAGAGTTAGTTCAAAGTAAATTTCAAGAACATTTCAACACTTCAACATTTCAACATTTCAACATTTCAACATTTCAAAAATTGAACAACATTTGAAAAACTCAAAAAAAAACATTATAGAAATTCATTCAAGTAACAAATAATTCAAAACCAGGTAATATTGTAATATCTTCCCATATTAGTACAATTTCATGCAAATGCAATAAAACGATAAAGAAAATTGGATCTAAGGACAATACCTTTTTTTTCTTCAGTAGAAAAATACCGAATTGTGACAAATTTTTTTTACAAATTTTGTATGAGTAAGAAAAAAACCAACGAACAGAAAATTAACAATTTTTCATTTTCAGTTAGAATAATTTCGACAAAATAAATGATTTTTCAGCTTTTGAATATGAAAGAAATAAGAAATTTTTCTAACTTAGAGAAGTGAGAAAGTGATTGTATAAAGTGCTTTCATATTACAAACGATACCATTTATTTGATTGAAAATGTATTACAATTTCATTCAATTAAAGTCAAAAACACAATACACATAAGATAAATGAATTAGAACACATATATTATATACGTGTAATGTTAATTATATATTATTGTAATTATTATTAATATTTATTATTAATAATTAAAAGTCGTTGTCATATCTTATAGCATTAGGTTTAGATCGGCGAGCTCTGAAACCTTCCCAGTCCTTGGCATTCGCCAAAACAGATCCTAATGCTGATAATAAGTTGTGTTCTGTTGCTTTAGTTCCGGTATTTTTATCGATATGATTTTTTAAAAGTACACCTGGAAAATGAAAATAAAGTCAATTAGTTAAGGTTGAAAAAGATTTTTATTGAATTGAAATATTGAGAAAAAAAAATAATTAACTTGATTTTTTGGATTAAAATTCAAAACTTAATTTATTTTTAGTAATATTAATTTATTTTGTTAATTTAATTTATGTATTGGATTTAAAATTCGAAAATTGTGTCTTACTTATTATGCACTTGCAGAAAGTTGTTCCCTTCAAGACGTATTTATCTTTAACGGGTTTAACAGCAGTGTAACTTAGGGCAACGTCTCGAGACATGTATTTCTTCATTATGTTTACCAGTGTTTTTGTTGCAACATGGTTTCTGTCGAATAGATCCAGCAACGAAGCCATCTATCGCAAACAAATAATTTCTTTATCAATAAAAAAGTTTTTGTCAATTATTTATCATTGTTTTCTATTTTTATTCAAGTTTCACTCAATTTTTGTCAGTAAAGTCAGGGAAATGTTAGGAAAAAAAATTTTTTGTCAGGGAAATTTAGAAAATTGGGATTTTTCCCACTTATTTTTAAAAATTGCGACTTTTTCAATTTTTATAGTGCGAAAAATAACTATAAATAAATCTTTCAAAAATTATTTTTGAATCATTTTTCTATTTAAATTTTCAAAATATAGAATTAACAAGATTTTGAATAATTGAAATTTTGTACAATTTAATTGAAAATAATTGATTTTTCTCAAGTATTATTACTATAATTTTTGAAAATTAACTTTTAAAGAAATTTAATTGCAAATTTTTAAAATAATTGAATTATCAAAAATTTTAATGAAAAATCTTTAAACGTAAATTTAAAAATGAAAATTAATAAAAATTACCTTCTAATTTTTTAAAATTTAGTATTTTCCGTACTTTCAATCACATATTTCCGAATTCAAATACATGCAAAAAATAATAACATTTTAGAATTATTTTTAACATTTTGGAGAAGAGAATCATGTTCAAAATATTTAATTAAAATTCATCAAGAAATTAATTAGTTTTTCTCTTAAATATTACAGAAACTCTTTTAAGAAATTCAATTCTTTTTGAAAAATTACATTAAAATATTTTTAAAAACAATAATGAGACTTCGCTTGTATAAGTCCTAGGGGCTAAGAACAAGGTTTTGAATAAATTAAATTAAATTAAAATTATTATGATATTTTTAAAAACTACTTAATTCTTAGAATTTTTTTATCATAATTTTTTAAGATTTAATTATCTTCGAATAAAGCAAATAAAAATATACTTTTTTGGACTTATTAAAATTTCGGAGAAATAATGGTTATATATATAATTAAAATTCTTCAAAAATTTGATAATTTTTATTTTTTGAAAATATTATAGCTTAATAATCTTAAGAAAAAAGCATAAACAGTTACAATTATTATAAAAAATTGAATTTTAGTATTTTTAAATTTAATTCTCGAAGAACTTTCAAAAAATTATTTAAAATAATTGATTTAGAGATGAAGTTTAGTTGGAAATTAGAGAAAATAATTTAATTCATGAAGAGTTATAATTTTAATTTCTCGAATTTACTCTATTTTATTTAATTTACTCAATTTTAATAAACTTAAATCAATTTAATCAATTCATACAAAAATTTATGAAATTTACGAAATTTCTTATACAAAATAAAGGTTTCTTTAGGGACATTTTGTTGAATTTTTCGATATATTAGAACGTTGAAATAAATGAATATTTTTTTTCTATTTATTTTCAAAAATTACTAGAATGAAATTGAAAATAAAATTCAAAAACATTTCTAGAAATTAATTAATTTTTTAAATCAGCAAAAAATAATTTTTTTTGTCTAAGAACAAAATTTAAAATTTTAACGAAATGTACAAAAAAAATCGTCATTCATTTGAACGTTGAAATCCTGTTTTTTTATATTGTAATATTTTCGATAATATAAATATTTTCAAAAATGAATGATTTTCATAAAAAGCAAAAATAAAATTAAACATTTAAAATCTTTATTATTTATTTTTCAATACGTGACGCAATATTATTGCAATAAAATTTTAATTTAAAGGAAAAATAAATAAATTTTGTCCGAAATTTAAATTCTTTCAAAATGCGAGTCAAGCTTTCTAAAGTTTTGAAAATTTAAATTAACGAAATTTATTTATTTCTATTTCAAACTTAAATTTTGCGTCATGTTTGAAAAAATAAACAATTTATAAACTTTAAAAATGTTACAAATTAGATTTTTTATTTCTATTCAAATCAATAATTTTTGAAAGATATTTTTCTAAAATATAAAAAACAGAAAAAATTCATAAATTTTCCACGAACAGAAAAAATTTTTAAAATCAACAGAGAAAATTTTAAATGATTGAATTTGAAATTAATTAAGATTAGAATTTGAAATTTATATTGTTTAAAATTTGGACGAATTGTATGTTTGATCCTGATTCTAAATCGGCTGAAGCTACATTGGAGCTTAATTATAAAAAAAGATAAATTTCAAAGATTTTTGATTTTTTTCCAAAACATTTAGTTGTTACGAATTAAATTCAGAAGAAACTAACATTTTAATCGATGAAAGTTTTAAGAAATTGAAATTCAGATTTTTTGAAATATAAATTAATTTAACTATTTTTCAAAAACTGAAATCTTGATTTAAAATATTTGGAAAATTTACAAAAGAGGCGAAATAGGAGAAAATTAATAAAATTATTGAAATAAGTGAAAATTAACAAAATTGGTGAAATGGGAGAAAATTAATTAAATTAGTGAAATAAGTGAAAATTAACGAAATTGATGAAATAGGTAAAAATTAATGAAATTGGTGAAATAGGTGAAAATAAATGAAATTGGTGATTAAATTGAAAAAAGTGAAAAGCTGACAGTCTGTGATCCCTGATTCCTGAATATGTGAAATCAACTTACAAACTTAGCTCGAAGTGTTGCATTTGATGCCAAAGCGACATCGAAACGTTCGAATTCCCCAACGGATTTAAAAGGTAAACTAAGTGAATATTCTTCCATAAATTTGTCAATTGCATCCAATGGCGTTGGTTCAATGACACCAGCGGAATTTAATTTATTAGCCAGCTGCTGTTGACTATGTTGTATGTCTTCCAATTGCGATCGAATTCTAATTAATTCCTTAACAACATATTTTTGGAAGTCTGCAATTCAAGGAGAAACTTTTTTTAAATTGTCTAATAAATAATTGTTATTAACTTCAAATATTTTATTTTTATCCCAAAGTTCCGAACAAAATCTATTTATTTAAAAACATAAATCAAAATCTATTTATTTCTTCTTGAAATTAAACAAAAATTTTATCTCACTATAAAAGAAAATTAATTATAAAGTTTTTAAATGTAAAATTTAAATTTTTCCTGCAATCATTAATTTGTGAAAAGATTTTTAATATTTTATTTTAACGTTAAAAACTTGTAGATAATATTCTTAATTGAAAACTTTTCAAAATATTGATGAAAGGCAAAAAGTTGACATTATTATAAATTGATAATTTGAATTTTAAATTTTTTGGGTTTTTAACACAAATTTTATTGAGTGAGAGTATAAAATATATAATATGAAGAAAGTCTTGTAAATTTCGAAAGAAACATTTTGTTCTAAACTCTGAGACTATTTGTTTAAATTGAAATTCCCAATTTTTATATTTTACAAAAATATTCGATATTCAGATTTCGAATATTATCAAAATAAGAATAAAATATATATTTACTAGATGAATAGCGATTGCTCTCCTCCTCGTCTGGTTTAATACGTTTTTTCTGTGGCTCAGAGTCCTGTTCCTTATCAATTAAATCAAAATCTCTCGCCAATATTGGTTGCAATTCAGAAATGGAGAAATCCACAAATTCAAAATTAGACGAAGGATTTGACGTTGGTAAATCAGGGCCACTTTCTGAAAAAATCATTACACATTTATTTATTTTTGTGTATTTCAAAAAAAAAAAAATTAATCTTTAATGATAAATAAACAGAAGGCATAACAAGGGCGTGGGTGTAATATATAATAAATAAGGAGAGAATAAGTCCTACAAAAATAATAGTATAAAAAGGGAAAAAATGCGAGTGTCAGAAAATGAGAGATAAGGATATTTAGATAGAAAATAAAAAACCGCAGTGTTAGTAAATAAATTTATTCTTATATTCAGATATGTAAACCCGAAGGAAACAATATAATCCTAATTTCCAAAACAGGTTCGTCACTTACTATTACTTTAGTTTTTATATAAAACTCCCGAATAAATTAAATCACATCGCTGATATCTTATCAATTTACCACTTCTTCAACTAATGACCTTTAATTCACTTATATAAAAATTAAATTATTTTAGTTTAGTATACTGTATCTGTACATATATATGTATCAAAATAAAACTTTGTTTTGATTGACATAACCTAAAAATACAAATTGTAAATCTTGCAAATGCTTCAAAAGTGTTTTATTCACGAATAAGATGAATAAAAAATATTATTTAAAAAAGTAGTATTATAAAAAATTATTCATAATATTTACTAAAATATAAATAAAAGTACAACTAAAATTAAAATACTTATATACGTGTAAGTTATACAGTATGAGGCGATTAATAGCTTTTAAAATAAAAATGATTAGATGCAAATGATTGCAAATATTTATTATACAAATATTCCAGTGCTTTTAATACAATAATTGTGTTCAATAGCTGACCTTCAATATCAATATCTTCACTTTTTATCGAAAAAGAACTTAAGGACTCATCCTGAGTATTTGATGGTTCTTCAATTTCCTGTAAAGCTTTCTTTATTGCTCGGAATTTTCTTACTCGTAGACGAGCTTTATCACGTTTTCGTTGAATTGCATCCATTTAGAGATGAGAATTTTCAAAATTTTTATTAACACATTAACTTTATTTATAAAACTTTATAAAGAAACGATAGATTAATTCAAAACGATGCATTTACACATGTGTATCCTGTGTCGCATATTCAACACTTCTCTCCAGGTTCTCATCGCAGGGCCGTATTGTTATGGTGTTCAACAGTAAGAATAAAGAATTTTTGTCAAAAGGTGGAAAATTTCGGTATTTCAGTTTAATTTTGATCCGATTTAGAGGAATAATTTTAAATATATTCGTAATTATAAAAAATGTGCATAAAATTCAATAGAAAATTATTAAAATAAAAAGATAGAAATATTTTTTTACTTCCGCTCCTGGTACAAAAATTGTAACCGCCGTAGAAAAAAAGTAATTAAATAATAATTTTTAAAAACAATTTTCTTATTAAAAAATTAATTTCTTTTCAATTACTGCGGTTATTTATCTTTTCCCCTTGCATCTTTGTTTCAAATGTCTGTTCAAGGAAGATTTTTGCGAAAAACATTGACAACATTTGAAGCATTGGTGCAATTTGCCACAATCATGTTTCTTATGGTAGGTCAAATTGGCATAACTTGCATATCTTGCTCCACAATATTCGCAAACGTGTCTTGACATATTGACTTTAATCAACGAATTTTTCTTATAATCAGTCGCCCAGTTACCTAAAACAAAAAAAATATTTCTTATTAGCAAATTATTAAAGCAGTTAGCGACATTTTTATGGGCCTATATGCGCAATTGCTTCGCGAACGCAACGCATGGGTTAGAAAAGGACAGTATACATTTGTGTCCTTTTCTATCTCATGCATTTCTTTCGTGGAATTGTGCGTTGGCCTTTTTCCTAAAATCGCTTATAGTTAGAAATGAGTTTTAAAATTTAATTTGCAAACATCCTCTAATAGACTAAAAATACGGAAAATACGTGAAAATCGTGAAAATAAGCGTGTGAAAAAAGAAAAAGTAAAATTAAATTGTAAAAGTTAAAAAATATCTTTATTCACATGACTTGAGAGTATATATAAAGTAAACAAGCGTTTGTAATAAATACGAATTTTGCGAAAACTGAATACTTTTAGTTCAACTACAAAATTTCGAGTTCAATACTAAAAATTTTCCTGTTAACTGTCATATATAGGTCTGGCTAATCCTACGATACTGTTTTATTGAGATTGTTACTTCTATCATACTGTAGAGTTACTTCTCAGCTATGTGGGGGTTCATTTGATCATGCGCATGACAGTACCGCAAGGACACAGATGGCAGTCACCAGGTCATGGCCGTATATACGCAGCGTAACGCAAGTATAAGTGCCAACGCTGAACATTGAAATTGAAATTGACACAGATGGCTAACATAACCTATATCTTTCCGACAGAGATGGGTACGTATATTTATATCAGTATTATTTTACGTATAGAAAATCGTTCTCTTTTAATTATAATTAGAAAAAAAGTAAATTCCACTGATACGAAAAAATTGCAACGAAGCTTTATAATACCGATAATTATAAAATTTGCTATATATTATACACAAATTTAACTATATCTCTTCCTTAGAATCTTACATATGAACAAATCTCTAAAATCTATATTTACAAATTAAAACTAAATTTCGTGCAATAAAGGGATCGTTCAAAAAATATGTAACGCTATAACCCCCTCCCCCCATGTTGTATATATTAGCACCATTTTTTCTGCTAACAGTAATAAATAGCTTCCCCCCCCCAAAAAAGCGTTACGTATTTTTTGAACGACCCCATAAGTCGAGCACATTATTGACATATATAATTTGTTTTTCAATGGCAGAAAGATTCACAGAATAGGCGCTTGTAAGCAGAACTAATTTCCCCAAACGTAAAATTTTACATGGGAGAGAAAAGGATAGAAGAGTCTTTTTTCCTTTTCTCTCTCATGTGAAGGCTTTCGATTCACGATTCTTGGAGGTTATATTTTGCTTACAGGCCTAAAATGCAAATATCTAATCTAAAAATTGCTAATGACATCTATTCTTCAAGTGTCTGGTCATAGAACACTTTTGTGAAAAATATTGACCACATTTGTAGCATTGATGGCTTTTTCCGCAATCGTGTTTCTTGTGGTATGTTAAACTGCCAAAATTTGCATAACTTGAGCCACAGTAGTCACATATGTGAGGTCTTGGCCTATGACCTACTCTGCTCGGAAGTTTTATTTCACTCCAATTACCTAAAACATAAGAAAATTATTTTTTGTTAGTGTAAATGGAAAATTATTTACAGGAACAATATTCCAAAGTGTTGAACAAATTATTGTACATATAATTATTTTAAAGTGTTTATTTATTTAGAAAAAATGTGTGTTTTGAACAAAATTTTACAAATTATTTAATTTGGATGAAATGTCAATTAGTGTGGTATAAACAATAATGATAATAGTTGATTGATGATGATCTCTGACGACGAAATCCTTTCTTAAAAAAGACATGGAGTGGAAAGGTCGAATGTATCGAAAAGTATCGAAGTAAAGAATGGGCAATGAGAATGTAAAATCTTAATAGAAGGGTGTTTTTAAAATTGTTTGTACATGTGAAGGTGGCGCTGCAGTCGTATGTTATTTAAAAAGAGCGCGAATATATAAATTTTATTTTTGTTAAGAGAAAGTACTCATAATAAATCTTATTTTGCATTGTCAAAAAAAACGTCAACATTTCAAATATAAATAAGCAAATTATTAACTGAAAAAATTTGAATATTATTATTAATGAAATAATGGACTCGGACAATGGACATATTAAAACTAGCACCGTAGACGGCCGCTTGCGGCCGTCGGAGGAGCTAGTAAAGTAAAACTTAGAGGTTTTGAGGCGAAAAATTGTAGGTTATGTTTGGTTGATGGTTCCTAGTGGCAAGTGGACTAACTAAAAAGTCTGATTGGTAAGAAAAGGATAGAGATAGCTCCGTTCTTTTCTCACTAATGGAATTTTTTAGTTAGTCCACTTGCCACCAGGATCCTTGTTGAACCAAAGTAAATTATCTTCTCATTAACTATAAAAGTTCTAGAAACTTTTTTTACCCCGTGGAGGGTAAAGTAGGGAAGGATAAATTAAGCTGAAGAAATAGTTAAATTTGCGCCTGCGCAGCACAATATTTCATTGTTGAAAACAATGCTGCGTTCTGCGTATGCGCGAAATTAACTTTTCCTCTGTTTTTGCAGCTTTTACCACATTCCCTACTTTACCATCGACGATTTAAACAGATTCATAATACTGTAATTTTTTGGTTGTTTCTGTATAAGAAAAATAATTTATTTAAATGTGAATTCAAAATTCACTGTAATTCATTAAGTTTATTGTAATTTTTTCAGGTAGTGCAACAAAGCAAGGACTCCGGGACTTTTGCTCATAAGTACATCACGCGGGCAATGTGCGGAACGTTAGGATTTGAAACAAACGGACTCAATTCGATTGGTGGATCACAACGGACAGGATTTGTCGAAAATTATTTATTGAATTCAGTTTAAACCTGTCAGTAGGTCTGCAAACAAGAAAATGGATATAAGATTGTTAAAAACAATTTTAAGTGAGATTATATGTTGTCTTCGCAGTTGATTGAAGAAACAAGTGTGTTCGCTGCGTAAATTGAAAGTGAAAAAACAGTAATAAAATGTGAATATAATTCGGAAAAAAGTGTTAAAAACGTAATTTTTGGAAATGCGACAAATTCTGAAAGTTTAGCAATTAAAATCGTCTTCTCGGGAGTGCTCGTTTACACACTAAAAAAAAAGTTTTACTTTCAGCCTCTTTTTGAGGCTGAATTTATGATGTAAACGGAGTCAGCCCCGTTAAACAAGGACAGACTTATGTGAAATACATGGGCTGAATTTAAGGTGTAAACGGAGTCAGAATTTTTTTTTCCTGTGTATAGACCATAAAATCGCGTTCATTTGAAAGTAATAAAATCGAGTTATCGGGAGTGTTCGAAATTGTTAAAAATCGCGAGTGTGTGTGTATTTTTCTTCATCGAGTAAGTTACCTGCTGCGCGAGCCATGTGCGCACTATGACCGAACGAGTTGTTGCCTTGGAAATTTAGAATACTTAAGGGGATGTCAAAGTAGAGGCAATTTTTACACAGATGAACTTTAATAGGAAAATATTATCGACTTTTACATCCCCTTAAATGATATTTATTAAAAGTGTCAGTTATAAACATAACATTGAAACGTAGGCCGAAAATAGTAAAACCTACGCTACAAAAAAAAATTGCGCGGATCTTTCGAGTAAATTGCATTGCTCTCTTTACATTACAAGAAATAAATGTTGCCAAATAACAAATTTGGTTAATATAAGTATTCAAATCCTCGGTTTTGAATTTTAATAAAATACTCTGCCGCATTAAATTAAACTTTATTCTCTTTAGTGTTTTATACTCAAAACGTACATTATACTTTAAAATCTGTAGGTACATATCGTAGTCTTGATAATTTTAATTCACTTCTTTGAAAGTGCATATGTCATAAATTAAATTAAATAAAAATTTTCTTTTTATAATAATCCTTAATAATATTGAAATCACAGAACCGGAACTAATGACGCCGACTAATTACATACATTATTTTTTTAATTCGTACTATAAATATATACGAAATTCATTATTATTTCTCTATTATCTTCTTCTTATAATTTAATGGAACAAATTTTTGCGCTCGAAGCCAAATTATTTTTCCCTATATTTAAACATATTCTTACAAATAAAATTCATTGATGACTATAACAGAAAGAATTATACATTTTAATATATAATTAATTTATCTAGGAAACAAAACAACTTTTTGATAAATTTCTAATAAAGAATTTGTGCTAACTAAATTTTTTTTATTCTTACCAAATAAATTACTATTCGACTAATATTAATTATATTAATAATAAGTAATTTATTATTAAAATTAATAATAATTACACTGCAAAAACTGAATCTTACTTTCAGTTCAGTTTTGACTAAAACCGTTTATATTTCTTTATTTATATATTAGAAGCATTTTTGAATTTTAGCATTGAGAGCAAAATTTTAAGACCTAAAATTTACTTAAAATGATTTTAAGCTCAAAAATAACATTTTCCAATTTTTGTGTAAACGATTTTTTAATATGTAGACGATTTTAGATTTTGTTTTTGCCGTGTGATTTATTATCAAAATTAATAATACTAACACAGTTTTTCTAAGGATATCAAATTGAGACAAAAAAACGTATCAAAATTGTGCAACAATTTTGATACGTTTTTTTGTCTCAATTTGATATCCTTAGAAAAACTCTGAATTAATTTATTATTTATATTAATAATATTACTATAATTAATTTAATAAAACGCGATTTGCGTTGCCTACGAGGAATAAATTGTTTCTCTCGGTGTGAAATGGCACCTTTGTTTCGCGTGTCTTATCATTGAACCTTTTTGTGAAAAAGATTGACCACATTTGTAGCACTGATGCCTTCTGCCACAGTCGTGCTTCTTGTGATACGTTAAATTGCCATAACTTGCATAACTTGCGCCGCAATATTCGCAAATGTGAGGTCTGTACTTACTGCCTCTATTCGATTTATGCATTTCGGGAAGTGTCCAGTTGCCTAAAACAAAAACAAAATACTTCTCGTTAGTCGAATGTACAAATTTTTATACATTTGAAAAAGTATTCTAAAATTGTAAAAGCTTTTTTAAAAATTTAAGTTATGAAATATGCACAGAATTGTTTAACAACTACACAATATGAGACCAGAAAGTATTTTGTTAGTTTTTTTTAATGTGAATTTTTAAACATAAACGAATTATTGAAAATTATTCTTAAATAAATAAAAATAAATAATATATTATAAGATATAATAAAAATAATAAAATAAAAAGAAATAAATAATAAGAATAATAAATAATGAATTTTTATAATAAAATAAACGAATTATTTTAAGACATAAGGCAAATAAAATGGAAACGAAACAGAAATAAACGAATTTTTAACGAATTATTTTAAATTATAGTCTTAAATGAATAAAATTTAGTACAATAAACGAAATATTAGTGAATGATTTTAAATTGTAGTCTTAACCTTGAAGGGCCCGGGGTGCCCACTAATAGTGCCTAGCATTTATTTTAACGATTCTTTTTATCGAATTGACTTTTTATTTCATTTTTTTAAATAAAAAACTACTCAAATTTGTACAAATTTACCTGCCCTCTAAAGGTTAAATGAATAAAATTTAGTACAATAACATTTATGATTAAAATATACAATCTTTTTGAAAAATTCTGTTTATTTTATCCTTTTTTCAAAACAGTACATTTTGCCTAATAATAAACGATAGACAAAGTTTCATTAAAAATAGTTGAAAATTTTATATAAATTCGTTGAAGAAGTTTATACTTTGGAGAATATATATAATTACAATAGACAATAGAAACAATAGAATTAGAATATAATTATATTTTTTTTTCACTTATAATTTTCCGTATTACATATACGTTTATGTCGTTGTAAACTATGTAGACAGGAAAATATTCGCTTGCATAAATTACATTTGTGAAGTATTCCACAATCATTCTTCTTGTGATATCTAAAGTGATTCATTTTACTGAAATTTGCTCCGCAAGCCTCACAGCAATACAATTTATTCGCTTTAAGAGCGGCTTCTGGATTTAGGAAACAAAAATTGTTCTCGTGTCGATTTTTTGCACCAAAAGTGCCAAACATTTTGAAACAAAAGCGACATTGGCAACCATTTGCTTGTGCCATTAGTTCATCACGTGGTATCATTTCTTGAATAGTTGTTACTGAATTTATTACTGGCATCCAATTTTCATTGTACGTACCTAGAATGAAACAGAGAATTCAGATAGTTTAGAAATGTAGGAGAAATTTTAATTGCTTTTTCATCAATTTTAATATTGATTTTTGATAAATTTAGTTACCTAATTTTGATTCATTGTAAATTGATTTCAATTTATGTAAATCAAATTTTCATTTGGAATTATTACTTTTTTGCTCTTTGAATTTAAATCTAAAAATGTTTACTATGTTTGAGTTATGGTGATTGAATTTTTGATTATGAACTAGTAAATTTTACTAATAAATTACTAGAAAACACTATTTATTAAGTTACTGACTTTTTGATTATGAATTAGTAAATTTTACTAATTTAATAGAAATCACTAAATTTTTTTTAAGTGACTGTCTTTTTGATTATGAATTTAGTAAATTTTACCAATAAATTAGTAATAATTGCTATTTATTAGCAAAATTTACGAATTCAAAAGCAAAATGATATAAAGGAATACTGTGGAAAGAAAATCTTTCCATAAAGATTTTGGATAAATAAAAAGAACAAATTTTTTTGTTTAGACTTTCTCATTGCTATTTAATTTAGAACTAATCCAATTATAGAATAAATTATATAAATATGCAAATAACGTCTCATAGAAATTAATTTTTATGGAAATAACACATGATAGAAAATTGTAGTTATGTGCACAGAAAAAACGTTAATCTAAATTTAAGTAGGGAATATTCTTGTCTCCTATTTAAATAGACGCTTTTTAAAATTAGATCATCGTTTTTTCTGTGTTCTTATAGAATTTTTAGAATATTGTTTTTTTCGGTTAAGAAAAAAAATTTATGGAAATAACATTGGATAGAGAAATTTTCAGAAAATAACGTGTTATATAAACGAAAATTCTCTAAAACTATGATTTATGAACGACAATTGTTTCTTAAATGTCTCATTAAATTGTGCCTGGCATTAAAGCAAGCATTGCACTTTGAACAACTGTGCAAATAATTTTTCAACAAAGAAATTCTTGGCTTCTCGTCCTTTATCTGACAGGGTCCACTGTTCAAATGACTCTTCATTTTTGATTCATTGGAAAATGTTCGATAACATTTTTCGCACTTATAATTTTTTATTCTCTCGTCGCATTTCTCTAGCTTGATTTGAATCATCTTTTCTTCCTTTCGCACTTTCTGGGGATTTGAAATACAACTGTAATCTTCGTGTAGGACTTTTGAATAATAGGATCGAAATGTTTTTCTGCAATATTGACAAGTAGGTTCAATATCTTCAACTATCTCCTGCTTGATGGGCTTAAAAAGTTTACTCGCGCTCTTAACTTTAATCCTTGGCATTTTTCTGTTACGTCTTTTTCTCATTTTTCCTGCAATCATGATTGGAAGTAATTTTGTTAATATTATTAAATCATATTCACAGAATTTCTAAGGATTTGAAATTGAGACAAAAAAAAAGAATCAAAAGTGATGCGAGGCAACACGTTTGATTGATAAGATTTGATAAGACGTTTGATTATTTAACTAATTATTAAATATTTGTTGGAGGGGATATTTTTAAGTAACAAGAAGACCCCTCGCAGTAGTATATCGACAAGAACAAACAATTATTAAAATAAGGTACAATTTTAGAATTTTTTACGGAAAAATACAATTTTGAATTAGTTCTATTGTTTTTTATTTCAATAACTTATTTACAAAAAAATAATTAACATAAATATATTTAACATTAACATAAACTCGTAATTCTAAAGTAATCAAGAATATATTATTGATTAATAAAATTTGACTTAAGAATTTAGTCATTCTTTTATAAAACTAACAAACGCACAAATATTTTTTTTCGTCTAAAAATATTTATATAATTTATGATGGATTTGTTCCTTGACAAGTTCCCAATCGCCAGTGGCGTTTCAAACCACTCAGTTGAGAGTAAATTTTGAGGCAACATTTACATTGATGACATTTTCCGCAGTCATTTCTCAAATGATCGACAAGATTATGCTTATGGGTGTAAGTGGAGAAGCAAGTTTGACACGAATATAATTTAGAAAATTTGCTCTTATTTCTTGTAGGATTCAAGAAACACGAATGAATTTCATGACGTTTCTTCCCTCCGCTTTGCGAGAAAATTTTACCACAATATCGACATTTAAATTCTTCTCCCGAGGATTTTTCTTCTTCACCTGATTGTGAAAAATCCGGTTCATTTTCTGTGTTCAATGTTTTATGTTCTTGAAAATTCGTCCCAGTTCCTAAAAAAAGGAAAATAATTATTGAAGTGAAAACAAAAGTCGAGGTTTAAGTTATAACGACAAAGTTTAGAGAATGATAAAATTTATAATGGAACCCCCACTGGAAATACATTAGTTTTGAGTCCCAGTCGATTTTCGTATAAATAACCTAACGGCCCCTCTTTGTTTGTTAAAGCATGCGCGTCGTGAGAAGCAACTGCGCTTGCGCCACTGACTCTATCTCATTGGTGGAAAATAGTAGCGCATGCGCAGTTGCTTCCAGTAGTTGTCATTGGCAGCGCTGTGCACATGCGCATTTAGAGAGAGAGAGAGAAAGAAGAGGGGCCGTTAAGTACACTTCACAATCTTTCTTCTTCATATTATTAACGTAACAAAATCTACTACTAAAGAAGAAAAAACATTCTTCAAGTATTTATTTTTATTCTTCAAGTATTTATTCAAATATTTAAGTCAATAAATTATCACACACAAGGACAAGTCAAAAATAATAACGAAAATTCACGATTGGTTCATTCCTGGACATGCACCGGTTCGCCAGTGACGTTTCAAGCCATTCAGTTGTGAATAAATGCGGAAGCAACGTTTACATTGATGACATTTTCCGCAATCGTTTTTCAAATGATCTAAAAGTGTGCCCTTATGGGCATAACTGGAAAAACACTTTTCACATGAATACAATTTGGGAAATGCGCTTTTACTCTTTACGGGATTCAAAAAACATGTATGAACTTCATGACGATTTCTCGCACGTCTGCGGGAAAATATTTTCGAACAATATCGACATTTAAATTCTTCTCCAGTTCCTGCTTCTTCATCGCCTAATTGCGAAAAGTCGGCTGTGTTATCGGGGTTTAGAATCGATATTTCCTGATCTTGAAAATTGATTCCGCTTCCTAAAATAAAAAAAATAAGTGTTAGGTTAGGTATATTTTTAGATATTCTTTTCACGAATATTTGGTTTTGAGAGAAAAAGTTGCAAGAAGAAGTAATTTAGATTCTAGACTATTACTACACACTGGGTATTTTTGGTAATAATAATGTACAAAGGGGTTACAAATTCACAGAATTTAAATATTTGGAATTTATTGAACAAATTTTCATTTACAATCATTTACAAATTACAATAAAGTAGGTAGGTGAAATTATATACAGTCTTAGGGTAACTAAATGTGACGCGCGCTGAAGAAAGGTGGCTAAGAAGCTAGAAATTTTAGGTTATGTTTGTAATTTTCGAAATGAGAATCAGAATAATCCGATTAAGTTTCCATATAAAGCACTGAAGTCTTCATTATAATCTGAAATAATTAATAAACATTGATTTTGGTTTTAAATCAAACATGGAAACTTTTAGCTAATGTAACAATGACACAAAAAAACTTTAAAATGGTTTGATTTTTAGGCATCTTTCTTCAGGGTGTCACAAATACATTTTTTCTTTTTTTCGAATATAAAATAATTAGAATAATATTTCTAATTAGAAAAATTATATAACATTAAAAACATTGTCGAATTTAATTTTCGTTTGATAATAATTTAACCCTCTGCCTACTCTGTTGATCCGTTAGGGACAAAAAACGACAATTCGAATGTTTGATGGTGCAAATTATGGCAACTAAGTTTGATTACTGAATCAAACTTATTTTTAATTTTAAAAATTACTAATTCAATTATAAAATTTAATTCAAACATATTTTCTTCGTTGGCCACTTATTTTTGGATTATAAAATTTAATTCAAACCTATTTTCTTGGTTGGACACTTATTTTTGGATTAAAATAATTTTTTCCCAATGCTGAGGCAGAGGGTTAAATAATTCATCCTGGAGATGACTAAATTATCTAATTCATGTGTCATGTTTCGTACATTTTTAAGCAACCTGATACTCGATAATGTTTAAGAAGAGCCGAGTAGGCGTTGTAAATTTTATGACAATTTTTACAAGTGTGAATCTTTCCACAATCAACTCTAATGTGTCGATGATAATTATTTTTAAAATTAAAATTAGAACCGCATGCAGAACATGTGTATAGCTTATCTGATTTTTTATTGAAATTCATTGGATGCAAGTGACACGTATTATTTTGATGACGATTTTTCGATGATATTTGACCAAAAATCTTGTGACAATATCTGCATCTATATGGATCTTCATGTTCAAATGATTCTCCGTATTGTAGATAATCTGCAAGAAAAAAAAGAAAAAGTTGATTAATAGAAAATAATTATCAAATTGTATGCATATACATAGATTTTTTTTCCTATGCAAAAAATGTTTCGTGCAAATGATCGAAATTTATTTATTTCTTCTTCAAGTTAAACACATAGTTTTTCTGATATCAAATTGAGATAAAAAGAGTATCAAAATTTTTGCGATGCAATGTTTTGATGCTATAAAGGTTTCAATTTGAGAATCTGAGAAAAGCTGTAAAATTTTTGTTGAAGATAAAAAAAAAAATTTGTAAAATTACTGAATATTAAATTTAGGTTTTCAATTTTTATTATAGGCAATATAGGCCAGTCGGTGAGTGCAAAAAGTGCACAAAAGTGCAACTGGAAAAGTCTCAATAGTTTCTTGTAGTTTGGGGGCCCCATATAAGAGCCCCATGGTTTGCTCTCGATTTCCGGTTGCAAAAAATAGTGTAAACAATCGTCAAAGTTCGAGAAACGTAGTTTTTCGATGACCCTTGCTTCCGGTTAAATTTTAGAGGAAAAAGTTGTTATTGAAAGTTGTAGAGCCTAAAAATACCTTTCAAATGATTGGTCATACGTTGAAAAAGGTTAATTAGTTTAGTTGCAAATGAATTTAAACCATTGAAAATAGCACTTTTTTAATTGTTTAATAACTTTGTTAATAATTATTGAATTTGTTTACAACTCACCAGGAATATTCTCCTTGCGAAGCTGAATAAATTAAAAAAAAAGTCAACTCGATCGGACAAATAGTTTATGTTTTATTCCATTTGTTAACTAAAAACATGAAATTTTTCAACAGAATTTCCCCACTTTTGGACCTGCGAATTTCGTTTTTTTTTCTTCGAGAGTACAGTTTAGGAGTCAAACTTTGATTCCATTTAAATGGGAAATTGATTTTTCTTATCTAAGTGCATAATAATAGACGTTAAAAAAGGGTATGTTTTTTTGACATAAACAAATGGAATAACTCAGTCAATTTTCACTTTATCGATTTTGTGTAAAGGGATTTAAATTTCATTCGTTTTCACAAAACTTTTCCAAAAAAAAATCCGACCTAGCTTCAAGGAGGGGGGAGTTAGTTTATTTTTTTCAAAAAATTCCTGACTAGTTAATTATCAATATTTTTAATTGCAATTCATACCACTTATAGTTCAATGTATGTATTTTATGAAAAAAAATTGGACATAAGGTTTTGTGCATTTATTTTTAATTTATATCAAGTAAAAGTAAATGTATCCATTTTTCAACCTCTGAACGGCGGAGTGGGGGTACTCGGAGGAGCGTGATTCTCGCCGCCACAACTCAATTCAGCCGTTCAAATTTGCAAAAATTGTCATAACTTCGTTAATTATTTACCGATTTTTATCTTTCTTTTTTTAATTTGATGTATTTTTTTACGCTGAATCCAAAAATAATTTTATATGTTTTCAAAATACAATATTTTTAATAATAAGAAAGAAAAAATTTTTAACAACAAATTTTTAATTATTATTTATCATATTTGACAAAAAATTCTTTTCGTACATATAATTCCATTGAATTTAAAATAATATTATGACATAAAAAATTTATATGTACGAAAAGAATTTTTTGTCAAATATGATAAATAATAATTAAAAATTTGTTGTTAAAAATTTTTTCTTTCTTATTATTAAAAATATTGTATTTTGAAAACATATAAAATTATTTTTGGATTCAGCGTAAAAAAATACATCAAATTAAAAAAAGAAAGATAAAAATCGGTAAATAATTAACGAAGTTATGACCATTTTTGCAAATTTGAACAGCTAAATTCAGTTGTGGCGGCGAGAATCACGCTCCTCCGAGTACCCCCACTCCGCCGTTCAGAGGTTGAAAAATGGATACATTTACTTTTACTTGATATAAATTAAAAATAAATGCACAAAACCTTATGTCCAATTTTTTTTCATAAAATACATACATTGAACTATAAGTGGTATGAATTGCAATTAAAAATATTGATAATTAACTAGTCAGGAATTTTTTGAAAAAAATAAACTAACTCCCCCCTCCTTGAAGCTAGGTCGGATTTTTTTTTGGAAAAGTTTTGTGAAAACGAATGAAATTTAAATCCCTTTACACAAAATCGATAAAGTGAAAATTGACTGAGTTATTCCATTTGTTTATGTCAAAAAAACATACCCTTTTTTAACGTCTATTATTATGCACTTAGATAAGAAAAATCAATTTCCCATTTAAATGGAATCAAAGTTTGACTCCTAAACTGTACTCTCGAAGAAAAAAAAACGAAATTCGCAGGTCCAAAAGTGGGGAAATTCTGTTGAAAAATTTCATGTTTTTAGTTAACAAATGGAATAAAACATAAACTATTTGTCCGATCGAGTTGACTTTTTTTTTAATTTATTCAGCTTCGCAAGGAGAATATTCCTGGTGAGTTGTAAACAAATTCAATAATTATTAACAAAGTTATTAAACAATTAAAAAAGTGCTATTTTTAATGGTTTAAATTCATTTGCAACTAAACTAATTAACCTTTTTCAACGTATGACCAATCATTTGAAAGGTATTTTTAGGCTCTACAACTTTCAATAACAACTTTTTCCTCTAAAATTTAACCGGAAGCAAGGGTCATCGAAAAACTACGTTTCTCGAACTTTGACGATTGTTTACACTATTTTTTGCAACCGGAAATCGAGAGCAAACCATGGGGCTCTTATATGGGGCCCCCAAACTACAAGAAACTATTGAGACTTTTCCAGTTGCACTTTTGTGCACTTTTTGCACTCACCGACTGGCCTAATAATTTTAGGAAAATATTTTGAACCTTTGAAGCTTGTGGATCGTTGTATGTAAAAATTAATAATTAAATCCTGTAAAAAATTTTATGACGAAAGCATTTCAGTTGAATATCTTTAAAGGGATAAAGTTTACTAAAAAAAAGCAACAATTTATTAGTAAAATTTACGAATTAAATTAAATTTGACTAATAAATCAGTAGAAGAATAATTTCTACTATCTCATTTATTCAGCAGTAAAATTTAATGAATTAAATTAAATTTTACTAGTAAATTAGTAGAAATAACTATTTAGCAGTAAAATATACGAATTAAATTAAATTTTACTAGTAAATTAGTAGAAATTACTATTTAGCAGCAAAATTTACTGATTCAAAAGCAAAAATCCAGACACTAATTCCAGTAAACATTTCTACGAATTAAAATTTAGAGAGTAAGTTTTATTAACTGTTAATTATTATCACATCATTATTTACCTAAACATAAAAATAATCTGGGTAAATTTTCACATAAATGAATTTATTTACTTTCCAAATACACATATACAGGAATTATAAATTTTTATAACAGTTATGAACAAAACTAAGTAAAGCACACCGTGTACACAAACATGATTAAAGTATACAAGTCAAATATTTATAATAATATGAAGAAGGCCGAACGTGAATGTCCCGCAGTTTATTATTTGTGTACAACATTTTTAATATATATATTAATAAACTTTTTAAAAATATCCCCAGCTATATATAATAATAATAATTTCTTTTTCCGATTAGAACAGCTATAGCGATTTACGACAAACAATATGAATATTATGTATTTTTCGATTATGATTTACTAAAGCTGTCAGTGATGAATAGATTTTGTCACACTTTTTACAGAAATGCGTCACTCCGCAATCGTAGGTTTGATGTCTAGTTAAAGTGCTTTTATTTCTACAATTAAAGCCACATTCGTTGCAAGTAAACGTTGGATAACATCTTTTCTTTCCATTTCTAATTGTTGGATTAAGAGCACATTTGAATTCGTGATATTTTCTTCCTTTCACTCCTCCAAAACCCATTTGACAATATTGACAGAAGAAGCTCTCCTCTTTAATATAGTTTGGCAATGTTAACTCCTCGATACTTTTTATTGATAGAAATGGAAATTTTGTCATAAATTTTACATCTGTAACAAAAAAGAAACAAATTATTTGTTAATATAAAATATTCTTTTTGGAGGTATGTAGAATGTAGTTTTTTAGTACAATATCTATAATTGAAGGGATATTATACTTTTTGGGATTTTTTTCGAGGGGGACAGGGAGGGACAAGCAGACGTCGATCATGCAGTATCGAAGAACACAATGGGTGTTTTCGACGTTGACACTCTGAGCGCTCTGAAAGTACGAAACGTGGTTGGTTGGGCTAGGGGAATTCTGAATGTTGATTGGCTGAACTTCAAAATTCATAGTTTTATGCTCTGGTTTCCACACTCTGTATCGCTCGGTATCAAAGGTCCGAGCGATACAGAGTGTGGAAACCAGAGCATAAAACTATGAATTTTGAAGTTCAGCCAATCAACATTCAGAATTCCCCTAGCCCAACCAACCACGTTTCGTACTTTCAGAGCGCTCAGAGTGTCAACGTCGAAAACACCCAATGAAGCACACAATTTTTTAAAAATATGAATCTTTGAAATTTTGAATCAATCAAAAATGAATCAAATTTTTTAATGAACATGAATATGAAAATGCGGTGCATGGTAGATTCTTATGTTTATGAAGTTCGCAACGTTTATAAAATCAACGATTCAGAAGAAAAAAATATTTTTACATTCAGATTTCTGTTTAACAAAAATTTTCACTATTTCTTGACGATGAAAAACTTGAAAAAGAAAGTTTTGTAAACAGAAAATAATATTTTCTTGGTAAAAAATATTTTTACTTCCATCATTTTGTTTTTAAAAATCAGATTTTCGGAAATCTATTGGAAAATCCTTCCACTTGTTTTCTATTTCACAAAGAGAAAAAAATTATATCCTTTGAAAATTAGAGGTGAACTTAAAAACAAATACTTTATTGATAAAAATAATTAATTTTTATTTTATTTGTTTTATACATAAGCAGACTCGTCGGAAAAATAATCAAAATTACAATTAAAGAATCATTCAGAATAAAAAAATTAAAATGTAAAATTTATATTATTTAGAGAATTAACAATCAAAAAATAAATACAAATAGTATAATATACATAATGATTAAAACATGATTAAACATAAGTTTCAAAAACATATATAAACACACAGAGAAAAATTTTATTTAAACCAAATATAATTTATTTGAGTTAAATAAAAGTATATTTTTCTCAGAGCCAAATAGGTTATTTATTTTAAATACAAATTTTATTCGACATAAATAAAATTTTTATTTGAACCAAATAAAATTTTCCTGAACCAAATGAAAATTCTAGTTGACTCTGAGTTAAATATATATATGATTTTTCTGCTCTCTAAATAATTAATAAAAATGTTTACTAATTTGAATTAGTGACTGATTTTTTGCTTTTGAATTTGTAAATTTACTAATAAATCAGTAGAAATTACTATTTATTAGTAAAATTTACTACAAAAGCAAAAAAAAATCAGAGAGTGGATGTAAGATAGATGTACAAAAATGAAAATTCCTCAAAATGATATATTTGTCAATAATATTTTTTACAACTTTACTCTACAATAACCATTTCTAATGTGTCGCCACAAACCGCTTCGTGATCCATAATTTTTTTGACACTTGTGACATTTATGCGTTTTGCCGCAATCATGAATCTTGTGATATTTTAAATCCGATTTTCGATTACAACCATAACTGCAATCACTGCAATTAAACGGCGTTTGTTTCTTCTTATCTGTTGAATTTTTTGGATTTAAAGAACAATTATTTTCATGGAGCTTCTTTCCAACAATTGCCCCGAAGTTTGCTCGGCCACAATGTTGACATACCAATGTTGTGCCTTCGATGATTTCTTGTGATGATGATGATGATGATGATGGTAATAGCAATGATGTTGGTGCTAGACTTTGGTAACCGATAACTGATAAAACTGGCAATTTTATCTTGAATAAATTATCTGAAACAGAGAAATTGAAAAATTTACTATAAAAATAAGCAAAGGGTAAATTTTTGTTTTTTTAGGAAACATTTTTATGTTTATAATCCCGAAATGTATTTCTGTTAATTTTTTCTTTGCAACATATGTTGCATAAAACATAGAGTTCTAAATGCGAACATAAATGTTGGAAAGTTGCATTTAAGGTCAAAATGCGAGCATAAGATTTATGGAATAAAATGAGCCACGAGTTTTACATCTAAAAAAAATATTTTTGATTCTAAAAAAATATTTTTGATTAATAAACTAAGAACTCAGAAGAAAATTTGTTTGAAACATGAAAATTTTGATTGAAGTAACATAAAATAACCGCATTGCTATACAGATAACCAAATATTTGTTTGGTTGAACTAGAAATTTGCTTTGTATGATCAAATTCTTTCTTTGAAGGCAAAAGTGGTTAAAGTGAACCAAATACTTATTTAGAAAATAAATAGTTGTTTAGATTAAATAAATTCTGTTTAAAATAACCCAAAAATAAGGTTCATGCAGCAAAGTAGAGTATTTATTTAACTCAAATAAATTACATTTGGTTTAAATAAAATTTTTCTCTCGATATAAATTTTTCTTCTCTTTTATAAATTACTTCGTATTTACATTGAAAGAAGTAAGGTTTCTCACGGGACAATGGTCTTGTAGAAATAATTTTTTTATTAATAATAGGATGTATAGGATTATTTTTACAGCAGTCTTGTTGATAATTTCGTTGTAAACTATAATTATAATTAAACAGAAGTTTGTTCTTATTCAACTAATTGACGATTTAAGTAAACAATTGTTTTGGTCAGGAAATTTCTTTTATGAAACATAAAATTTATTTATGTGATTTTCTTAAGGAGCAACTTCAATATTTTTTTTGTATTTAAACTGCAGATGAATCGTTTTGTGACCAAATTTGGTTTGGAAATAAAAATCTGTTGAAAGAATTATCGCAGAATACAAAAACAGGAAGTAGTTTGCAGTGAGTAACAATTGTGACGAAAAAGCGTCTTCTTCGTAATTAATTAGTAATTAAATCAGTAATTTTTCATAATTAGGTTGCAGAATAAACTACCGTAAACATGTGGATTTTTTAGTTTTTAGTTTGTTTTAAGAATTTTTCGTGAATCATAATTATTACTATACTTGTAGCACCTTATTTTTGATCTTTTCGCAATAAGTACGATAATCGTCTTTTATTTTAAGAACTATAATCAAAATAAAGGATAATCTCTTTGATTATTAGGATCTTTTTTTTTATTATTTCTATAATCTGTTATAGGTTCTACATTGATGGCAAAACTGCACTTAAAGTTTTCACGATATATAAAATCTCTTTTCCTATAAAAGCAGAATTTATTATTGGCAAGATAATTCTAATTTAAAATAATAATTCTAATTTATTTAAATTAAAAAAGGATTTGAAGAATAGTTCTTTTTATGATCCTTTCTCTCAAAAATAGCATATAAATTCTCTTTATGTCATAATAATAATATATTAATTCCTTGATTTCTTTTGAAATTGGTGACTACTTTAACTAAAACACAATTGCTATTATAATATTGATAGCAATTAATACTAGAGAGTACAGTTAAAAAATATCTTTCACATCTAAAATGTTAAGTTATTTTTTCTTTTTAATCGTTGACCATAAACGTTGTGAACATCATCTACCATTCAATCACAGGGATAAATATATAATTAAACCTATTTTCAACACAGTTTCCTAATATTTATATTTATAATAATATTTATATTCTTTATAATATTCATATTATTTATATTATTTATATTATTTATAATATTCATATTATTTATATTAATTATAATATTCATATTATTTATATTATTTATGTTACTTATACTATTTATACTAATCATTAATAATGAAATGTTTATCCATGTAAAAATGATTTTTATTACTAATGAGATAAACAATCCTTTTTACAACAGTATACATTACTATAATTACTTTAAAATCATTTAAAAAAAAATTTAGGTATAAAAATTCAAAAATTGAAAAATTCTACTTAAAATTATTAGTAAAAAAGTTTTTTAAATTAAGATTAAAATTTTCTAATGTTCCTGCTAATGCACTATTATAATTTTCTAATTTCTTTCGAGTGAACTAAAATTAATTTTGTCTAAGAAAACACTTTTTAAAAAACTACGAAAGATTACACAACATTACACTGAAAAAGAAACAAAAAATGTAATTTTTAATTCAGTAATTATTGTTTAATATGTTAATTTGTAGAGAAAAATTGCAATGTCAGGCCTCGACAAATCATATTTTATGACTTTTTCGACCTTTTTTCAACTATTTTCAAATAATGCGACTTTTATCGATTTATATATTAAAAAATTGCGACTTTTTCGACTTTTCTTTTAAATTTTACGACAAAATAACATATTTTTAGTATAAAATGCAACTTATTTCGATTTGTGTAAAAAGCATGGACAAATCTTTTGAAAATTTATTTTTGAATTATTTTTCTAATTAAATTTTTGAAATATACAATTAAAAAGGATTGAATAATTGTAATTTTGTAAAATTTAATTGAAAATAAATCATTTTTTCTAGTATTTTATTACAATTTTTGAAAAATTAACTTTTAAAGAATTTTAATTGAAAATTTTTGAAAATTAGGTTCTAAAAATAATATTAAAGTAGTTTTGAAAAAAGTAATTCACTGAATTATTTCGTTCTAATTTTTTAAAATTCAATTATTTTCAATATTTTTATAATATTCAATATTTCAATATTTCAGAAAATGCAAATACATAATACACAAAATAAAAATATTAAAATTTTTTAGAATTATTTTTAACATTTTTGGACAGAAAATCCTCATATTAAAAATTTTTAATTAAAATTCTTCAAAAAAAATATTTTTTTAAAATTATACAAAAATTCTTCAATTATTTTCGAAAAATTCAATTACAATATTTAAAAAAAAACTAATTCTTAGAATTGTTTTATTATAATTTTTTAGGATTCAATTACCTTCGAACAAAGTAAATTAAAATTTTTAAAAATTTCCTATTTTAGAATTTTTGAAAAATTATTTATAATTAAAATTCATAAAAAATTTGATTATTAAAAAAAATTTTTTTTTTTTAAAAAACGCAATTAGGTTTTTACAAAGATTTTACTAAATTTAAATTATTTTTTAAAAGATTTTACCAAATTTCAATTTTTTGATATTTTTTAATTGATGTTATTGTCAAACTATTGCGTCTTTCAAAAATGATTTAGAAATATTTTTAAAAAGTTAATTTTACGAATTTCTTTATTAAAATTTTTAATATCTTTAAAAAAAAAATGGACGGTTTCAATTATTATAAAAAATTGAATTTTTTTTTGTTTAAGTAATTGAATTCTGGAAAAACTGTCGGAAAATTATTAAAAATTAATATAGATAATTGATTTAGAGATGAAGTTTCGTTAAAAATTGTAGGAAATAATTGAATTTTTCGAAGGGTTAAAGTTTTAATTTTTAGAAATTATTAAATTTCAGAAGTTGAAATTTTTTAAATTTTATTTTCTGTGAAAAAAGAAATAAGAAGTATTTGAATATTTATTTAGCTAAATTATTCAAGTTTTGATTAATTGAATTTAGAAATCAGTGAATAGAATCAGGGAAATACAAGATAAAATTTTCGTTGCAACACTGAATTAAATAAACGACTTTTTCGACTTGTTTTTCTATTTTTAATCGACTAAAGCGACTTTTTTTTCTTAAACTCGATCCGAGGCCTGCAATGCTTTTACTTGACAAAATTTGTCAATAAATTACAATTTTTCTAAGGATATCAAATTGAGACTGAAAAACGAATCAAAAGTGTTGCGAAGCAACAAAAAAAAAAAAAAACAAAAAAAAAAAAAACAAAAAAAAAAAAAAAAAAAAATATTAAAAAAAAATATTAAAAAAAAAAAAAAAAAAAATATTACTGAATTAAAAAGCACATTTTTTTAATATTTCTTTTTTCCAGTGTATACACAAAAAATCGTTTACGACTCTAATAGCAGCTCATATTTATCTCTCATTAATGAGATTTAAATTAATCCTTTTCCCACAACCATTGCGAATATGTCGCCGTAAACTTCCTCTTGTACCATAATTTCTATTACAAGTATTGCACATTTGACTTTTTCCACACTCATTTTTCATATGATATTTCAATTGAAATTTATCATTGCAACCATAGCTGCATTCGCTGCAATTAAATTGTTTCTGTGCTCTTAAATTCTTTGGATTATAAGAACATTTTAATTCGTGATTCTTTTTACCAACAATTGTTCCGAAATTCTGTCTACCACAGTGGAGACACATTTTAATATCTTGCGCTTGCAGAAGTAGACTTTCACGTTTGCGAACCATTAAAATTGGCAATTTTATTTTGAACGAGTCATCTGAAACAGACAAAATTTTCGAGGTTACTGTAGATGAGAATGAAAGAAGTAAAAAAATTTTTTAAAAGTTATGGAAGATAATTGGATGATGGTAAATTAATATTAAACTAATGCTGAGATAATATTAAATTACTGCTAATATTTAAATTACTGTTTTTTTATTAAATTACTGATAGTATTTAAATTACTGTTTTTATTAAATTACTGCTAGTATTTAAATTCCTGTTTTTTTTATTAAATTACTGCTAGTATTTAAATTACAGTCTTTTATTAAATTACTGTTTTTTATTAAATTACTGCTAAGTTGAGAATAAATTAGCATTAAATTGATATTAGCTTAGCATTAAATATTTTTTGGTTCGGGGGCAAAAAAAGTCTTGGGCGTGAAAATGTTTTTTGAAAAATGATATTTATTACTAAACAGTACAGTTATTTTTACAATAGTCTTGTTAATTAATTCTTCTTAATTAATAGTACAATTCTTCAAAATTTACATATTCGTACAGCTGCGACAAATTACTGAGAATCAATTTTTTATTAGCAACACAAAATCAATAGAAACTCAATCAAAATTACAATTTAGAATTTTTAATACAAATAACTACTTTTTATTATAAACTTTTTATACTGTTATTTACAATAAGTATAATTTGTCGCAAAAAAATTTAAATTATAATTTAATTATAATCACTGCAAAAATAAGTGTCTTATTTGATATCTTAAAATAAGATGTAAGATGGAAAAATGGTATCTTACATCTTAAAATAAGATGTTTTCTAAAGTATCTTACTGATTTTTAAGATGTTTTATACGTCTTAGATATTTCTTCTATCTTAAAAAAGTAAGATACTTCTGTAAGTTTTTTAAAGTATCTTAAATTAAGATGTTTCTGTCTCAATAAGATGTTTAGCAATAAGATACTTGTGAATTGAAAGATGCGAAAAAAATTTAAGTTACTAAAAACTAAGATGTATAAAATGTCTTACATATAAGCCCATAGTTAACCTCAAAACTTTTTGCCCCAAAAATACACAGAAAATGTGTACGAAGATACTTTTAACATCTTAAATTAAGATATTTTAAATGACTAAAAAGTGACTACCATAACATCTTAGAAATGACTACCAAAACATCTTAAATAAGATACTTCTTTTTGCAGTGATTTTGTAATTGAATAATTTCAATTGTAAAATTACAATTTAATTTTACAAAAACCATTTCTAATATGTCGTTGCAAACCATTTAATGATCCAAAATGTCTATTACACTTGTGACAAATATGCTCCTTTCCACAGTCGTGTGTCTTGTGGTAATTTAAATATGATTTTCGATTACAACCAAAAGCACAATTCCCACATTTAAACATTAATTGTTTCTTTTCCTCGTGATTTAGTGGATTGAGAGAGCAATTTTTTTCGTGAAGCTTTTTCCCAATAACCGCTCCGAAATTTGCTCTTCCACAATAGTGACAAACCAATGATGTGTCTTGATTGAAATCTTGCGATGGTGATCTTAGACTTCGACAATTGATTATCGACAAAAATGGCATTTCTTGTACATTAAATGATTCATCTGAAACAAATAAATTTTTGAATTGTATAATGAAGATGAGAAGTCGCTTGTACAGTGCAAATGAAAGTAATTTTTTTACTGCAAAAATCACGTACAATGTAAACATGTGAAGATGATATGTAAACATAAATATTATACATTAAAAATTAAACATGAAAAAAAAAAAAACTAAAAATTTTTAATAGAATGTTTTGAAAGACGAATTTTTATACTTTCAAGACTTAAGTTAAAATACAGTTTTAAATAAAATTATTTGCTCTGTTTTGCAATTAGTGAAATAATAAAATAATATTAAATTAAAAAAATCAAAACTTTATTTTTGATGAGAATGTAAATAGAAAGATGACAAACATACACAAAATAGTTTATTGAACGAGTTTTTATTAAAGTCACACATAATTTTTTTTTTTGCACTTCTATAAAAATTGACTGAAACAATTTCAAATATTTTCGAAAGATTACTGCTTGTTTTTTAAATAGCTCTTTACAGAAAAATCCTTGATAGTATTTTATTTCTTAGTTCTTGAAATATTTTTTCATTTTCTAAAATTAAAAAAATTTTTGGTGCCTAGAACTGTAAATTAAATATCTGTAACTGTAAATTAAATAAAATTAAATTAAATATCATTACAAATTGTTTTTAAAGTCCTAAATTTAAGAAAAAGGAAAATTGTTAATATTAACAATTGTTTCTATTTGTTGCTGAAATAAATTTTTTGTTATTTGAACAAAACTTGAGAAAACTGAATTTTTATTTTTTACATTCACTTTTACGAAAATGTCGCAACAAATTCGCCAAAGTGGAATAAATACGATTACATCGTTTGCATTTGTGTTCAACGCCACAATCGGAAGATTTGTGTCTTTTAAATTGTTGCCTCAGATTAGAACTGTAACCACAGTTTTCACAATTATATATTCGTTTTTCCTTGGCGAGAATTGATGGATTCATGAAACATTTATTTTCATGAAATGATTTCGCATTTTTCCTACTGAAATTTCTATTACAATATTGACAAACACTTCTCTCTTCTTGCAGTAATGTTGGTTGTCGAAGAGTCTCAATTTTTTTAATCAGTAAAGATTGCGGTAAATATTCGTCATCTGAAACAAAAGAAAAAATTTATTTTGTTAATAAAAATTTGAAAAATAGAGGAAGCACAACAGTTCGGTTCTAAAAATTTTTAATAGTTTTGAATTCTTTTTGTTCGAATGGTTTCTGAAAATTCTGAATCAAGCGCCAAGTGTTGAGGCTGAAAATTAACAACAATTTTTAGATATAATTTTTGCGCAGAGAAAAAAGAATTAATTACTACAAAATTTCGATTGTTGACAAATTTTTTTGTTGCTTGAATATTGTACTTTTACAGACTGAAAAAATTGTTTGTCAAATTAAAGATGGTTTTAATTTTGAATCAATTTTTGGTAGGTACTAAATTGTTTGTTTTGTTTTTAATGTCTAAAAAAAGGTTTTAATTCGAAACTTCTTTGTTCAAATATCTAATTTGACAACTTTTTTGGCATAAAATCTGAATCTGAAACTTCTTTGTTCTAATTTGACAACCTTTTTGGCATAAAATCTTAATTATAAGGACAATGAAATTAATTTTGTATTGAATTACAAATAAATTAACAAATTTATTGACAATTCGATTTTAAAAATATAACAATCCTTTTTCTCTGTGTGTGGTACAAAAAACAGTTTTGATAAAATTAAAAGAGGTTAAGATTTTTCAAAATTTAATAAAAATGCTTATTACATCTACAACTCACACTATAGATCCAACAGGAAGTCTTTGTTTTTGGTTGCAATAAATTGTTCACACACTAAAACTAAAAAAATACTGAATTAAATTTTCGCCTAAAAAGAACAATGGTAACGAATAAACTATGGAAAAACTTAATTTAAACTTAACTTAGTTTGACTTAAGAAGTTGAAGTCCAGAAGGTCGATCGACGAAAAAGGTTTCATTAAGTACATTACTCAAAGATGATGCAACAATACATAAAAATTAACAAAAGAGGATTTTTATGTTTTAATTCTAATTTTTGTTTTGTATTTTTATTTTGTTGTTGAATATTGTTAAAAATAATAAATGAATAAAATAATTGAATAATAAAAGTAAATAATACAATACTAAACAATAAATATACAAATACGAACACATCAGACTAACTCTTCTTCTTGATCAACATTTCGGACTTCAATTTCGTATTTTACGCTCGATGAGGTTTCGTATAAACAATATTAGTAAAAGTAATATTAAAGTTTCGTGACTTTATTTATTGACACAATTTAAAAATCATAAATAATAAAACGTATATTATAAATTATATGATATCCTTTTTTACAGACTAAATTTCATGAACACGACTTTTAAAATACAGGTAACATAAGTATTTAAATAGAGAACAAAAATCAGACATTTAAAATGTCTCTATTCAATAATAATTTTCCCTTCACTGCGGACGTATCTCAGAAACTTTTAATTTTACGTTCCTTGAATAATTTGATATGTTCATATATTTGATAATTATGTTGCTCTTGTTAAAAACTGTTTTTTTTTTTTTTTTTTTTTAAATTGTTTTTAGTGCGAGCAATTCAAAATTCAACCGAAAAATTATTATTAATCAATTTAAAAACATTGTAATGACATAATGATGACATCTCTAAAAATTAACATAAAATTTGTTTAATTTCTTTTAGTTAACTTCCTATGCTCGTAAAAGTTCCTAAGACAGGTCCTCATGCATCATCTTAATACTGTTTTAAAATCATTTAAATAAACTAAATAATATATCTTTTGAAATCTCAGATTATTCTATAAAATTGATTTTTGTAAAATTGTTTTTTTTTCTATACAGAAACAAAATTGATATATTACATCAATTTTTTTGTTCAAAATTTAACAATTTCTTTTGCAAATATTTGAATCAGAACTTTTCTAAGGATATCAAATTGAGACAAAAAAAAAAAGAATCAAAAGTGTTGCGATGCAACACTTTTGATTCTTTTTTTTTGTCTCAATTTCTTCTTAGAAAAACTATTTAATAGATAAAAGAAAATCAATTCGATCTTCGACTTTCTTTACAATTATTTTTACAATGTCGCTTCAATGATTGAAGTGTTAAAAAGGTGTTATTACATTTTTCGCATCTGTGCACAACACCACAGTCATGTGCCTTGTGATAGGTCAAACTGTATTTATTACTACATGCAAATCCGCAATCATTACAAAATAAAGGCAATTTCTCCCTGACAACCGCCGGATTTGAGAAACAAGTTTTTTCGTGAACTATTTTTGCGGGAATTTTTTGAAATGACCTTTTACAATATTGACACGTTAGTCTGTCCTCATTATAATCATCCGTTGGCAGTGTTGGTTTCAGAAGGCGGTGAATATTTTTAACTGATAATGCCGGCCATTTTACTTTCAATGACATTGCTGAAACAAATAAAAGGAGAAAGAGTTATAAATTAACAGTTTAGGAATGTTGTGAATTAGATTTATTTAATGTGTTAAATTACAGAACATATTGTACATTGCTGGTTTTAAGATTTACCCTGTAAGGTATTTTTCTTAGTGGAAAGTTATAAATACAATTTATAATTCATTACGAATACATACCTATAAAAGAATTTTTACATCATGTTTATTTTTCATGCAATAGAGAAAAATTTGATAATGTTTTTTACTTTTTTTTCACCGATTACAAAGATTTAAAAGAAAGAATAACGTAGAATTCAGAATGGATATGAAAAGTTTTATTTGATTCTTCAAGTTTTGGAAATGTTTTTACATTTATAGTCAAGATGGTGAATATGATTATAGCATAAAGATGGTAATGATTAAAATTAAAAGTTCCATCGATACTTGGGGCTAATTCCACCAACATCAATTAAAAGTTCATCAATGATTAAAGCTAGTTTGACTCATGATTGGTTGATTAAGGATTTAGTAATTGATTAAGGATTTAATGATTAAGGATCTAATCATCGATTAAAGATTTAATGATTAAGGATTTAATCATCGATTAAGGATTGATTAAGGAATGATTGATTAAGGATTTAATGATTGATTGACTTTTAATCATTATGGGTGAAACTGACCCTTAAATATTTAGTGCATCGATTTTGCTTTAAATGTCGCTTAAGATTGGCTAATGATGCATAAACTCTTTGACATTTTTTGCATTTGTGTGTCACGCGGCAGTCGTCCCTTTTATGTGTCGCTAAATCTCTTTTACGACTGCAATTAAAACCGCACTCATCGCAATGAAACATTTTTGCTTTTGATATTGTTGGATTTAGAGAGCAATTATTTTCGTGAAGAAGTTTTCCAATTAGTCTTCCCAATTTCTTCTCGCAATATTGGCATTTAATACAATCTCCCTCTTCCCCTTCATCATCATCATCATCTTCTTCGTATTCTTCCGCCTCTGGAAGTATGTTGAGTCTTCTCACTGATATCATTGGCAAATCTACTTCATATAAATCATCTGCAACAAATAAAATTATTTTTATTAATATAAAATATTTTTATAAATATAAAATATTTTTATATTGATAGAAAATAGTTTTATTTATTGCAGAAAGAAAAAATTTGTAAGCAAATGTAAATGTTATTGAGAAAATAATGTAGAATTATGTTGAACGATTTAATGAAAAATAGTGGAAAGTATTGATAGATTTGATTTTAAAAATTGTTTTAAAAATATTTGATTTTATCACTCTGTTTTAATTATTTAATAAAACATTGTTTGTTTTTACTAAAGGAAAAAAATTTAATTTTCTGAACTTTAACAGACACAACATTTCATAAACTTTCGAAAATTGTGATGAAACTGAACTTCTTAACATTTTTGTTGACGCAAAAAGAAATGTTGTTTTTGAACCAAGAAGCAAATTATTTTTGAGAAAAAGAAAATTCTTATTGTTGTAGCATCTTAAACAGATTTTCAATCCACTGGAAAATTAAATCTTTCTTCTTTAACTTTTCGTTAATAAAAACGTTGTTAACTCCAGTTTCATAAATTATGCAGGTACTATTTGACAATCAAACAAAAGCTTTCAATTCTCAAATTTTGCAAAATATCTTTATTCATAATTACAGTGGAAAATATAAAAAAAAAACATCGGTTTTCTTCTAATCGAATTTCATAAAAACTAAACAATAATTTCATCATCAATATTTTGCGACGGAAGAAGAAAATAAAAATCTAGCAACTATTATAATAAACGCAGTTTAATTAATCAGAGAGAGAGACATGCGTAAATAGTTTGTTTAAATACATCTAGAGAATGTGTTTTTTAAAAAAAAGAAAATGTATACATCTATTTGCAATTATATTTTACTAATACCGAATTTTAGTAATTTTTAATTAATATAATAGTATCTAATTTATACGATAAAAGAATTAAAAGAATTAATTATAATTTTTTTTTTCTCTTTAACAAACATTATCTCTGTAATGTTTTTGCAAACTTTGTAATCTTGAATAAACTTTATTGCATTTTTTGCACACGTGCATTATACCGCATTCATGTTTCTTGTGACTCTTCAATAGATATTTAGTGCTAAAACTAAAATCACAATCGTCACAATTAAATAGAAGACCCTCTCGCCTACGAATATTGAGATTCAATGGACAAACTTTCTCGTGAAGAGTTTTCTCATAATCAACTTCGAACTTCCAATTGCAATATCGACAAATAAGTTTCTCTTTTAGTTCTTCTATTGACTGGAGCATTCCATTTCTTCCCACGTATAAAGTTGGCATTATTTTTGCTTTGTATGATTTTCCTGGAACAAATGGAATAAATCGATAAAGTAATGTTCTGAAATATTTTTATTTCATTTATTTTGAAGTAATTAAGTAATTATTTTTGCGTTTTTATTAAAGAATTCTATACGTTAAATGAACAGTGATGTATTTTTCATGCAAAAAGAGATGTTGTGGTGGTAATAAAAATAGGTACACTGGAAATAATTCGTATGGTAATTTTTATTATTTATTACATATAAGTATTGTGACAAAATTTTTTTAATATTTAGGTGAGAAAAAAATCATTTTTTATTATATATTAGCAAGTTAACTACTACTTTAGTTATTAACTTAGTTAATTACTACTTTCCATAAAAGTGCGTCATATTTATTTATTTCTTATTACAAAATAGTAAGAGGGCAAAAAAGTAGTGACGCGGGGAAAAAAAGACTCGCGCAGTCGCTGTGCGCCTCTTTTTTCCCCCGCTCACTTTCTACTCACTTTCCTATTGGTGGAAAATGGCGCGCTTATTCGAAACACTTTAATATAAAAAAATGTCATCAATAGTATATTACGATACTAGGCCAGAAAGTTGGATTTCCTGGCCGGCGTGATATATAAGGCCGAGGCTTTATATATCACGCTCGCTAGGGTATCCAAATTTCTGGCCGTGTGTCGTATACAATTTTTCTGTATCCCCAGCCGAAAGTACGTTAAATAATTATTGTTTGAATAATAAAATAGCTCAATAAGTTGCCCGCCCGACTTTTGCAAAGTCGAGGCGAAGCCGAGACTTAGCTGGTCGGGGCGGGCATGAAAAAAAAATTATAAGTAAAAAATAATTGGAAGTAAAATTTAAAAAATAGTAAACAAGAAATTTTCTTTTACAAATATATATTTAATAATTAAAAAATAATAAAAGAAAATAAGAAATTTCATGCATTATTTTGATGACTGTCAGTTGTTTTCAAAACGTGAGCTCTGTAAGTAACGTGTCTGTGTGGTTGCTATGCTAACATGTACGTGTGTTGAAATTCTTGTAACCAATCAGAGCGCTCGTTGGGTCTGTCGAGCCGGCCACAAAAGTCGCTATTCCCGGAGCCAAATCAGACCGGGAAGACAGTACTTTCGGCAAAGGGATACAGAAAAAACTATTTTTACCCCTGAAATTGAATTGTTTAGTAATATATTTTCCAAATTCGAATCGATACATTAATTTTACTAAATTTGTTTAAGGTTAATATTTAGTAGGAATAATTTTCAAAGACCTTAGAGAGCAAATATTTCCTGCAAATGTATTCAAGTAAAATACTTTAGAAATCTATATTTACATTTTTAAAGAATAACACAAGTGAATCCTTTTTAAAAAAATTTTTTTTTTCGTCTACGTTGAAAATATTAATTGTCATAGATTATTATTACTTTATTATTAATTAAAGAATTCCAAAATTATTCCAACCAAATATTAGGCGTAAAATAATGTAATAAAATTAATCCTGACTGGATTAATTTTAAAAAAATTACGGAAATAAAAAAAATCAATTTGAGAGATTAATATTTTGGAAATTCGTTTTCTTTTAATAAATGTATTAAAGCAGTTCAAATAAGAGCGGGATTTTTCTACCAATGAGAGAGTGGCGCAGGCGCAGTTGCTTCTGGTGGCTGTCGATGGCATCAACGCGCATGCGTTAAGAGACAAAGACAAAAGAGGGGACGTTACGTTTTAAGAAGTGTCTAGAATGTTAATTTATAGCTTAATTATTTATTCTTATTTTAATTATTAAATTTAATTCATCAATTTAATCCAAAAAACAAAAACATCTTATATATTAAATTTAATTGTTGAATTATGTTTCTTCCCAGTAAACGAAAACTAATTGAAATGAATTAAAAAGAATTCACAAAGAGCTTTCGTGAATCCCGCTTTGTGACAAATACGAATTGGAGCCATGATGCAATTTTCCTGAATTCGTGAAACTGTATTGAACTTCCGAACCTTCTATCCGTACCAATTCACTGGACAAGTTTTGAGCCTTTAATTTTTTTCAATTCGTTAGCACGAATTCAATGCATTCCTTGGCCATTTCTTTCGAATGCGAATTCGTTTGGACAAATTGGTACATATTGAATTAAATTCAATTGAATATACAAAGAGCTTGAGTGAATCCCGCTTTGTGACAAATACGAATTGGAGCCTACCAAAAATGTTAATTCGTTTCAATTCATTTGAATTAGTTTTTTTTTACTGGGTTATTCTAATTTTAACAATAAGTAATACAAATGTATGTGAGATAGTAAATATGTTTTTATTAAAATGAAATTATTTTTTGTTTGTTTGCAGAAAAAGGTATTCTTAATGGCAGGACGTCTAAATTCTTTCTGACAGGACAAAAAAAACTGGTGAGTACTTTTGAAATCGTGATTCTAAAATTGAGAAGGATTCAGATTTAAATAAAGTTGCAATTCGAGAGAATTTTTCTAAGCCTATAAGGTTTATTAGGAAATATAATAATAATAATTATAAGATAATGCAATATAAATAATAATAATAATAAATAATAATAATAATAATAATAATAATAATAATAATAATAATAATAATAATAATAATAATAATAATAATAATAATAATAATAATAATAATAATAATAATAATAAGTAATAATAATAACAGTAATAATAATGTTTGTTTGCTTTTTTCTAACTTTTTTAAATAATTGTTCTTTTTAAAAATATTTTTAATTCTAAAATTAATGTATTGAAAATCATCAAATTGTT